AAAATACTTAATATCCTGCCTAAAAATCTATAATCTACTATTTATTACTTATTACCTTAAAACTAATAATTAAATTAAATATACTAATACTATCTTAAGATAATATTTATAAGTATATATATTATACCTGTAAAATAATTAATTTAAATAATTACTAATAACTAAATTTACTACTAACTCTATTTATTCTAAATTTATAAAAGTATTATTATTCATAGCTAACTATAAATTCTACCTAATATTAGAATTTAAACTAAGTTACTCTACTATCTACCTTACTAAGAAAAATACTAAAAAATTTATTAATATTATATACAAGATTTATAAGTTTATCTATATTAAGATTCTATCTACTTAAGCCTGTTATAAAGTATAAGCTAATTACTAAAGATAACCTATATATTACTATACTATAAGATAAGAAGTCTAGCTAGATACCTATAATATCTAAATACTCTACTTATAGAAGAAATTAGATTAGAAGAACTTCAAGCTATACTATATTAAGAAGATTATTAGCCTGCATGCTTATAAATTTAAATTATCTAAAAATATAAGAATCTATCCTATATTTAATATATCTTTACTCTATCCTACTACTAATAATTCTCTACTTAATTAACACCCTAATCTACTACTACCTATTAAAGTAGAAGAATTAAAAAAATAAAAAATTAAAAAAGTTCTTAATTCCTAATAAGTTTATTAAGACTATAACAAACCTAAGCTATAATATACTATTAAGTAGATTAGATATAACAAGCTAACTAAAGAGCCTGCTAAATATTTAGAAAATATTTACTAATTAATAAATAATTACTACCTCTATTATCCTGAGAAACCCCAGCCAATTCCTCCCTAGTCTTAACAGAGCTCAACCCTAAGGAGAAGGGTACTATCACAGTACAAAGCTATAGTACCTATTTAATTAGATTCTATCTTAACTATCCACCCTTATTCCTATATTTAAGCCATATTATCCTTGATCCTATTATAGCTCTTTAAGCTATATCCTGTCTATTACCTAATACCTACTATTCTACTATTCTGTCTGGTTAGCTCCTAGTCAATGAATATCTGAATCTGACTCTGCCCCCTGACAAAAATACTCTAGATTCTAATAATCTATAATAACCTTTATAAATAATAGAGTCCCTTTTAATTTAAGATATTATTTTTTAAAGTAATAAATAATAATTAATAATTTTTTATTATAAATTTTATAATTATATTTTATTATAAAATATTTTTTAGAAAAAAATATAATAAAGTATAATATATTTTTATTATTATATTATAATAGTACTCTAGTAAATATATAATTAAAGGTATTAATTTCTAGAATTATATTTTTTAATTAATTAAAAGATTTTAATATTAGAGTATTTATAAAAATAGCTTTTAATTATTTAAATATTTCTTAATAAATAAGTATTTAATTAAAGTTAATATCTTTCTTAATTAGATTAATTAATAATCTAATAATTTTTAAAAAATTATAAATAAATTAGTAATAAAAGTTCTTAAAGCTAATAAAAGCTTAAATATTAGTTAAATAAGTTAGTATTTCTTACTTAATAATTATTTTTACTTTATTAAAGTTTATTTAGAAGCTATTTTTATTTATAATTAGTTCTAGAAACTTTATCTTATATATAAAGAATTTATATTTACTAAATTTAATATAAAGTTTTATTACTTATAAGTATTCTAATATTTATTAAATATAATAAGTATATTTAGTATAAGTTTAGCTATAAATTAGAATATTATCTAAATATATAGTATAAAAAATATCTAGATAATTATATAAAACTTTATTAATAAATCTCTAAAATAATACTAGAGCTCTAGTAAGCCTAAATAATATTACTAAAGATTTAAATAAATCTAATTAAGTTTAAAAAGTAATAAGATATTCTTATCCTTTTTTAATTTATAAATTATTAAAAATAAAAATAATATTAATTTTTAAAAAATACTTTATTTTTTTTAGATTATTTAGTATCTTTTTTATTAATAATAGTAAGTAATAATCTTTTATAATAATTATATTTAGAATTTAATAATTTATATAGAATTATAGGCCTCTTCTAGGTTTTTTTATAAATAAAATAAGAAATATAGTAAGAAAAAAATTAAAGTAAATAAAATCTTTTCTTAAATTTTTTTTAATTTATTTTTTTAGAATTTTTAGTTTATCTTAAAATATACTATATAAACTCCTAAAAGGTAGGATTTTTCTAGATAGTAGTTTAATTTTATAATTATTAGATTAATAAGGTAGCAGGTACTCAACCTCCTTTAGTAAGAATATATTATAAAATTTAATAAATTTAGGAAATAATTACTCTTATAATTTAGATTTAATAATAATAATAGGATTTAGAGTAGCTTTAATATTAGTAATAATAGTAATAAATATCTAGTATTTATAGTAGGTATATATAATATAGGTAGTAATTAAGATTCTAGTAATATTTTAATTTTTTAAAAATTTAAGGTAAGAATTAAAATATTAAAGAAAAGTTTTTAATAATATATTATATAATATTAAAATCTTTATAAACTTTAGAAGTATATTATAGTATTTTTTATAATAAGAACTTTTAAATAGAATAGTATAATTAATAAATCTAATTTAAGGATTATAAATCTTTAACTAAAATAAGTTAAGAATAATAAGAAAATATATAAATTAAGTTATAAAAAAAATAATATTTTTTTTAGTATAATTATAAATTCTTTAAATTAAATAAATAAAATAAGTAATATAACTAGATTTTACTAAAATATTATTAAATTCCCTTAATAAGATAGGATTTCTTAATAATAATATTTCTAGTTAATTATTTATAATTTAATTATAATTTATAAAATATTTATTCTTAATTTTAGAATTAATTATTATAAAGATTAGTAAAATTTTATTAAGAGTTTCTAGATTAATAGGTAGAATTATTAATTTAAATTAATAATTTTTTTTCTTTATTATTATTCTAGTTATTATAATCTTTAATAAGTAGAGAGAGTATTAGGGGTATTCCTAATTATAGCTTAGATTAGGGATACTTTATTTTTTAATTTAGGAAATATAAAGTATTTAATAGGTAGGATTCTAGTTAATAGGGGGTATAGGTCTAGTTTAGTAGTAAATATAAAAATATAACTAGTTAGTTTTTAGTTAGAGTATAAGTAGCTACTTACTAGGTAGTTAGTATTACTATAATAATAATATAGGTATTAGATTTAATAATTAAGGTAATAAGTAATAAATAAATCTATTAAGTCTTTAGTAGGAGTAATAGTAATAATAGGATTAATAAGGATTATAAGAATTTAGGTAGTAGAAGTTAGCTTTAAAATAAATTAGAAAGGCTAGAAATTCTTTATAGATAAGAATAGAGTAATATTTATATAATAATAATAATAATTTTCTAGATTTTATAAATAATTAATAAAATTATAATATTATAATAGGGCTTTAAAATATATTAATATTTTTTAAAGTTTTTAATTAATAGCTTATTCTAAAATTATAAGTAAGATATCTTTATTTATATTTTTTTTTAATATAAGATATTAAAATTTAGTAAAAAAAATATTAAACTTATAGTAAATTTATTAAAAGTAAAATAAATTAATATAAGTATTAATTTTTAAATTTAGATCTCTAAAAATTTTCTTTAAGATTTTTAAAATTTTAATATAATTATTTAATTTATAGATTCTATCTTAAATATATAATAAGATTTAAATATATAAGATTTTTTTAAAGTAACTAATTATATAAACTATTTTATTATTTAAAGTTAAAAAATAATTAAGGTTTATAATTATTTTTTAGTAAATTTAAAAAATAAAGTATCTTAAATTACTTTATTAATTATTAAACTTATTAAGATTAGAAAGTTATTTAAAGATTTAAATAATAAAAATAAGTATAATAAAAGTAATAATAATAATAAGAAGAATAATAATATTAATATTTCTTTTAAAAAAAGATAATAATTAAAAAAGTATATTATTTTAAATAAGTATTTTAAATAACTTTTATTAAATTTTTTTAACTTATATTTTCTAATATTTAATTATATTATCTTTTTATTAAATATAATTAAAAAGATTAGTAATAATAAAATATAAAGTAAATAATTTATAAAATTTTTTTATAATAATAATAAAGAACTAGTATATCTTAGTAATATACTATCTTAATTTATTAGGAGTATTATATAGGAGGGTTTTTATATCTTTAAATAATATAAGTAGTAAGGCAGGTATAATAGTAATAATTAACTCCTAATAAAGAGAAGCTATATAATATTAGGGAGTAAAGTTAGATTTAGATATTTATTAATTAAGAGCTAACTAGATAGAATAGTAGAATAATAAGTATTAGGTAATAGATAGGATATAATTTAAAGAGCTATAATAGGATTAAGGATAATATGGCTTAAATACAGGGATAAGGGTGGACAGTCAAGGCAGAATCTAACTAGATAGGTACTACGGCTTCGCGCCGTGACATTTTTACTAGTAATTTCCTTTATAAAATTCTAAAGTATTTTATAGGATATAAAGAGGCCTTACTTAATAAGCTTATTAATATAGCTTATTAATTCTTTTTTATATTAATTAGTAAAAACTTACTATTATTTATATTAGTAGTCTTTAGAGTACTATACCCTGCAGTAGCATCTTAATAGTATTATTTAATTAATATTAAACTCTTTTATAATCTTAGTATAATTAATTAAATTACTAATCTTTAACAAGTTAATTACTTCTATCACAGCTTTAATTAAACCTATATTAGTTAAGATATAAGTTATTGAAAATTATCAAAAAAACAGTCAGTAAGGGGAAATCAGGCGTCAGGTGGGACCGGGCGTCAGGTAATCACCGACTGTATTGCCCGCAACCAATAATCTCTCTCCGCCTTAGCGCAGTAAAAAAATTCCGCGCAAAACCTCCGCGGACAAAAATCAACCACACCATACCAACCTCTCAAGGATCCCTTCTTTACAACCCATAGGGGGAAAAAGAAAAGAAAAGAAAAGGAAGAGACAACCTAAAATGAAAGAAATAGTAGGCTACACAATCCTCCCCCTCCAACTCCCAGCAACCCCCTCCTTCCCAACCCCAGCAACGCACTACCTCTACCTCCGACCACATGAACCTCGGATCCCCGACCCAGACAGCACACGCTCGCTCTTCCTGGTCAACATCCCCATCGACACAACCGAAACCCATCTCCGGCATTTATTCGGCACGCAGCTGGGCGCGGGCCGCGTCGAGCGCGTGGACTTTGAGTCGATCCGGTCCTCCAAGAAACAAGCTACCCCCTTAGCGGCGGCAACCTCTACAAGAGCTTCGAGAAAGCGGAAGCGCGTCACGGCCGACGAGCTGGAAGAGAGACTAGAGAATGCAGGGCTACCAGAGACATGGGACAGAGGGCTGCAGCATAGCGGGGCGCATGCCGTTGTGGTGTTTGTGGATCGCGCAAGTATGGAGAGTAGTTTGAAGGCTGTGCGGCGGGCCACGAAGCAGCAGCAGCAGCAGCAGCAGACGACGACGACGACGACGAAAAAGAAGAAGAGTGGCGCCACTGGTAGTATTGTGTGGGGGGAGGGAGTGGATGAGGACAACAAGAAGAAAGAAGTGTCTGCGTTGGGGGTACAGCGGTACGTGGATCACCAGCGCATGTGCTACCCTGGGCGTGCTGAGCTGCTGCGCAGGGTGAACGAGTACATGAGTGTTTTTGGGGAGGTTGCGGAGGCCAGGAAGCGGGAGGCTATGCGCAAGGCCCAGGAGCCCGACGAGGATGGCTTTATTACTGTTACGACTGGGCCGAAGCTTACTTCTGCGGCGCATGAGGAGGAGGCGAAGCGGTTGATTGAGAAGCAGAAGAAGAAGGACCAGGGCTTTGAGGACTTTTATCGGTTCCAGTCTCGGGAGAAGCGGAAGGAACGGCAGAATGAGTTGTTGAAGAAGTTTGATGAAGATAAGAAGAAGTTGCAGATGTTGAAGATGCGCAAGGGGAAGATTAGGGTGAGTCTTTTTTTTTTTTTTTTTTTTTTTTTTCCTTTTCCTTTCTTCGTTTATGGAGGTCTTGCTAACTGGTGCAGCCTGAGTGATGGGTGTGGGTTGTTGCTTCGTTATCTTTAGCAAGGCGTTTAGGGTTACCCAAAAAGTTTTTAGTCATGATATAGAGGATTCCGGATTCTGTTGCAAATGAAGGAGGCAGAATAGGGTGAGTGCATTCATCTTTCCTTGTCTTGATTCCTTTGCTTCATGATGAATCCGCTGGGGCCAGAGTAGCAAGACTCCTTCGATGTCATGCATTGCCTTCAAACACCAGCTTTATAACTAAATCTTCTCACTCCTGAAATGCTCTTCTCTTCCAAGCACTGCTTCGTTTCACTGCCTATTGGGATATTTACTGATGCTGGCGGAGTATGTAGGGTGTCCAATACACTGTCCAATGCACTGTCCAATACACTAAATAATCATCATCATATCATGCATACACATCTACCTCCATGTAAATAATTCCCCTAACTGGTGTATTTTCTCTAAACTGCCCCTAATTTACTGGAAACATTAGACCAGCGTTATAGAGCTATGGTCATAGTTTATATAGTAACTGTACTCTTAAGTACTATAAGTATATAATAAGAAATATCGATGGCCTGACGACGCACAGACCACCAAAGCTTCTTGGCATGACATCTTCGGCGCTGAACTGCTTCAGAAGTTTATATCAATTGCTTCGAATCTGTAGCCCGATGTTCTTTTACAGTACATAACATAGTCTATCGAAATCTTGTCCGACCTGTATCTACCCGAGCTGGGGACTACACTTTGTGATCCATCCGAACTCCGCGCACTCCCACCAGCCCAGCTAGCTACATACCAACCCCATTTTCTAGCCACTCCAGATTAAAGCAAGCTAAAGTCAATGGCAACTGCCTCGGAACCTTTCGGTGGAGCTGGAGCTGGAGCTGGAGCTGGAGGCTTCATGCACTCCTCCGCGCTCTCCCCCGCACCGTCCACATCCACAGTGACGCCCTCTCTTCTCCCCAAACCCCGATCTCATCCACTCCGGGCGGGGTCTATCAAAGAAACCACGGTAATCAATCACATCGACAAGACGATCCTCTCGATTAACAGACGGCACGCGAAGAAGTTCAGTGCCGCCTTTGACGACGACAGCCACCAGCACCAGCAGCACCAGCAGCAGCAGGCTGGCGCACCGCTACCAGCCAGTGAAAAGGGCTACGAGAGTTTCAAAGAGGTAGCTAAGGATGTGGAGAGTCTTGTGGATGTGCTTTGGGTTAGCGGGACTCGTACGTTACCTTTTTCATCCTATCCTATCTATCCTCTTTGCAAGTTTGGAATGGGGGAAAGGATACCTCACTAACTTAAAAGTAACTACATCTAGCATCCCTCCAAATCCCCTACTTAATCTCCCTGGCTGTGCTAGTAAACACGTATCTACCAGACTACCCCTTCGCAGCCAATGCTACCTTTCGTCTTCTCCGCAAACTGGACTCGGTTTTCGCCTCGCTGGTTCTCGGGGAGGATTCGGAGAGCGGTGTCCCGCTGTCTGGGTTCGAGGGCGGCCGGCGCAATGTGGTTTCTATGACTGAGAAGGTCAGGATCAAGAGCATTGCGGAGACATCGCGGGTGACTGTTGTAGAGGCTCGAGAGCAGACGGATGGACTGGTTGAGGCGGATGACGATGACGATGACGATGACGAATTCGGTCTTGATGGCCATGATGCGTTCGGGACGGAGGAAACGCCGGGGAAATGGGAGATGGAGACGGCCAAGGTGTACGAGAAGACGATTCAGCTGCTGGGAGATGAGCTGGGGCAGGCGGGGGAGTTTTGTGATGTGGATATGGCGGATGGGGGGCGGGGGGGGGGAGACGCTGTTGATACCTGTAAGGATAGTCTTGAGTGATCTTTGTCTGTCGTCTGTATCATCTACTCTTGACACCCTGGCACTCGTACCTGTAACTAGAGTACTACTACTTCGTAGTACTTTTCAAGTTATGTATGGAGTATCAGTCATAACCATAAGTAACCTTGAACCAGACTCCGGCAACCTCCTGATCCGTCATCCCACTCTTTTCCAGTATTATAGGCAAGATACAGATACAAAAGTCTAGTTAGCTGTTAAGCCATAAGCGATCAGCTGCAGACTATAAGGTTGTTATAGTTCCCTACCTAGGTGGGTATAGATAGTGAAAGGTACTGATGGGGAGAATAAGGAGAGGTCTGAATTGAATTACAGTGATTCATCCCAAGTTGGTTTCTTTCCACTGTATCATATATGTACGTACATCCTTATATTATTCCCCTGTCTCCATGACATGATCATTCTATACTCTCGGATAGCAGAAATCTTCCAGTTGGGTTGATATCTGGTTTATTAGGGATGGCTCTCTATCTTCTCTACGCTAACAACTGCATTTCAGTGAGTCTATCATTCAGTACAGAATCTTATGAAATATATATATATATATATACCTAGATAGATAGATAAGATTATAAAGGGGCTGCAACAACAGCCGAAAGGAGACATAACGTAACTATTATACACGGTTGAGTACCTAGGTAATAATACAGAGAACTGCCCGAGTCCAATGTAGTTACGTGCAGTATAGTATACACACACATACATACATTGGGACTGGACTGGACTTGCAAGGGTGATCGGTGGAATTAGGTATCTGCAAGGGATGGAAGCAGTTCAATCCAGGCACGCCGTGTTGCCTGTCTTTAGGTACCTAGTACTACTCCGTACTTAGATAAGGTATGAATGATTCTTACTGTTATGGCAAGCGTAGATTCAACGCACGATTCGATTCCTACCTAGTCAGGCTCTCGTTGTGCTACTAGTATAGTAAACTATGAAGCAAGGTGAGGGTAACTAGTACTCGTAGTTAGTAGGTTCGTTTCATCTCCACGGATTCAAAAGGGGTCAATACGGATGGATCCCTTGCTCATGCCATGCCAGTCGAGTCAAGTAACTAGCGAAGGATGGGATAATAATAACAGGATGGAAATTGTAGTATGTAGGAATAACTTAGCGAGGTCGATCACGTCGCGCACGCGTCCCTGATCACGGTAACTCAGGTTGAGAAAATGGACACCGTTAGATCAAGGCAAAGACAAAAGCCGTTTCGAGTAAATACGGAGCGATATCGAGTTCGAAGTTTGTGGACGGAATTACAGAGTACAACCTTCGCGTCTAAATGTTCCAGCCAATTGGAAATATATCAAGTCCAGAATCCCATGGTTCTGTAGTGATAGGTGTGGAGTCTATCCCATAAACATAAACTGGAGTTTCAGGTGCTTTTTTCATCGTTTCTGTGGGAGCTGAAATACTCCATCTTTGTATGGAGTATTGTAATGTAAATACCCCGGTAGATCTTACTCCTCTAATCTCGATCAATCTTGACTTGAGACTCACTCTTCTTGCCTAGAATATCTCTCTGGTCAAAGAACTCTGTTTGCACGCACAAATCCACCAAAAAGTGCTCCACGATCCAAGGTTTCGGGCCTCCTCGGTGGGGGCAAATTTCAAGCCCTTCTTTTTTTGGTTGAAACTTTTCAGCCCTCCCAGCGTCCCATTATTCAAGTCAACCCAAGGAACAATGAGCACTGGCGTGACTGCAACAGAAGCCGATCTAACGAATCATCCCAGCGCGTTCAGAACCCCGGCGGAGACGCGGGCAACGCCTATGACGATAAGCCCATGGGACGCGAATGGGACTGGACGAGTCACAGCGCGAGAATGGGGGAAGAAAAAAAAGTTGCTCACGACATTGGCGCATGTGCATCAGTCAGGTCCTTGCAGATTTCGTGCAATTATTAATATGTATTGTCTTGCCCACAATCAGGCTTTCTTTCTCGACCTCTTCTCTCCTTGCCTCGTGAATCTCGATAGTATTCCTGGGTATCCTAAGAAGACATAATAATGTCTAACCTTGGGAAAGAAGGCGGAATGGGCGGTGAAGCCATGGATGGAGAGAAACATAGAGGGGATCTCACAGTATCCCGGTTCTTGGGTCGCTCTCGTCCAGGGACAAAACAAAAGGCAACAACCGAGGGAGATCCTTGCTGGGTTATATTCATCCCCATCCTCTGAAGAGATTAATAATAGTGCATGCGATGGAAATAAGAATCATGTCAAGTTGTAAACCCGCAGGATGCAGAAGTCATCTGCCCTGTCTTGGTTGGTATATACCATACCGTACTTGTATTTCTAGTAAAGATCGGTACGCGCTACCCAAAATCAATGAAATCATCATAGAAGTAACGAATGATCGAGGAATTAATAGTCAACAACTAGATTTATGTGATGAATGCTTTAAATTGAGCCTTGATTCCCCTGCATCAGTAAAATGACTATCTACTGACTAGGAGGGTTGGTGTACTTTCTCTCAACATCTGTAAGATAGATCACACTCCATTCATGAAAAGTAAGCAGGATGGACCTAGGTACACTAGTTAACTATCTCCTACTAGTAAGCCCACGACCCTCAAAACGAAGGAAGAAAAGACAAAAGAAAGAGAGAGAGAGAGAGAGGAAGGTCAAAAAAAATCCAAATGAAAAAATCCATCCTATTCGGTAAAAGACCTCTCTTGTCCCACCAACAGAAAACGCTCTCAAATTTCGCCCCTCATCTCCTCCTCACAGGCCAGCATCAGGAAGTGTACCTACACATTAAACAAAAAGTGGTGGTGTCATTAGGCCGTTGTGTGTGTGGATAGTAAATTTTTTTTTATTTGATTTGAATTTTATTTATTATTATTATTATTATTATTATTATTTTTTTATTATTATTTTATTACTAGAATACTAGAATTTCGTTTGTTCTCTCTCTCTCTCTCTCTCTCTCTCTCTGCCCTAGTACTAGCAAAATCCATCGTTCTTCTTTCCCTCTCGTTTCGTCTCGTCTCGTTTCTTTTCCCTTTTCCCTTTTTTTCCCTCTTTCTCTCTCTCTCTCTCTCTCTCTCTCTCTTTTTCTCTTTTTCTCTTTTCTCCCCTCCATCCTTGAAGAATTCATCTTCATCTACCCCTCCTCCGTTTTTTTTTTTTTTTTTCCTCTCTTCATTATATCCCCCCTCCCTCTCCTTCAGTCCTTCTTCCTGGTCCTCTCCCACCCTTTCTTGTTCTTTTCGGAAAGCACGGAGTCGGTTTGCGGATTAGTTCCTGTAACTCTTCTTTGTGTCTTTTCTACTTTTTGTTTTTTCATCTATTTCTTCCTATTTCTCCACCTTCCGGGAGTTATCGTGATTCTCCAGTTCTGCTATCTCCCCATCATCTTACGTCCCTGTTCTAACGCATACTTTCTTTTGCGCCACACCAAAGTGACGCTTTTTATCCCATCTATTTCGTTTTCTTCTCACTTTGTGAAACTTAATTCTCAAGGTCGCTTATATTTTTGATTTTGCATTTGTCTGGTAAGTCCCTATTTCTCTTCGTCTGTTGGACCGGGATTGTCGTTACCTCGTCTTTTCCCTCGCTTGAGACTATCCCCGGGAGACATGGATCATTCAAAGTCTCCGCCCTTATCCCTTCCTTCCTGTTGGTACGCGCCATGGAATCTCGATGTCTTGCAAGAGTCAACAATCAAATCTCTGCTCCTCAGTGTCGTGACTGTTTGGGGGTGGGGTTTTACACATATGACGTCTTGTTCAAGCCCTGGTACATTCGGCTTCTCTGCCATCACGATGCGCTCGCCCATCGCTTCCCAACATGGGCCTGCTGCTGGATGGAAACGCTTTGGACAATTTCTGGACAGCAGTGTCGCCATTCACCACCCCTTCTTGACCTCAACTACATCATTGGGCTTTCAAAATGGCGCATTTTTGTGACGTGAACAAATCGATTCTTCGACTTGGACGGTCGCAATCGGACCGAGCGCGGGAGAGAGGGGGGGAATCGACGAACGCGGCGATGGGTTGAATGTACTTGATCGCCCCTACAAATTCTTGCCACCATCGCTCGCTCTTCATTCTCGTTCCACTCGTTTCCACCCTCGCATTCGCCTTTTCCCGCTTTTCAGCCGCCTAAATCTGAACCCTCGTCTTGGCACGTTCAAAGCACACCCGCAATCAACGTCCAGCCATTTCTCCCTGTCTCTCCCAGATCAATTCCTCAGGGCAATCCTAGACTCGATTTCGTTGCTCCTGATTGCTTTCGCGATTTTTTTTTTTAATTTGAATCTGTGCCCTCTGATATTCCCTCCACCTACACCTCTTGTCACTGATTAATCCCGGTCCCGCATTGAAATTACCTCGTTTCCGGGACGAAATCGCTAATCACCTAGTTTCTTTTTCTTTTTTTTTTTTTTACCTTTGCTGAAGTAGAATATTACTTTCAGTCATTTCCAAGTGCTCAACGATCGCACGCTGTTCTACTTGACGACGCCAACGAAATTTTAAGTTGCACAGGCCGTTTCCGGGATAGAAAAGTTTTGTTTCTGGGTGTCTGCTTGTTACCTGAAATTTAAAGGTACGCGCAATTCATGCTGATTAATAGACCTCTTCGCGAGATGGAGAAGGTGGAACGTGTTGCTCAACAGAACGGAATCGAACTAACACTTTCTTCAACATCGCAGGCTTCACTATCGTATCTATTGTTATCATCGGATTTTTCATCCAAACATGTCCTTCCAAAACTTCGATTCGTTCCAGAACCAGCACCCAGCGGCTGATGCTGCCGCTGCTGCTCCTGGAGCTCCGGCTTCAGCCGACACCACCATGACTGGCCAGGCTGACCCTACCACCGGTCAATTCCAGGGTCCAGCCCCCGGCGAGCCCACAGCTCCCGCTGGTTCTCAGCAAGGCAATGATGGAAAGACCACTCTCTGGTATGCACCCTTCCAACAAGCGCCCCCTGATCCTCCTGGATACAAGTATCTAATCGTTTTTGATCGCAGGATGGGTGAGCTCGAGCCTTGGATTGATGAGAATTTCGTCCGCAACCTCTGGTTCCAGATGGGCGAGCAGGTCAACGTGAAGATGATCCGTGACAAGTTCTCTGGGTGAGCATCTTGCAACGCCGTACTTTCTTCCTGTTTCGAGGAGGTGATCCTAATGTTGGTAGTAGGAGCAATGCCGGTTACTGTTTCGTCGATTTCGCCTCTCCCGCTGCTGCGGCCAAGGCCCTGTCTCTGAATGGCACCCCCATGCCTAACACAAACCGCCTCTTCAAGCTGAACTGGGCGACTGGTGGTGGCCTCGCTGACCGTAGCCGTGACGACCGCGGCCCCGAATACTCCATCTTCGTTGGCGACCTTGGCCCCGAGGTCAACGAATATGTGCTCGTCTCTCTCTTCCAAAGCCGCTTCCCCTCGTGCAAGTCCGCGAAGATCATGACTGATCCCATCAGCGGCATGTCTCGCGGTTACGGGTTCGTCCGTTTCTCCGATGAGAACGATCAGCAGCGCGCTTTGAGCGAGATGCAGGGAGTTTACTGCGGAAACCGCCCCATGCGCATTTCCACCGCCACCCCCAAGAACAAGGGTCCCGGCGTTGTGCCCGGTGGCATGGGTATGCCTGGTCCTGCCAACATGTACCCCCCCATGGGTGCTCCTCCAATGGGATTCTACGGTGCTCCTCAGCCAATGAACCAGTTCACTGATCCTAACAACACCACTGTGTTCGTTGGCGGTCTCTCTGGCTACGTTACCGAGGATGAGCTCCGTTCGTTCTTCCAGGGATTCGGTGAAATCACCTACGTGAAGATCCCTCCTGGCAAGGGCTGCGGCTTCGTCCAGTTCGTTCAGCGCCATGCTGCCGAGATGGCCATCAACCAAATGCAGGGATACCCTATTGGTAACTCGCGCGTGCGCCTGAGCTGGGGCCGCTCTCAGAACAACTCGGGCCCCGCCGGTAGCCCCTACCGCCCTGCCCCCCCTCCCCCTCCCATGTATCTCCCCCCCCAACATCAGTATGGTGGTTTTGCGCCTATGAAGGTTAGTACTCCATCAATGCTCTTGAAAAGAATCTCTCCTCTCATAAAGCAACCCCCCCCCACTAATGCTAATCTAGTCTCAGTAAACGAAAAGCGTTCCTTTATCTGAAAGAAACAGCAGGAGTTTTGCGTCCTTTCAATGATGGGTCTTTTGTGTGTTATATCAAATTTGCTATTCATCTCTGCGAAAGTTCCCCTCTATAGCTCTTGATGGGCATCTTCTCCTGTGTTACGTACTTCATCATGTGTGAGCGCTTCCATTTTTAGCAAGATCTGAGCTCTTATTTCACCCTATTCTGGGGTTTTCATCATTTTCGCTCCCCCCCCCCAACTTATCCCGCCTTTTCCCCTTCTTACCTATTCTTCTCTTTTCAATGTTGTTGCATGCTTTAGTTTCGCAGTTCTTCCTTTTTTTTTTTTTAAGATGCCCAAACTTCTCAAATCCCCCCCCCCCCTTTTTTTTTTTCTTTCTATCTTGCCATTATGTTCTGGCCATAGGTTTGTTGTGCGTATGACAACAATCATTTACGTCTTTTTCCCTATACTCTATGGGCAGGCATTCTGCGAAAAGTTCATCTTCCGAGGTCTTTTCCATGAAGGAAATGAAATCGAATTTTTGTTCCGCTTTGAGGATGTTAAGTCATGCTTTCTTATTGCTAGACTGGCCTGTACAACACTGTTTTCATTCGCCTTCTATTTCCCCCAACTCATTCCATCCCGGGGCACATTGCTTTCTTGCCCGTTCGATACTTTCGGTTGCCGTGGTGCCTTGGAGTCTGGGTCTTGTGTTTTCCTGCTCTTTGCTGCTGCGTATCCAAGGTGTCGTCTAGGACTGGGTCATGTTTCCTCACTCAATCTTCGTTATTCTGTAGCTGCTGGGTTGAACGTGCTTACTTGCCACCTTAGCGACCTTTTGGAGTCCCGGTTGAAGGCTACTGTATGCGTTTCTAGGATGTGGGCGGCATAATGTTGACATCATGACCAAAATCTGGGCGCTTTAGTATTGCGATTCTTAGTAGGTGCATTTCCGTCCTGTCCGGTTGAGGCGCTTTGACAACTTCTCTGGACACCGGTGGGCACTTTGTGTTTCCCTTTGTCACTATTCTTATGGATGATTCCCCGTTCGCTAGGCAGTGAACTCTCTTCTGTTGCTTTTGTCCTGGCGCTTTCATTTCTCTTTTGAGTCGAGATGGCGAGATGCAGACCGCCAGCCTTGAGTCCCCGGCGCATGGAGACAGACGGTGTTCGATATTCCTCAATTCTCTCTTGGTGTAATTTCTCTTCATATCATTAGGGCTCGTATACAATAGAGCATCTACGTACCCACGAATATACCTAGTAGGCTGAATCTTACCTTGACGCGCTTTCCCCAAGTTTTGCCGTCCTGGCTGTGGTTGGGATGCAAGAAGGACTTCCTGTTCGGGCAGGGTCTCCCCCATGCCCACCGTGATCGCACTTCACCTTCTCCCCTAGCTCAGTCCTAGGCATCCTCTTCTACCGTCCTTCTATCCCAAAGCCCTTTTACTTCGTTGAACCCACGTTGTCCCTTCATGTGGATGTAGCTGTGATTTTGTTTACTGCTGATATTCTCTACCTCCTTCCAGTTCCGGCTCCAGATTCTTCCTTTCTCATTGTATTACCAACAGACCGCAGCGTTAGAGCCAGTCAGTCCGTCAGAATGCGGTACGAGAGCTGGGATGTGATTATTTTCCAGGAGACTTCCAAGGTACCTGTCCGGGAGTTCAAAACCCAATGTTTTGTGACTCCTGATCGAGGTTAGTTTTCGCTTGTCGAAAGATAATCAATCCATGCTCAATTCACTAGACTCCCCCTATCTACACAATCCGGGGTTTCTCAACCCAGCCGCCTATTACCAAACCCATGGCAACTTGGGCCAGCTTCCAGTTCTCACCACCTTCATTCCAAGTATGGCCACCAACACCCCCTTTCGGGTGTCCGTCCACTGCTGGGACCAACCCCAGCCGAGCCGGTTCATGGAAAGCCTTCTGCAGCCGGATGATGTACTACTCTTCGAAGCCAGAGTTTTTGTGGATGGATTATGTGTTGCGTAAGTAACCACTGCCCCTTACCAAGCGGATTCCCACGGAGTCTAACCATTTGCTTGGTCACGGTAGGGGAAGCGTTTTCAGTCAGAGATCGAGCTGGCCTCAGGTTCTCGGTACGTGATTCATATACCCACTGTTGTAGCTGGGATACTAATAAAGCTATCTTGATCCAGATCTCAGTTCTCGTATTCCCTCCCTCCCACGCTTCCGTCAACCGTCCCTTGAAAAGTCCAGTGCCTAACGAACTCTATAGATGTTGATAAGAACGGCAACCAGGACTTGCTGCGTTTCCCACCATTTCACCAGGAGATCCTGGAACAAAGGCACTGGGATGCAAGTGACCTCCACGGTAGGATTCGGGTCGTGCTCGCCGAGGGATTTTCCCGTCCAAACAGAAACCCACCATTTGAGCGAGTCAAAGAAACAATCGCCTTTTCCTTTCAACACGCCCCTTTACGCAAGTTACAATCCTGGGTACCCTAAGTTTTTCATCGATTTTATGCTGACCAGTAACAGATGTGCTGGAGTGCTCAAGCATTGCCTGGCCAAATGCTTCTCTGTGGACCAGAGAGCCACGTCCTTTCAAGTACCAATCCAGAACTTGTTTGAGCGACTTGAGAGATCCCGAGGACGCACATGCCCATTCACCAACAAGACATAATAATAATTTCCAGCATCCCCTAACCACAAACAATCAAATTATTAACAACCCTGCACTACAAAACCCTTGGAAAGGTAACCCCTACCCGGGGCATATACCACAATGGCAAGGCCCCTACAGAGAACCCAGATGGGCCCCCCCAGATACGGCATTTGTTGATCCCTTTATCGATCCGTACGTGCTTGACCCATCTGCGCGTCATCGCGGCGCAAGACCATCCTGGGAGGATATATCCATGCCAGATTATATCTCAAGTTCGACTAGCAGTCGGGCAATCTCCAACATGACCGGTATTAGTTACGAACATAGCAAGCACCCTAGCATAGTCTCCCCGATCAACGAGGAACCTTACAGCCAGTTTATCGAAGCTCTCAGTCCCCCCAAGCCGCTTTCTTGCAGCACCCAGCCACAGAATAGTGCACCTTCCACCAGTATATTACCTATGGGAGCCAAGCTTTCCGCTGCCGCAGAAGCTCGGTCCGTCTCCTATTCTAAGGGTGGAAGCCGCACCTCTGCCTCTGTTCTGAAAGAGATATCTTGCCCAGGAACCAGGGATGTATCTGGATCCAGTGCGAAATCAAACGCTGGTCCAACGGACCCCACTGTAGAACGAGTAGTGGCTGCGAAACTTCATCCTAACCTGAGTGGCGCTGTCAAGGGTAAAAAGGAGGGGATATCCTTGGAAAATAAAGAGAATGAAGTGGAAACCCCACGCAAAGACAACGACAAGGCACACCAAACCCATTCCAAACTTACCTTGCATACCAGCGGTAACATGGAAACTCCCACTGATGCTCGAAGGAAGCTCTCTGTTTCGAGTCGCGATGAGTGTCATACTGTCCATAAAGGAGAGACGGTACTTCTATCTCCGTCTCAGGATCTATCTTGTACGGGAGATCACACTCTTCAAGCTAATTTGGACTGCTTCCTCGATTCACAGCCAACGCTCGTAACCGCCACAGCTGGAATTGAGGAGATTGAGTAGCAGGTTATCACCATTGTTGATATGGTTCGAAAGAGGAATTCTTCTACGGCTTCCTTGAGCTTAGTTGTATTTCACGGGACACGTTCTCTTTCTATTAATATGCACCAGCGGTGGGGAGGGTCTTTGTGCGGTACTTTTTATTCATTACGCTAATTCATATATTCATTCTTCTACTCAGAGACTTGTCTATTCTTATTCTCGTTTTGAGACAAACGGAGCATAGAGAGTAAGTAGCCAAGCATTGATTACGACAGGAATCCAAAGCTTGAATATGTGAAAGCTCAAGCCCATCGAGGCGCTAGGCACACTTGCATGCCTCCGCAAAGAGCCACAAAATGTCCCTGGGGTTGAGGTATGAAAATCCGAGGATGCAGTTAGGGGTAGGTAGAAAAAAAGGCGCAACCTCTTTATATCTGAGTTGATTGGTGAAACTGCGTGAGGGATTGACGAGTATTCATTCTCTCGACAAGTAAAGTACGGAGTAGAGTAGAGTAGAGTAGAGTAGAGTAGAGTAGAGTAGAACCTCGACATAGAGGAAAAGAGGCGGATAAAATATATGTCCGACACAAGATACAGAATACGGAATAAACTACTGAGGGAGAGGACGGGAAAAAAAAAGAGACATGAAGATTTTTGCTGGATTCATCAAACCATTCCCAGAGAGGAGTTAGTCAGAACAGTTGACTAAGGTCCCATGAATTAACGCCACAAAGCAAGACAGCAAAGCAATAAGGGAGGGGGAAGTGTGGGAAATAAGGACGAGGAGAAGAAGAAGAAAAAAAAAACAGAAACTTTCAGAGCGAAGGACACACAATGTGCTAGTCAGGTATTAAAAGCATGACGGACGCTAGAGCAATACCACACACATAGAGAGGCCCTTGAGAACTTGAAAATTAACCAAATAAGTAGTAGTAATAGTAATAATAATGATAGAAGAAGAAATAGAATCAAGGATCTCGAAAATTTCACAGCAGATCAGCACACGCATCTGTCAGACTTCCTGAGAGCAAAATGAAAAGGAAGGATATGCAAGAAAAGGATACACCAACGCCAGTCTCACGGGCACATATCCAAATCATGTCGATACAAATAAAGAAAAAGAAAACGAAGAGAGGTTAAAAGCCGAATAGCACAGGTTAAGGTTTGGCGAAATGTACAAAGCAAGGGTATATGGGGGTTTGGAACTAAAAAACCACTAGGTTTTGTTCACAGGCCATCTGTGGCCGTCTCTACACCATCTGGATAGGATATGCTAGGGTCAAAACCAAACCCAGCAGAGTCCGTATCCGTGTTGAGGAAAGTGTCAAAGTCGAAACTCTCCAGAATATCTGGGTTCTCCAGTGCGCTGAAATCAAGGTTGAAAGCAGACGCCTAAGAATAGCGTTAGCAGAGAATACTTCAGAAAACACGAGACAAAGCTTACATCAGGAATGCTAAGATCATTGAATGTTTGCTGGGTCTGGTCGGGAGGAGGCTGCTGGACGAGTGGCTGTGGAGCAGGGGCGGATGTTGGTTGCTGCGGAGCCCCGGTAGTGGCATTGGCACCATTCTTGTTGAAGGAGCTAGGGTGTTGGGGAGTAATCGGGGTTGATGGTGTCGGGGTTGGTGGATGCTCTGCTTCAGACGAGGGTGTAGCAGCAGTGTTTGCCGCCGCCGCCGCGGCAGCTGCGGCAGCTGTAGCAGTTTTCTTCGAGGGTCGCTATAAAAAACCGAGTTAATAATGACACGCAGAAAAAAAAAAAAAAAAACCGGGGGGAGGGGAGGGCAGGGGAATGAAATGCATGGAAGAACTTACCTTCGCTCCCTTTGGCTCTTTCTTCTTCGGGGCGGCCTTGTTTCCAGGCTGCGGTGTCGGTGGTGCAGCTGCTCCAGTCTGGGGAGAGGGAGGCTGGGTTCGTCCAGCATTAGCACCAGCAGCTGGAGGAGCCTGGGGGGGTGGCATCGGGTTCTGGTTCTGAGGCGTCCCAGTCGGAGGTTGGACGACAGGAGATTGCTGCGGTGCCATGGGTTGACCTTGCTGTGGCTGCCAGGCCCCATTTGGCATGCGGTTCACACCCGCAGGAATCGGTTGACCCATCTGGGGGCCGGTGAATGCCGGGTTTGAGCTGGGTGGTCGCATACCGTTGGGACCGGGCATACCGTCCTGCATGCCCTTCATGAAGAACTGAGCTCCGGCCATCTCAGGAGGCATCTGGGTACCGGCAAAGTTCATCGCAGCGGGGGAACCACGGCCTTGGCCCATCGCATCGGCGGCACTGGGGGAGCCAGGGAGACCGGTTTGGGTGATCTTGGGGGTACCCCTCTTCATTTGATCGTTGGGATTCGGCGACGTGCCGGTGCGACTACCCTGGGGAGAGGTTCCCGGTGGCAACTGACCCTGCTGCGGTGGTTGTCCCTGCTGGCCAGGAAGTGGTTGGCCAGGAAGCGGCTGGCCGTCGGGTCCACGGGCCATGCTGTCCTGCTCCTGACGAGCCATCATCAGACGACGCTTGTTCTGCTGTTCGAGGAGCATAAGCTGCATCTGATAATCCTGGAGAGCGTGGTTCCCATGCTGACCACCGGGCGTCTGAACCCCAGCCCTTACCTGGGCCATTTGGCCGTTCGCGCCGTAAAATTCGCCGTTCATCGGATACATACCCTGAGCATCTGGCATGGGCACCAGATCCCCCTGGTTCGGCATAACGCCGGCATTGATCAAACCATTCGGCATGCCCTGATTATTCATTGCTGAGCGAGAGTGATGAAGAGCCAAGTTCTGAGCATATACCTGGATTGATTTTGGCTGTGCAGCCGGACCCGACTGCTGGAAAGCCTGGAACTGATTTGGGTTCATGGGGCGGGGGTTGAGCCCATTCTGAATCAATAATGCGGGATTCGGTTGACCTGGCATAGCCTGTGGCTGGCCACGTCCGTTGGGAGCGAGTTGTTGTCCGTTCATATGGCCGCCTTCGAGACGGGGACGCTTCGACGGGGAGGGTGCATTATCGGCGGACGATGGGGATTGAGGACGATGGCCGTTCAGGTCCATCTCCGAATGTTCTCGTTGCATCTGTTGCATCATTTGCATTTGCTGGCTCTTTTGGAGTTGGGCCAATTGCTGTTGAGAGCTACAAAAAGAAATCAGTATTCTGGCGGGGGGTGTTACAGCAGTGGATACTCAATGAATGTTTTGGGCAAGAGGGAGGGTGCATACAAGCCACCGGTATTGTTCTGCAGGACGGTCTTTTGGAGATTAGGAGGAACCATGCCGTTGCGTCGCATGTTGTTAAGCTGGTTCATCTGACCAGGCATCATTTGCTGAGGGTTCCGTAATAACTGATTATGCTGCTGCTCCCTGAAGCGCATCAAATTCTGCGGCGCAGAAATGTTAGAGGTTGACACTGGGGGACGTTGGCATTATAAAAGATATGCGCGTACCTGAGTGTGTTGAAGATACTGTCTCACATCGTTGCTGTTACCCTTCTTGCGCTGGGCCCAGAAGAAGTCCCAGAACAAACTGAACCAGTCCAAAAGGAAGGAAGATTGCTGGCCTTCACTTCCCAGGTTGGGTCGAGGAAGATCGTCGGGGATTTTCAATTTCTCGCCATCTTTACCATCTGTCATCATCGCGTCGCCTTCGATGCCGTTAACTTCGCCATCGCGACGGTGACCGGGACTCGTTTTAATGGGGGGTTCGGTATTTAGCTTAATCGATTCATCTTTCACAAGAGCTCTTGCACAGTCGTGGTAGCCGCGTTTCAAGAAATAATCGTAGATATACGTGTTCAGGTTGTTGATCATCACATCCTGGATATTGGTCATAGTTCCATCGTTACGAGGTGCAGTCGAGCCATTATTGATCATCGGAACACCTCCGACCGGGCCTCCAGCACCGGGGTTCATCCCAGCAACATTCATTTGGTTCATGGTGGCGTGTACAAGGGGCTCAGCCACCCTCACCTGTTAGATTTGTCCTCGGCGAAAGGTGACGAGTTAAATGGATCCAACGCGCATCCACCGTCTCGGGGCGAGAGATCTCACCACTGGAGGAAGATCAGATGCGCGCGCAGCAGGAAGGGAGTTGGAAAAGGAGAGAAGATCGTGTTCGACACGAATGCGCGAAGGTCAGAGGGACGTTAATGGCGAACCCTCGCGACGAGGTAAGACGGGGGGAGTCTGCGTAAAGGAGCAGCGTTTGCACGCTTAGGAACGAGTGCAGATTCAAGAGGAAAGAATCTGCAATGTCTTTCCTACGCGCGGAGGAAACGAGTCCTGTAACACAATTCGTCCCGAATGTAAATAATAGACGGGTATAGATAAACAAGAGGAGCACGACTATATCATCTGTCAGAAGATCCCAGCCCGAGGTCCAGATGCGCAGAAAGACGCAATGTGGGAGGACGTGAGGCGGCGACAAGCGACACAGGGGACAAGAGGCGAAGACGGGGGCGATGTTAAGGAGAAGGGTCGATCCAAAAAAAAAAAGGCAGCGAACACTCCGAGACAAAACGAGAAAAAGAGTTCAATAGGAAGGAATATTATTTGAAGACCCTTATAGAATACGAATAGGGTAGAAAGATATAGAGAGAGAGAGAAAGAGAGCGATCTTGCGGGAATCCGTCCAGAGGGGATTAGAGGGGCGGTAAGGGTGGAGGAAAGACGAGGCGAAAATCAAGACCAGGAAAAGCGGTGGATCTTGAAAAAAGATAATGGAAAAAGAAGTATATAGTGGGATATCAGAGGAAGAGGAAAAGAGGGTGGAGGAGAAGGGGGGGGGGGGGGAAGGGGGGAATAATGTAAGTAAGAGAGAGGGAGAAGTCGAGTAGAGTAGGAGAGAGAGTAGGAGAAAGAGGAGGAGTTGGGATGTGGATATCAGGCGCGGTGCAGACGCTCTTCTTCTTCTCTTCTTCCTTCACTTCCTCTGCTGGTCAAATCTGCTGGGCTGGGCGGGAGTCGCTTGTTCGGACCGGATTATCCTGATCGGAACACTGCGGGAGGGCTGGGAGATGCCGTTGCCAAGCGTACTTCTGAGCATGCAGAAGGGAAGGCGGCAAAAAAAAAAAAAAAAAAAGTGAGAGGGAAGGAGAAACAGGGGAAAAAGAAAAGAAAAAAAAAAAGCCAGGAAATGATATATAATTAATCAGAGAAAATTAAACAAGTTTTACTCACAGGAGACAAATTTAGAGGGGTCTTGTACAAGAATCGCGATGATGTGGTGTGCTTCGGAGGTTGGGGGGAAAAGTGGTAAGGCAGGTTGGACTACTGCTCGGACAGTAGTAGGTGGCCGTCGCAGAATGGTTTCAATGCTGTAACCCGGTTTCTCTGGAAGAACAGCGTCAAACGTCGAGGAGGGTTCTTAAAAATGAAAAAGAAAAGAAACTCTTCGGCAGGGGAAGTAGAAATAGTTAATGAAGAGAGAGATGAGAGATCGATCGACTGATCAAGAATCGATGCATCAGTTGTTGTTACACTCAGGGTCTCTTTCCGCTGCGTAGTTCCCAGCACAGCATGAGATGTCCTGACTGACCCCTTGAAGTTTAGCTTATCACGTGGTGCATCCCCTCCTCTATACTTGACCGTCTCGATTTGAAGTGAGAAAAGAATAAGTATGCTGCTAAGGTAAATGGTTACCAGTGACAAATGTTATTATAAATATTCTAATTGGTGTCGAGAAAGCTCTTGTGTAGCTATCCTGTCCTGATACCAATGCCCGATCAGGCGGATCACTAAACGCCCATTAACTTCGATCAGGGCGATCATCTAGCTCCATATGGAGTAGAACTGTCACCGCATTCCAAACCCATCATCCAGAATCCTACCGGAGTTACGAGTATACTATATGTACCTACAGAGTCTGGGGTTGGGCCATTTGATTATTCATTTAATTCCACCTTGGACTTATCTGCGAAGCGATGGGGTGGTGGATTCAATACTCAACCCAACTAAAATATATTTGGTAGCGAATATGTATACACTGTCTATACTCAAGAAGAAGAGGGCGGGGACTGCAAAAGAATGAGGGGTTCAAACAAAGAGAAAACCTGATTTGACCTCCTTGCGCCCCTGGCTGTACACCACCCAAAGCAAGATATCATCATCCACACTCATTACACCTTTAGCAAGCCACCTACCAAACATCCAGTTCTGTGGTCCCTGCAAGCTTTCATCAACAGTGGCAAAGCTCATCAATGCAGATATCTCACATGCCATCTTATCGGAATGGGATGTATGTACGTGTATTCTGTCTGGCTCCTGGTATGCTGGCAGCGCCAAACAGATCTCAGGCTGACATTGGGACAAGTAGTCTTTCGGTATATTGTTGACTCGCAAACTACTATGTACATCGCGGTAAGCTGGCCTGTTGACCGACTATAACAATTCTAGAAATCTTTGAAGAAATCTACTTCCAGGTCTCTCTTACTCTACTCGTACCTATGGTACTCGTTGAAACTACTGCCTACCTACACTACACTACACTACACTACACTACCATGAACTCCGCATTTTCAAACTTAATCAAGGGAAAGCATAAATCAAAAACACAAACGAGGGTCCAGCCCACTCCCAATACTTAGGTAGGTAGTATACACCCCCAGAATAACGATATAGGTAGTTTCTCAAGATCAGGTTCCAAGTGCATTTGACAGCTCACAGCTCACAGCTCACAGCGTTTCTGGGATACTAGCACCATTTTCCCAACTTATCAGATATAGTAAGGTAATCTACTACTTACAGTACTACCAGGAACTCTACCTACCTAGGAGGTCGGTACGTATGTGCAACCGGAGCAAGACGAATCGTTTCCTCGGTTGATAGGCTATCTTGGAAGAATTCGTAACGTAGCGTAGCTTGCTACTAGTAGTAAGTAGTCTGGGGATCATGGATCTGTGAGGGACTGTATCTGGTCTTAGTTGATCTTCGTGGTGGAACTGAGAACAGAAAAGGTTACTGTACGTATATATACTTGAGTTTGCTAGCGGGAAGGCAGATTAGTCCCTAGGTTGCGCTTGGGATATTCTTCAATAATGAAGGATATTGGGGCTATGTTGTAGCGCCATGGATAGGAATCTATACGTATCTAATTTGGCAAATTGATGAGTCTCTGGAAGGGGCTGGGAAAAGTCGGGAGGATGATGAGTGAATGCGAAAAATGCGAGTAGAAGAAAGGGTAATAATGGGACAGCTATTTATTAACAGAGAAAAGTATGTATCCATATTTAAGCTCCTCAGAAGTAGAAGAGATCCAAATCCCCAACACCGGACGCCCTAGTTTGTCTAACGACAGGTTCAGTCCTCCTCTGGCGGCATCTCGTCCTCAATATATCTCACAAGCGATACTCGCATTTCTGTTGTGTCGTCGCCTCGTAGCACATCGCTAACAAAGTGTGCTTCGATTTGCATTTGGACCTAAGAGCAAGGTAATCAGTGACTGCTGGAATCGACAGCAAAAGAATGTACCCCACCATTTCCAGGGCACCCCGGAGCACGCCACATAGAATGCTCGAAAACCACAGTTCATCCTGCGCTCGCCCGTCGTCAGGTAGCTCGACAAAATCCGCTAGCGGGTTCTCATCGAATATGAGGGAGAACTGGTTGTTGTCGCTTGTCCAGTTTGTTACGGTAGGCGTAATGTTCAGGAACATCTTAAACCCAACCTGTGTCGTGTCAGCATACAGGGAACCCCGAATCTATGTTTCTCCACTAGAGAAGTGCCACTCGCTGCTAAGGCGCACCTTTGATATCATGTCTGCCGTCTCTCGGAAATTGGCACATCGACCGGCATTCGACTTTGCCAGAAAGTCCTCAATAAGCCGCATACCGATATTGTAGCCCATCTTCTCCAACTGCTTATTCACCTCATGGTAATTGCTATCGTAGTCCTGGCATAGTTGCGCAACAATCGTTCCATACGTCAATGTGACCAGCTCCGCGTTGACCTTGTCAACCTTCGTTCTAGAAAGTAAGGGTGCGTATTAGTGGTGCTCATCGCACGGGTCTGAGGTAGTCATAGAGACTAGTGGTAGAGGCAAGAGTCAAAAATGCGGCATTCAGCTTACTGACTTCCAGAGTCTATGAAATGGAATAGTCAGCAGAGCTCTAATCAGACACAGAGGACAACAAACAACCTACTCTTCTCCGATTCTCGAAACTTTCGTTGCGGACGACATGTTTGTGTATTGATGGATATCTTGACAGAAGAACTCGACAGTTCAGACAAGTAAGTCGTAAAAAGGAAAATCCGAAGAAAAGCAAGAAACTTATCCTCAATCAATTAATACTTGAACCTCCCCGCTTAAGAGCCTGGGGGTGGAAGGCGGAGGAGCTTAGCGCGCTTAGTTGGTTCTTTGCGTCTGTGGCGGCTAGCGTTTTGCTAAAATGCGAACACGACGGATACCGGAAAGACTTCCTGGCGGCCGCGTTTTGGGAATTAATACTCAAGTTCCATTCTCGATTTTGTTGTCTGAGCTATTCAACTACCGATAATTTTTCTAATTCATCGATTTTATTCCCCTCGTCGAAATTAGGATTCTAACATTGAAAGTCTATTTGTGAATGATGTCCGGCGAGAAACGACCTGCCCAAGCGGCCTTTGGATCGTCTAGCCAGCTGGTCGTGAAGCGGAAGAAGTCTGATGCTGGTCTCAATGACACAGCTGTTGTCAAGAGCTCTTCGCAGAATGGGGCTCTCATGCAAGCAGTATGTTTATCTCATAATAAATTTGAAAAAAAAAAAAAAAAAAAAAAAAACGTGTCGCGCATGAATGACCTTGGACGCAGGTTCCCCGCACAAGTGGGCTTGAAGCCCCGATTATGGAGCTCACAGGTGAGAGTTAACAGCATTGATGGTGGAATAATGTGATCTAATAAAGGGAAACTAGGCCATTCTAGCGAAGTTTTTACCGTGAGGTTCGACCCCACAGCACAGCATATCGCATCGGGTTCGATGGATCGATCCATATGTATGTTGAATCCTCGTGCGAGATTCGGAGAGAACTGCCAACTCATAGCGAATACATAGTACTCTGGAATACCTACGGACAGTGCGAAAATTACGGAATTCTATCCGGCCACCGAGGCGCGATCCTTGACCTTCAATGGTCCCGAGACTCCAAGACAATTTTCTCTGCGTCGGCCGATATGACACTGGCAAGCTGGGATTTAGAATCTGGACAGAGAATCCGGCGCTACCTTGGGCATGAGGAGGTTATCAATTGCCTCGAAATCAGCAAGAGAGGGCAGGAGATGCTGGTCAGCGCGAGTGACGATGGTACGATAGGAATTTGGGATCCCCGACAGAAAGACCCCCTAGAGTACTTGGAAACAGAGCTGCCGATTACAGCGGTAGCTCTATCGGAAGCAGGAAACGAAATATATAGTGGAGGCATTGATAATACCATCCACGTTTGGGACATTCGAAAGAAGGCCGTTGTTTATTCCATGGCTGGGCATACGGACACAATTACCTCTCTTGAAATCTCGCCTGATTCGCAAACTCTTCTCTCTAATTCCCATGACTCAACAGTACGCACATGGGATATCCGGCCATTCGCACCGACAAATCGTCACATCAGGACATATGATGGTGCTCCTGTCGGACTGGAAAAAAATCTTATTCGCGCGAGCTGGAACCAGGCGGGTGATAAGATTGCTGCCGGTAGTGGGGACAGGAGTGTGGTGGTCTGGGACTTTAAGACCGGAAAACTGCTGTACAAACTTCCGGGCCACAAGGGTACAGTTAATGATGTGCGGTTTTCGCCAAACAACGAGCCTATCAGTGAGTTCCCTTATATAATATCATCTAAACCCGGAGCATCCGTCGTGCTAATAATCATCAGTTGTTTCTGGGTCATCGGACCGAACGCTTATGTTGGGTGAATTAGGCAAATGATGATGCCTAAACAAAAGAAGATTTTACTGATGATACCACAAATGATTACGCATATTGCTCCGTACCGGTGGCGAAATTTATGTTTTGACAACTGGAAAAAGCCCCTGTAGCCCCAGGGAGGCCGGGATTGTGTGGATTGCGTTATCATGACTAGCGCGGATAAGCGATTTTCTTTTTGGGGGAATATACCACCGGGCTTGGATGTATCAACAATACTTCAATAGCCAGAAAATTATTAATCATAAGAGGCTCGTGTGTTTGGGCGTAATACTACTGGTTAGAGTGGAATTTTCTGAGCTGTCATGACAGGTAGCAGCGCTCTTGATTCCTGAGATGGAACCTTTGTATGTCGTTGCAAGACCGACCCAGATCCCGATCTTTTTCCATAGTGATAGCGGTTCTCCTCACCCGCATTGTTAGATTCCGGCTTGCTCGGCCGGTATCCTCGGCTGTCGATCCGTTCTGGGCTGTATTCGATGAGATTAGGGTAGAAGTGGTGGCTACCCTACCCCGGAACAACGGTAGTTTTCTGGATATGTGAATGGACTGAAAGAAGCTCGGGGAGGATGTTAAATGGTTTAAGAAACAAGTACAGGATGATCTGGTCAGGAAAGGGTTGTTTCCGAGCCATTCATTCTGTTTGCAGGTCGTCGTCACTCCCAGACTAGGGGCAGACACTAAAAGCCCAGATTTAGCATCACCACTAGTGCGATCGAACTACTCCGTACTCCTGCAGGACTATTTGATTGTATCACTTTCTGCGCCCTCCGCCCACTTCGAAACTTCCGTCTGCTTTCCCAAGATGCTCTCTTTTTCTTATTTATGTTTCTATCTCAAGCTTTGCCAGTGATATCACTCTGACTTTCCTTTTTGTTCCTTCAGTCTTTCGTTGACGATCTGTGTCTATACTGTACGCCGAGTACACTTTACGATAGCCTGGTGCTTCCCCCTATTCTCTCGCTCTCACCCCTCTCAAATCCGTTCCACATCACGATCCTTGACTCTCCCTTCCTATTGTGCTTTTTGTCCTTGAGGTTCTCCGTGCTGGCTGCCCGATACGTTGTGCTATCCCGTCTTCCATAACCGCACCGCCACATAGCTTCCTCCCAGCAACAAACAACCCGAGAAACTATATCCGATTCCAGCTGGGAGCAAATCCGAATAAATCTGCGGTTAATTTTGCTATCCATCATTGTTTTCAATCTTTCAAGCCGGTTTTGTCATTCATTGGAATTTTGTGCATGCATTTGCGCCGTTCTATAACGAAAGCGGAAAGTTGTACACATACCCGAAGCTTCGAGATCGCAGAACGTGAATGGTATTGCCATCAAATAAATATTAACGGCCGCTCTTTATTTTATTTCGTTTTTCTCTTACCCGACTTCAACCAAATGTTACTTATTATTCAATGACGAGTTCATTTACTCCAGAGGTGGTTTCACCGTCCCAGCCGGGCGCTCCACATCCACACAACTCGGATTTACGAACATTAAACAGCATTTCCCAGAGTATCAATTATAAAATACCTGGTACCGAAGATAATACCCAGAGAACCCTCCTTGTCCAAGAATCGGTGGAAATACCTACATCGAATTCGAATCTCAACCTTCAACGAGCTCCTGGTGACCACGCTGGACTTTGGGAACCTCATCAACCTGTGTCACCAATGCCGTCGCATCACATTCCTGACAGGACTATATCTCCCCCGGCAGCTTCAGACGGATCTAATCTTTCGTTGGAAACTATAAACACCATAAATAACGATGTACGCATGATCAGCCAACAAACAGGACAGATACAAGATGTGGGAGAAAGATCACCTGGTTTTGATCGTCGCACACGATCTTGTACTTCAATCCTGAAAGAAAAGGGCACTCGGAGGAAGCTTGATAGATTGATTGTGTGTGCAATCTTTCTTATCATCGTCCTCTCCGTCTGTGAGGCTTTATTCAAGATTTTATTATGGAGATATGCTAATGAGTATGTAGATCTTGCGTTCGTGTTATCAGCAACCCTTTGGGGACCTGAAGTCCATGTTTTGTTGTTATTTATGATTCTTATCCTTGTCATCGTGTTTTGTCATTCCTTGATCCGCTTTATCATGGCGGTCCTTCGACCCACTGGCTCCACGACACGCATACCAAGTATGGTAGGGCCCGCTGGTTATGCTCAACCAGATCGGCCGATTCATGTCACATTTGTGGGTGACGAGGAGATATTCGCCGAAAGCCATGTTCCTTCTCGGGAGAAGGTCACTGTTCCACCACCAGCTTATGGTCTTTGGAGGAGTAGCGTGGTAAGTGATGATTGTTTTGTTCTATCATAATCACTACTGATATATTTCCATAGAGAATCAACCCGGACTTGCTGTACTGGCAGCGGGTAGAGGGTCATCCACCTCTCCCGGAAAGTTTTAACAGGGCTGGAAACTCGTATGGGAAGCCTCGAATACCTCGACCGCCGAGCTACACCTCTGATGACGGTATCGATTATGTGGTTGAAGTGCAACCGCGATCACTCACTCAATTCCGCTCTCCCGAAGAGCAAAACCAGCGACGGTGATGGCTAGACTATTGCGTTGGATTCGGCTAGCATAGCTTTCTTTTACTCTAACAAATGCTGTTTATTGAGCACTATATTTGACGAAGCTAAATTCCCTCATTCATGTTGGCATTTCCTTTTTTTTTTTTAGCATTGATTTGGCTTGTTTTGCAGATAATCATTGGTCGAGCGGGAGTCAGCGTAACTATCTGTCGGTTGTTATTGGCGTCATGTTGAAATATTGGGTATTTCCTACCGAGACTTAACTTTTGCATATTCATTAAATTAGACCAAATACGCCAGAAATGAACCCCATGCAAATTTTGCTAGTAGCCTGTTTGAATCAATCCCCTCTCTTGCATTATTAATTACTCTTTCCTACTCGACGCACATACGCCGAAACGGCATATCTGGCCCTTCGGATATCTTGATCTCACGTGGGGAGTTGCTCTTCTTTGGATATCCCCCCCTCCTTCACCTTCGAGCCCTCGATTTCGAGGGGAAACCTCAAGAAAAATCCCGGAATCCACAGACGAGAAAAGTTTCACGTACAGAACTCCTCGTCGCCGCATTCCCATGCCGTCTGCGGCCGGTTCGCTTCTGCGGTAATGCGCTCAGGATGTTCGAGCTCTCAGACATCCGGCCGTTCAACATGGACGATGGCCTGGGTCTTGATTCTGTCACTCTGGGCCTCTATCGCCCAGAGCATGAGGTCCGATCAAATCAGGGAGCTAAGGTATGTCTTCGACCTTTCTTTAAGCCAATTTGAGCTCCCCCCCCCCCCTTCCCGCGACAACTCTCTTTTTATTTACAATGTATTGGGCCTCTTCGGAATATCTAGGATCGAGACAGAGCATATGTTCTACCACGGGTTCGAAAATTACCTTGAACACGCCTTTCCTGAAGATGAACTCCGTCCTCTCTCGTGCCGTCCGCTTGTCCGCGATCGAAATAACCCTGCGCGCGCGGAACTCAATGACGTTCTGGGGAATTACTCCTTGACTTTGATTGATAGCTTGTCCTCCCTGGCGATTCTTTCGTCGAGTCCGGAAGGTGGCCAGAAGGCTTGGGGGTATTTTCAGGATGGGGTTAAGGATTTCGTGACGCTTTATGGCGATGGCTCTGATGGACCAGCCGGCCAGGGTGAAAGAGGCCGAGGGTTTGATATCGATAGCAAAGTTCAGGTGTTTGAGACTGTAATTCGAGGATTGGGTATGTCTTTGCCTCTTTCATTAACCCTCTTTCTGCTTCTACGAAAGACGGAAATGATTTATGGTATTAATGTTGTTGATTTTACAGGCGGACTACTCAGTGCGCACCTTTTCGCTGTCGGTGAACTTCCTATCTCCCGCTACAATCCCCCCGATGCAGAGGCGACATTTGCGAAGGCCTGGGATAAAGCATCTTTTGCCAGGGGCCAAAAGGGCATTAAATGGGGCAATGGTTTTGTATATGATGGCCAGCTCCTTCGTCTTGCAGTTGACCTGGCCAATCGCATCCTACCCGCCTTTTACACCGACACTGGTCTCCCATATCCTCGCGTAAATCTGCGATATGGTGTGCATCGACAGCCTTTCTACGCAAACTCGCCATTGAATGCAGATATAATGCACACGTGCGATGGAATTGATTATGAAACATGTCGGGCAGCACGCCGGTCCTCCTCACCAGAAATCACAGAGACATGCAGCGCAGGCGCAGGCAGTCTAGTTCTAGAATTCACGGTTTTGAGCAGGCTCACCGGAGATGGTCGATATGAGGAATTGGCCAAGAGGGCATTTTGGGCGGTTTGGAATCGCAGAAGCGATATCGGATTGATTGGTGCAGGTATTGATGCGGAGTCTGGTAAATGGATAGCTCCTTATACTGGTGTACGTGGGTTTCAAAAATATTTGGATATTTTTGTGCAAAGCTAACGTTTCTCAAACAGATCGGGGCAGGAATTGACAGCTTTTTTGAATATGCTTTCAAATCGTATGTCCTGCTTTCCTCTGGGGAGCGCCCCGAGCACGATCCCAAGAGCCGGTGGCGTGTTCTGGATGACTTCTTCCTTCCACTAAGCGAGTACGAGCATTCACCAGACGCGTTCTTGCAGGTATGGGAGGATTCGCACGAGTCGATCAAACGTCACCTGTATCGGGGAGAGGGCTACCAACACCCCCATCTAATCCAAGGTGACATTTTTACGGGTGCAACTCGAGCTTTTTGGATTGATAGTCTAAGCGCTTTCTATCCGGGCCTTCTCACATTAGCTGGAGAGTTAGACGAAGCTATAGGGATCCATCTTCTCACCACGGCCGTCTGGAATCGTTTCTCTGGCCTCCCTGAGAGATGGAATGTTGCCACAGGAAACATCGAAGGAAATCTCGGGTGGTACGGTGGTCGTCCCGAGTTTATTGAGTCTACCTACTATCTCTACCAAGCCACCAAGGATCCTTGGTATTTGCATGTGGGGGAGATGGTTCTGCGGGATATCAAACGTCGTTGCTGGACCAAGTGCGGCTGGGCTGGCCTTCAAGATGTCCTGAATGGGGAGTTAAGTGACCGTATGGAAAGCTTCTTCCTTGGAGAAACAGCCAAGTACATGTTCTTGCTCTACCATCCCGATCACCCTTTGAATAGCCTGGATCGACCGTTCGTCTTTTCGACCGAGGGTCACCCGTTGATCATCCCGAAGAGTAAAATCCCCCAACGGCGTCCGCATAAGAACGAGATGGTATACGAATTTGAAGAGAGAGAAGCGCTCGTCTGCCCAACGCCGCCCTTGCCACCTACATTTGGTCTATCATCAACTGCTGCACGTCCCGATGTTTTCCATGCTGCGAATTTGGCCCGCCTGGATTTGATGCCTAATCGAGCACCGCCGGAGAGTCCTTTGGAGGACGTTGCGAAAGATCGGGCGGGAGTGTCGGTGGCAGATGTGACCTCCCCCACCAATTATACATTCTTCCCTTGGACATTACCCGCTGAATTGGTACCATTTAACGCGACGAGTTCACTCATGTCCGTGCGCCCTACAATGGACATATCCTTCCCTGCTCTCCCCGGCATGACTATTGGGCCCGGCTCGTTGGAGAGGGTTCGAGACGGAATCCTTGTGAAAGCTATTGGTGGTCTGCGCATGAGCATGATCAAGGACGCTCCCTCGCGTGATCCGATTGTGAACGCCGAGGGAGGCGAATTCCGGGTGCAGGTGGTCAACAACGTACCCCTTGGAAAGGATGAGAAGGTATACCTCTTGCGGGAGATCACATTTGATGTCCTAGATCCCGTGGACCCGAATTTCACGCGGGTCCGCGATCCCGGCATGATTGATCTGGTCATTGATGTTCTCCCAGATACCTTCCACCGACGAAATGATTCTCATGATCGTCGAGAATCTGCTAGGGCTGGAGATGGAGGGCAGCAGCCGATTATCCAAGCGGGATCATCCTCCGACGGCGATAAAGCGGCGCGATTAGAACACTCCGGTTCGAGCATGAAGGATGTCTTGTCGTCGCTCGTTAGTTCTGTGTCGTCACTCCTCCGGGATGACGCGCAGGTTTCGACGGGACCAACTGTCACCAAGAAAACGCGTCCCATTCGACTTCCCATTCCTGCAGCTATGGCGACGGGGTTGGGGTCCGCTCCTCTTCCAGATGTCGGTGACTCCTCTCTGCTATCGGTTAACAGCCACACATCGCCAGAGCGATTGCCTTGGTCTACAATCTACATGGCCGAGGATATTTGCGACCAACGCATCCTCCGGGACGTCGCGCAGTCTCACCAGGTGCTAGTAGTCAAGCGTGGGGGTTGTAACTTCTCACAGAAACTGCGCAACATCGCCGCATTCCCGCCGTCACGGAGCTCTCTCAACCTCGTCATTGTGGTCTCCTACGAAGAGGAACTCGAACCACTGCACGGCCCCAATCTGGCCCCGGGGCTTGCGGGGATACTATCAGAGCCATCCCTTGTCCGTCCGCAACTCGACGAGACCCAAATGACTGCAGGTGGAATTCCCCGACGACACCTACTTAGTATGGTGATGGTAGGCGGGGGCGAACAGACATACGAGCTTCTGCGGCAAGCGATAGGCGTGGGCATCAAGCGACGGTACTCGATGCGCTCGCAGGGCGTCCCGATCAGTAATTTAATCATGGTTTAGAGTTGAATATAGTAAATAGCAATGAGACATATATATATATATACCTTGTACGATTCCGCTGCCGTCTCTGGATTTTCCTGTGCTCTGCTGACCTACTAGTAACTAGGTAACTAGTATGAAGGAATTTAAAACGAAGTACGTACATACTAGTTACTCCATACTACCCTACTCATGTATGTACGTACCCCCTCCCTCCTCTCTCTCCCTCCTCCCTCCAATTCAATTCAATTCAATCCACAACCCAACCCGAGTATCCAAACACAAACACAACCTCTACCTCTACCTCAACCAACCTCAAATCAAATCAAATCAAATCAAATCAAAAAAGAAAGAAAGAAAGAAAGAAAGAAAAAAAAAATGAAACACCTCTACTTCGCCTACGGCTCCAACCTCTCCCCCACCCAAATGGCGATGCGATGCACCGTCAACCCCTCCCGATCCGCACACCCCGTCGCAATCGCCTGCTTAACCAGGTGGCGCTGGCTAATCTGCGAAGTCGGGTACGCGAACGTGATCCCGCCGGCTGAGCTCTGCGTGGGGAAGCAGCGAACAGCCGCCGGCGCCGGGAAAGACGACGATGGCGTGTTCGGGGTGCTGTATGAGATGGACGCGGCGGACGAGGAGATTCTAGACGGGTACGAGGGGGTTGATACGTGCTCTGCGGGATCTGGATCGGGGTCTGGGGCGCCGAGAGAGGTGCTGCGGCCTAGAGAGCAGGGGGATGGGTGTTATAATAAGTGGTTTGTGCGGGCGAAGGTGGTGACGTGGTTGGATGGGGGGTATAGAGTGCGGAACGGGCTGCCGGGGGAGGGAGGTGAAGTGAAGGTGTTGGTGTATGTGGATGAGGAGAGGGTGGAGATGGGGTCGCCGAAGGATGAGTATGTTCCTAGAATGAACCGGGCGATTCGGGAGGCCGTGGAGTTGGGGTTTCCGGGGGATTGGGCGGAGGAGGTAATGAGGCCGTTTATTCCGTTAAATTAGACCTGCCTAGAGACACGATGAATAAATGATAAAGATGGTTGCGATGTTATTTTGCGGCCGTTTCTCTCTCTCTCTCTCTCTCTCTCTCTCTCTGTGTGTGTGTGTGTGTGTACTAGTAATGCGACACAATGAGCAAGTTATTATTTATTTCGTGCTATACATATATATATTCAAGTCTATCATAAGAAGGGTAAAGCCTTCTCCAGATCGGTCAATCATTCTCAACGGGTTAGCTATCAGGGTCTCCGACAGGATCCAAGCGAGAACCGGAAGAGCCTCTGCAGCCGGGCCATTAATTCGCCCAAGGTATGCAGTCTATCCGTTGATACAGTCCCATTCGTAATTCACGCTGCTCCACTTCGGGAATCAGAAGGTTGGCCGAGATCTAAATCATGATAATCAAGTTGACGGAGCGAGTGAGGCAGAACCCAGCCGTTTATTGAATGCTTTTGGGTGTTTTCGAGCCCGTCGAAATAGGCGAGCAACAATCGTTCATAAAAAGGAAAGAAAAGAAAATTGCAGAAAGAAGAAAAAAAAAAAAAAAGGCAAGATCATGGTCATTAAGATTTAGTCTCCTGGCCAGAGAGAAGGGTGTAGACAGGAGCAGGGAGCTTGTCGCGTCCGTGGAGGAACTCGAGTTCGAGCATGAAAATGAAGCCCATCAAAGAACCGCCCATTTTCCTGATGAGTTCTCCAGCTGCAAATGCAGAGCCGCCTAAAGAGGGTTAGTTTGTATTCTATTGATTGATTGATATTCCGAGTAGAGATCAACTTACCAGTTGCAATAATGTCGTCCACGACAATCACCTTCTGGCCAGGTTTGATCGAATCAGACTGCATCTGGAAGAAATCCTGGCCATACTCCTTGTCATAACCCTGAGTTTCACATGGTCCAGGCAGCTTGCCCTTCTTGCGGCAAGGCACGAAGCTGGCACCGAGTCTCAGAGCGAGGCTAGGGCCGATAAGAAAGCCTCGGGCCTCCAAGCCGACGATAACATCGGGCTTTTCATTAGCGTGGATTTCGAGGACGTGGAGCTCCAAGCAGCGGAGGAGGGCTTCGTGCAGGACGGGGTCGGCAAAAATAGGAAGGATGTCTTCGAATAGGATGCCAGGGGACGGGAAGTCAGGGAACTGACGCAGAGCAGCGCGCAGTTTTACCTTAAGACTGGCGAGTTCGGCGGCGCGGGAGGCAGAGGAGGGGGAGTGTCCGGCGACTTGGGTGGTAGTGGAGGCATGGGGGGGTTGAGAGGGAGGAGGGTTAGAAGTTGCTTGGGACATGGTGAAAGAAAGAAGGAGAAGAAGAAGAGAAGAGAAGAGAAGAGAGAAACACGGAGGTGAGGGGGTTAAGGGAGATGTGACAAGGTAAAAATAGTTGAATCAAGACGTGATAAGCAGGAGGGGGAAGTTAAAAAAAAAAAAAAAATATTATCGCCAGAAGAAGAAGAAGAAGTTCTCTGTATTGTATTGAGTAATTCCGGTGAAATTCATTTCCAAGAATACCTGCTGCTACTAACTATACTATTATAGAAGATGACTAGGATATCTGAGGTTATAAAGTGGTACTTTTTTTCTTCCATTAATTATAATATTCTAATAAGAATCAATATATACTTACAATCATATAATAACTATATCCCTCTGGTGCTAGATATAGATCGTGGTATTGTTCCTGTCACAAAAGGTACGGTAATACCACCGTCTGCCCCTCTAGTCTAGAATCCTATCATCAGCCCACGGCCAACTACTAACCAGCCCCTCCAGGTCGGGGTCTCGCTGCTATGATACTCTCTTTGTATATTAATTCGATTCCACTCTCGATCTTTCTTGCTTTGGTTGGTCTTTCTGTCTTCTAATCCTCAAGGATTAGCGGTTCACTAATTCCCTTAGTCGTCCATGTCATCTGCAGATACGACTCCGTCCTTGGGTGGATCAAAAACAACACCACCACCACCACCACAGATCTGTCGTCAATGCGCACTGGAACGGTGTGGAATCGTTGACCGAGTCCATCCCTCTCTCTCTCTTATTGCCACTTGGTTCACCCTGTAGCTGGCCGGGAAGTCGCCATGAAATTGCTCCTTCTGGTGGCATGGCACGGCCCACTTCCCGAGCGCGAGTCTTCCCTTCTATACGGAGTACATGATGATGTCCACTGCAGCCTTGCGCCATGTTTCATTCTCCAATTTGTGTCAAATGGTCTAGAAAGCTCATCCGCTTCCCCGTCCAGGAGGGGTGAGGCTTTGGAGGCCCGAACTAACGCCTAGCACGGATGGTGCTATTTCGTAGAGGTGGTATTGGCCGTGGTGGCCTACAAGTTACAAGCAAACCACCATGCGAGCTCATTATTCAGAAACAACCGCGACATGCCGCTTTTGGCTGGAAATGCTATGCTGGTCTTCTTCAGCCGTCCGTCCCGTTGTTTAAATTGTATGTTGCGCGGATATCCGAAGCTACTACTCTATGTATAACTAACTACTCCATACTCCGTACTTTAATAACATCTTTGACACCTTCGGGATCTAGTTAACAAGTGTTCCAAAATTTCCGGATTCTATCTCGCCGGATACTCCACCTTCACCGCTTCCCGCATCTCCACGAGCATGCCTACTTACCTAGGTAGTATAGATGTAAATCTTCCCAGGAAATGTATCTCATTTGCCCGTCACACTCATTGCACAAATATCAGATTTCACCAGACAGATTAAAAATGTCCGAGCACCGTAACTATTCTCATTAGCACGGAGTCATCCATTACCCGAGCACATTTACCTTCCCTATACTGGGGTAGAATTTCCTGTCTCAAGGCTTGTGTGAATAGTCGCAACTCTACAAGCAAGCTGATGTGGGGTCCTTGGCCCTCTTGCCAACAAGGATCCAAGTTGTCGTAACTTGGTCCTTTCCCACTCCTCAAACGGGTAAAGTCGACTCAGAATAGTGGGAACAAAGAGCCCCCAGAGCCCAGAGGAGTCAAAGACCAGGAAAGGACTGGAGTTGAGTACTCCGTAATCCACTCAAAGGCTGGACTGGTGGACTTCTCGAGAGCCTATCCGAAAGCACCCGACTGAGCCTACCTACACCTTCTTTTTTTAGTTTTCTTTTCGTAGAACTGAGAATCGAAATTAGAATAGGGAACTAGAAGGTGTTAGTAGTACTAATCTGACTGCAGAAATCCTTACTACCCGCGAAACAAAACCTACGGAATCAGCTTAAGCCAGTATACGCCACGAGGACCTTTGAGGTAGTCAAGAACCGCTGGTTGAGAAGGGATCCCAAAATCATAAGTAAACTGGCATAGTCTCCCACTCTTAGGCAGCGTAGGCAACAACCCAGATGTGCTGGGTCGTCGTGGAGTGCAACTAGTCAGGGACGCATCAGGCTAAATTCTGCATGACACAATCCAAACACTGGCCCTCCTATTCAGACCAGTCAAGATCGTCGCAAGTCAGCATTGGGTTTGATGGGTTTCCCCGTCTTCATGCCGCAAGCTTATCTACTACTATGGTGTTATGCACACAAGGCGAAGAAATAGAGATGGAGTGGCGTAATTACTGGGGAGATGGGGGTTGGATTGTAGTTGGTCTATTGCTTGGTATAGTTACATTTATACTACTCATACTTGATAGCATCTTTGGTGAACCAGTGATGGGTCTCATTAACTTGAGCCCTTGACAGGCGTGGCCATTCACCTGACCACAAACCAGGCGCGCGATCTTACCAATTTCTCGCCAGTAACTAAACACTTCGCCCTCTCAAATGCTTCATAATCTACAACCCATCAGCCAAGTACCTCTGATCAGTGCATGCACCGCCTCAACCACTTAGCATCATGGAAGCTCTTGCAAGCCAGTGTCAACCCAGTACATCCTCTCCAGCAGCTACGACCCTACACAACCCCAACTCCCTCCCAGAACTCGCAATGAGACTTACCTCTGAGCTGGCTAGCCGTACAAATAACAATGAGTCCGAGGACGAACCTAACCGCAACTCAGCTGCCGGTTCCACCCAACCTTCGAACATGGAAAATACGCCGGCACCAACTTCCCAGACAGCATTGCAGATGTCCAATAAAGAGAACGATGCCCGTGGTCAGCCGTCGTTGCGGATCTCTCTTGGGGAAATCACCCTTGCGCGCGGGACGATGGCCATTGATGAGACTCATTGGTAATACGTGCTGTTCTAAGGGCCTTGTTGTGATATAAAATTATGTGGCTCATTTTCCCTATCGGGATAGAGGCTTTACTCTGGCAAGTCTCTTTAAGCCTCTCTTTGTGATGTAAGTAACTGGCTCAGGAATGGTGATTACCCAGGAAATATGCTCAATGATGGTTTAAGGATGCTTGGGGAAGCTGACATTCTAATTAGTCTATGAAAATTGGTATGATGGATTCCATTTCTCCTGATATTTGGCAGCTTAAATGACCTTTTTAGTGCTAATTCACTAAATTCCCTTATGACGCGGTTGAGTTAGATAGCTAGATAGCGGAATGAAAGTAATTCTTTCGCTGAAAACATAGTTTATTGGGTTGGAGGGTAAAGCAAGTAGAAGCCAAGTCAAAATATTGACCAGATAGCTAGAGTAACAACAAAATGTACAGGAACTGACAGCATGGCTTAACCATGAAGAAAACTGATAGTTACAAAACCTTTTATACCAATCAAAACCATCACGTGGCAAAGCACGGACCATCTCGCTTAAAATGCTGACTACTTAAGGCAGCAGCTTCTTTCGGCTCCTTTGGCACTTCCCCCCCCGTTGTCTTACGACCTTCTCATGATTATCCCATTGCACTTCTGCTTACCGCAGAAGTGCTATATGAACTCCTCAGATGTATTATATACTGTCCTGTAACCAGCTTGCCTTTCACGCAACATGTCTCCTGCTCCCCTTGCTGCCGATGTGCAGCCTGACCGGCAATTGAAAATCCTGGCCCGAGCCTTTGAAGCTCTGCTACTAACCACCCAACAACTCAGCACCAAGGAGAAACTCCTAGAAACCAGGCTGAAATACGCCGCTGATGAGGTACTACTCCTTTTCCGAACCATTGCAAGCCACCCCCATGATGTCCCAAGTGATGAGAAAAACGTGATTAGCTCTAGATCAGGAGTCGCTTTTGCGGCGATGACGGAAAGTCATGTATTATCTGATGAGACATCTATTCCTCTTTATTTCACATGTTATTCTGGAGTTACAGAAATGTATGCTAACATTCTCCAAAAGTATCTGAAGCTATCGTGCAGACTCCCTGAGGGTCGCGATTCCCATGCGGAAATTGTCTCGGAGAGAATCCTCGACCGCCATTATGAATTTGACAGTCCTCGCAAACAGAAAATAAACCTATTGGATGTAGTAAAAGACCTTGCAGAGTCTGGAAACGTAGGAGATTCGAGCCTCGCTGCCATAACTGCGGGGGTGGAGTGCTATAAAACCTTCCTGGATACCCAGGATGATAATAAGACCTCGGATCCCAACCCCGGTCTGGTTGCGACAAGAGCCGGCTCGTTAGAAAAGGACTTCACTACCAAGGGCACGCGTGGAAGTCTGCGCTGCCCCTTTGCGAAGCCTCACAATAAACCCTCTGAAAACGGGGTAACCAACGGGATCGAAAATGCTCTGCCGTCTCAGAATGGCGATTCTTGTGGCATCGAACATCTAGACCCCATCAAAGCCGAGCAGCTCGATAGGCAATCCACCCAAACACCGTCTGCACGGTCATCGACCACCCGATGCCCTGTTTCTCGCTGTCCCATCAGGTTTCTAGATCAACATAGCCCGGAAGAGATTGCCGACTATGTCGAACGACACAAGCATGAGATACCCCGAAGTCACGCGATCTGTGTCAAGCGGTACTCGAACAGCTCTCGACAGCTCGATGCGAAATACGGTGACCTCACCAACATGATCCGAGGCCTATCGCAAAAGCACCAAGCGTTCCTCCCTGGCCGCGACCGCAGTCAAACTACTAGTTCATCCGTCGAGCGGGTGGAGAAATGGGCGGAGGAAGTTGGTCTGAAGTCGGAGATGCAGCCTTCCATCAAAGAAGAGGAAGAGGAGAATGAGGAAGAACGGAAAGGCCATTTCGACCGCCCTATGCGAGAAGTCCGCGTTGGTGAATCGCCAAGCAGGCCTTGGGGAATCCATGTGCCAGTTCCTCTACCTCCAGTGGCATCTGAATCGGCGCAAAATCCAGCAGCTGATCTTGTCGAATCCTCTGCTGATACGCAGTCGAATAAAAACGCTACAGCAGATGGCCCCCGCAAAGTTGGTCGCTGTCCATTCGGCCACGGTGGTGCAGCACCTCCCCCCGACCATCCAGCAATTGAAACAGAGACGATCCGCAAGGAAGACAAGCCGTCCAGGCCTAAGACTCCACCCCCGGAGGAGAAGGAAGAGAATCCTGCAAACCCGCCGGGTGTGCAAGTCCCTCTAAACGGCCCAACTGTTGTGATCAATGGTCCTGTGTTCTTCGGATTCTCTGCCGAGCATACTGCGACCTTTATGCAACAGTTAGCCAGCATGGGAATTAATAAGCTCTGATTGGTTATTCTCACATAGGAATCATTCTTTCCAAGCCGTACCATGTTATCTCCGAGTCATGTACATACATATTGCGTTCTTTTATTAGCGTGTTTCTGGGCAGCGAGGAGTTGTCGGCATATCATGATCATGATCATTCTCATTTCTATTAGAATGAATGCACAGGATCCATCTTTATATTCATGGCAGTAGTTCCCTGGTTATTACGAGTGCTGAAGCCGACGAACTGTTGGCAATATAGCAGCGTCAGTTGTAATTAATATTTCAATATCCGTCTAGACAGGAATAATTCAAGATATCTTGCTTGTTGGGAAGTGTTAGAATGGGAAGCAAAACATCCGATGTCGGGAGGGGCACGACTTTCCATTTTCCCCTCCGACTTTCCCGCGGCAAGGCAAGATATGATATGATGATATCCAAGCTCTGAATCTCTCTTTCCCCTCTCTTCTCCATGCTTAGAACTTCTTCTCGCCTGCTTCCCATCTCTCGCGCGGTCATTTCCTCCCCAATCCGCGCTCACATTTCGTCTCCTCGTTTCCAACCCCCTATCCAAACCGCCAAAATGTCCGACTCCTCCATCATCTTCACTCCCAACGCTTGTCCCCGTAAGTCAATCCAATCTAAAATAGATCTCAAAGCTAACAAAGTCTCCCTTTAGCCGTGGGCCCCTACGTACGATGACTCCCTCTCTCCTCCCTTCTCTCATACCCGTAGCCCTCACTGAACCCCCCCCCCCCCCCCCTTCTCCCCCTCCACCGTCAATTCGAGCCCAGATCAGATCAAACCAAACCAAATAATAACGCTCTCTCTCTCTCTCTCTCCCAAATTAGTCCCAGGCCATCAAAGCCAACGGCCAGATCTTCCTCTCGGGCCAGATCCCCGCGGACAAGCACGGAAACCTAATCGAAGGCGACATCAAGGCCAAGACCCAGGCTTGCTGCGATAACATCAAGGCTATTCTCGAGGCGGCCGGATCGAGCGTTAGCAAGGTGATTCGCGTGAATGTAAATCCCCCCCCCCCCCCCTTTATTTTTGGTTTGGTTTGCAACTGTCGGTGAGCTGGGGAAAAGGAAGAAAAGAAAGTAGGCTAATGGGTTGGTGAATAATGGGCTAGGTTTTCCTGGATGACATGGCCAACTTTGCCGAGATGAACGAGCAGTATGCTACTTTCTTCACTCACAAGCCTGCTCGGTCTTGCATTGCTGCGCGTCAGCTGCCCAAGGGTGTTCCTGTTGAGATTGAGTGCACTGCTCTTGCATAGATGGATTGCGATGGCGATGTTCTATAATTACTGAAAGGAAAGGGAAGGAAAGGAAAGGAAAGGAAAGGAAAGGCATGTATGTGGTGGTGACTGACTGCCTTGGACGGATATATATACAAGGAAGATCAGCAATAAAAACTAACGAATACTACGTACAGTATCTCTATCTACTCGTACAACCAGAGGCAACTTGGCGTAGTGAAAGAAATTATCATTATAAGATAGATAGGTCGGCAACTTCCCCCGAAATAGTAATCCAGCTAGCTATAGCTCCCCCAGGCTCAAGTATCGCACTCGCAGGAATCGCGCAATTGGAATCATAACATAACATAACGTCCATGTCAGAAAAGCCATGCTGAATGTAAACACCACAAACAAAAACAAAAACGAAATATAGATGAGAGGGAGGGAAAAAAAAAAAAAAAATTTAGTATAGAGTCCCGGTTAACTACTTGCGTTTCACCGACGTCCCAATGTACTGGACATTCGTCCCCCAACGCCCGCCATAAGACTCTGTTTGACAATGGCATCGGCCGCTGCGGCGGCTGCAAGTCGCTCCTTTTGGCGACTGCGATCGCGCAGATAACCAGCGGCTTCTGGCCGCATACGCAGAATCCGTAGGATCATATCATCGTTGGGGTCGGCCTGGGCCTCCCGCCACTTCTCCTGTTTTGCCTTCTTCATTGTACCTAGGTTGCGAGAATGCATGATGCTCTTGGCTCGGCGTCCGCCTGGGATGCCAAGAACACTGCCGGTCCCGCCAGGGCCCATGTGTGGTGGTGCAGATGCGCGATTGCGGCTGGCTTGTTGCCGGGAAATTGTCGCGGAGGCCATGCGCTCCGAAGTGCGGATGAGATTCTCAGTGGGCTCGAAATAGAAGAAATTCAGACTTTGGATCTCATGATACTTGGGAGATTTTAGGATATCAATAGGGACACCATTAGCTTCGCCGGTTTCCTCGTCCGGGGCGTGGAAGAAATTCAAAAGAAGCACGAGCCAGCGTGACACGATCTCAACCTCCTGCATAGTGAGAGGCTTCTGGTGCGAAGGTTTATCCGATAGCGGGGGGACAAGCAAGCTTTCAATGGTCGCAAGTACTTCCTTCCATAGACGTGCCATGACCATCTTCATAGCTTCGGGTGTGAGTGTCTTGTTCATGATCGCAAAGTTGTCATTGAAATAATCAAAGAGGGGCGTCAGTGCATTTTCCACGTCCGCATTCGATGGAGTCACTCCAGTTGACTGTGTACGATTCCGATTCAGGAAATTAGAGACGCTGGAGATACTCAGACCGCGGGATAGCAATGATTTCAAGGTCCGACGAGACAAGCAATGACTGATATACGCAGACAGCTAGAGAGAGAGACCCTGGTCAGTAATGAGACCAAGAATAAGCGTGAGTCAAACGTACCTTTTCAGTGATTTTGCGGGTCATGTCTCGCTCAGTCCGCTTCAATGTTCTAAATGCTTTGCCAAAGTAAAATTGAATGTCATCACGCTCCCCTTCCATACTTACTCGAAGCAATAATCTGCCTTGCGTATCCAAGTCCAGCCAATACTCCCTTGGCAAGAAATCGCCAAAATGCACGGGGTCAAGTTTGATTGACGTTCGTCCGACATAATCATGATCGCCCACTGCATCCCAGTCCCAAATCGTGGCGATGATGTTCAGAGGTCCCTGGGTGGTGATGTCGACGGTATCATCCCACCGTGGATTCAGGTTACTGTAAATAATGCGAGTCTTTGAAATTCGCTTCTGATATTCATCCGCCAGGACAACATACGGATCACTGCTTCCGTTCATATCGCAAGCCTTGAGATCTTCCGCTTCCACAACTTTAATTGTGAACACGCAGGTTGTGGACTTGCGTATCTTCTGGAGCTGTGGAGGGCTATGTCGAGCAATCACATCAGCGCAGCCATCAACGTTTATCTCGCGCTCCAGTCGATCGAGCTGGGAGAGGGCGTATTCAACGTTGTTGAGTTTGACCAATGACTGTGGACTATTCTTAGCTACTACGCGCACAGAAAACTTGACTTGAAAAGGCCTAACTTACCTGGGGAAAGAACTGGAATGGCTCAATCTTCTCCTTGCTTGCCCATGCCTCCTTCGCGATTTGCATTAGTTTCTCCTGCGTGGTCTGATTGAGGGCTGCCTCTTGGTCAGGAGAGAGTCGGTCCATTTCCTTCGCAAACATCTGCTCCACTGCTTCACAGTATCTCGCAAGACCCCTTCCAATAGACTTGGATAGTGCTGTCATGAACTTTGCGTACTGAAACTCATCAGTCCACTTTAGTTCTATCATCTGCTCTATGACTTGATTGAACGACCGGAATATATCTATCACAGACACACTGTGTCTAGCATCTTCGGCCACCAATTCCATGGAATCATCGTCTTTGACTGTGAACGCATCTTGTCTGAGTGCTTGCTCAACCCATTCCATAATTTTCTGGTCAGTGAGGTTGATCCATCTCCAAACGAAACTTTCCAACAAGTCTTCCACGCGGAATGGAAAGGGGGCGCTGGTTTATTATTAGTTAGCACATAAGACGTACAAGAAGAGCAAGGAACATACTCGGGAAGAGACTCCATAAATAGAAGTCTGATAGCAGACAGCTGCTTGTAAAGGTGAAAGGCATCAAGGATATCAATCTCTTCACCTCTCGCCTTCTCCTGCTCGAGAATCCTAACTATTATTTCGTGTATATCCTCCGCAAATATTGGCAATGTATTTGACAGCAAAATGCTGTGGGGGTTGACACTAGATCGGCGGATCAGCAAAAAAATAAAAAAAAAAAGACATCTTGTTGAAGCAGTTGTAGAACCCATACATACCCCATAATCTCTGGATTGTTTCGGTACCGTTTCTTAATTCTCTGCGCATGCTTCGTAATGGCATCACAAAGCTGAATAACGTGCTCCAATTCCCACTCCTCCGGGTCCACAGGTACCTCCTGTCCCAAGATGCTTTGATATTTCTCAGTTGCTTTCTGGGCAAGGCCGTCCTGAACATATGACTGGAAGCGGTTGATATCTTTCGCATCCTCTGTGTAATCTGGATCGAGCTGGATGTGATTTTCTAGAACGTACATGACTGGACCGATGGGGCGAGGCTTGGTTTCATAGCAATCCATCATCACATCGTACAATTCTCTCAAGATAGCCTCATGAAGGGACGAAAGTATTTGACGCATTAGGGCAGTATCATGAACCGTCCACTTGGTTCGATCGAAGAGTACCGAGGAAGAAATGATACTGCTACGTTTCTTGCCATCCGATGAAGGCATTTCCTTAACAAATGAGAATGCTGAGTCAAGGGTGCTGAGGTCAATCTCATTGTCAACGAATTTGGAACGTACAACGTCCAAAAACAAGACAGCTCTAGAGAATGGAGGGATACGCCAGCGAATGGAAGCCTCGTTCAACATTTCTGTTGACTGCTTAGAGAGCAGCTTCATAGAGGGTACTTCAGATGTAGCTTGTGTGGCCTCAAGGTCACGGTCTTTCAAGTCGTGACTTAAAGCCTGTGCCAAAATGGTACAATATACCGTTCTCGGATCCGGCGGTATGAATGTGTAGGTGTCCGATTCTTCAGAGTTATCATCGGCTAGTGATAGCGAGCTAAGATCCACGGGCTGGTCGATCACGTACGATATCGGCCGACCAGAGTTTGTTCTTGACAATTCTCCAAACTCCCCGTGAAGGTAGTCACCTCCACTTGCATTGAATTGAGGGAGGGCACCGCCGGGGGTGCTTTTTGCTAGTTCAGGATTCGATTGGACAATGGCAAGCATCATCTGGGATAGGTCCGGCCCCTCACTCTTCTTCCAAGCTTCATAGGACTCCTCATCTTCAAAATCATCTCGAGAGAGTGAGTTGCCGGTCTTGAGACTCAAGTGAGTCTGATATGTCTTTAGGTCCCTGAGAGCAGCCTGCGCAGTCCAAATTCCTCGATGTTTTTCAATATCGGACTGCGCTTGGGCGAGGTTCACGTTAAAGATCTTCGCAATATGCTGCACGTGGGGCATATCCTTCACGTCATAGCTCAAAGGGGCTACGACCTCTATTGTAGATGGGCTAGCAGTTTGCACAAGGTCCTGGTCATGGGAAAGGAGCTTGCTCTCCAACACCGCCAATCGATTTGCCAGCTCCGGGCGTTCCTTCGCCCAGTCATTGCTTTTGAGAATCAGCGCAAACAAGCGAACAAACAGTGCGACATGCCTGTCCACCATAAATTTCCAGCTGTCATCATCCACATCTTTACCCTTACTGAGCTCCTTTGTTGCGTTCGAGTAGAAGATTAGAACGAGGTCTTCTGCCCTCCGATCCTTCTCCATTCTCTTTTTGAACGATTGATCTTTGAGAGCATTTAGAAATGCAGCAAAGGTCCTGACAACTAGATGATCCTGGTATTCCTTTCTTGTCTCTTTCCCCATCAAGATGCCGGTCAACCTTTTCTCAAGCTCCGAAATGAAGCCATGGGGAAACCTGGAGCTTTTGGAGTCTCGCAGGAGAGAGAAATCGCTCATTAAATCTTGGAACGAGGTCGAAGCCCGCTTGGGCCGCTGGGGGGGAGCTGGTGCATTCTGGACGCGGCGCGAGCGTGGTTGAAGAAGATGGGTAAGGTACGCTACACGGAGAGCATAAGAATAGGCAACTGAGGAAGTCACTGGGCGTCGGCGGGAGAGGGAGAGGTTGCGCGAGTGGTGGGTTTCATTCTGCAGACTATTGATCCGTCGGTTTACGCCTCGGGACTGAGTAGATGCCGTCGACATGAGGATTTGTTCGCTATCTGGATTCTTCGATATGCAAGCGAGGGGCGGAGTGCGGGACCATGGGAGGAGTTGCGATCAAATCACCAGCCAGCGCAAGCTGGATGGAATGCCGTGGGAGAATCTTGAGTTCTCGCTGAGCTTGAGGAAAGCAAGAGGTAATATTTATATGGGAAGAATAGCCCAGAGAACTGGTGGCGGGTCGAGGTGAAGAAGAAAGGGGTGTGTTGTTATGGCGGGAGATCATTCATTGTGTTGCAACACCTGAAACAAAAAAGCGATCCATTCTCCAATAATAGACTGACGTAGACGAAGATATTAAATCAACCCATATCCTAACCACTGCCTCGGGAGAAATTACTGAAGAAATTACAAGATGATGGGCCTTGATTAAATTTATCAACCTTGGAAAACATATGAATAGCTCTTCACTATGCTACGGGATTATCTGCATGCTATATCTCTTTAACTTGGTATTCCCTCCATGTCTTCCCACAAGCAAGATAAACTGAAGCAAAAAAAAAAAAAAAGGCTTGATTATACAGCTATCTATCGTGAAGTGTCTCGCCTTCTGGATCATTTGGCCCTATTTTAACTGTTGGGGGAATTCCGAATTAGAACAGTTCGTATCATGGAAGCTGCAATAACCGAACCTCAATCCTACATCACCGGCAGAAAGTATTCCTGTAAGAAACCCCCCAAGGCAAGAGATCCCTAGCAACTGCAAATAGGTAGACGAACGGAACTTTCTTCCTTATCGGTAACCAGATACTCGATTGACGCCGAAAACAAATCGCATTGTATTTATTTACATATGAGAACAAAATTTGATCACCAGGAGTCTCCGTCCTTACGAGCCTAGATTCATAGTTAGGAAATTTTACAACCAAGGTACTCTTCCAGTAGGTAGGGATCGGTAACGTACTGTGACAGCATTGGCACCACCAAGCTCCTTCTCCAGACCATCTGTGTATGTCTTAGGAGTGCTTGCCTTGTCAGGATAGTACAGGCTCACAACGCCGCAGAGTCCCAGGAAGGTGACGACGAAAGCACCGAGCTGGAACAGACCCTTGCGCGGCGTCACATGGTTGTACTGTTCGGGACTGAAAACACCAAGAATTTCATTATCCTCGTGAACAGGTTCGCCGAAATTCCGCCTTTCCTGCTTGTCCCACCAATCGCCGTAAGGGTCTCTGGTAGCACGCTTTACTCGGGGAGGGTTCTGATAGTTGCCATTCTATAGAATCCAATGGCGTCAATTGACCTGGAAACTCGCCCAAAGGGTCCTAATTCACATCATACCTGGAGAGGATCGTCGAGTTCAGCGGCCTGGAGGGCACGAACTTGTGAGAATGAGGCGCGGGGGATGGTCGAGCGAAGGGCAACCTGCGGGAGGCGCCGGGCCAGGATACGTTGGGGCAGCATCTATGCAACACGATTAGCTAAAAGAAAAAAAAAAAAACTAGTAGAAATGATAGCCGGGATTAGAAAAGGGAGAACTGACTGTTCTGCTGCTGCAAATTTGTGAGGATGGCGTATCGAAGGGTGGAGGAAAAAGGCTCAAACGACCCTGGGATGAAGTGGAAGTGACAATGACGGGATTCGGATTAACTGGAGGGTTGCGAAACGGGCAACGGTTGATGCCTGCATGCCTAAGGCAGAAGCCAGCTGCGGCGCGCTCCCAAGCTTACATACACGTCCCCCCCCCGGAATCGCTCCTCGTCACAAAATGAAAAAAAACCACCTCCTCACGCTATCCATCTATCCTCAGCACCTTTTTCCTCGCCACCCACGCTACATTGCCGATAACTATGCCAAATTTCTCGTGGCGTCTTGAATCAGTTCCCGCTACCTGTTGATGCTAATTTTGCCCCTTCCAACCCGGTCCTCATTGGGAAAGCTGGGGTCAGCTGTCAAGAGGGCCCCCGTATCCCTGGTTACAAGACATGCAAAACGGCACTCCAAATGGTATACCGCACCAAAATGAACGAGTGACCCCGGAATTCGAGACCGTTTTGTCTGAAATTCCTTCGAACGATCTTGCCGTTGATCCTACGACCCGTGATTCGATCCCTTCCGAGCTCAAAGAAGAGGCTGCGGTCGAGCACGATGATGGTCCTCCATCCAAGAGGCGAAAATTCTCCGGTTCCACCCCTTCTCGTCGCTCGACCCCCCGGCCGATATCCCCTCCCTGGAAAAAGGCAGGGGTCGATGGTCCGACCTCGTTCCTCCAGGATGGCAAACGTCGATCTTCCCGAGTCAACGCCGTCCCCCTTGAGCTTCAGCCGCCATCAGAGAAGAGACACACGCGAACAGCCCAGAAGCACTATGTAGGTAAAGGTCTTTCTGGTCGAGGAAATGGGGTCGCATCGTCCCCATTGTCGATGTCCCCATCCCATCCCGAGACAAACGGGAAACCTCTGGGTGGTGGCGCTGCAGTAAACGGCTCTCCAGTAAACAATAGTACTAGGACTCCGGCTAGCAGAAGGCAACGGTTCTCGCATTCACCTGCGCCCAAGCGTACATTTACAAGAACAAGGTTTGAAAGATCCAGCGCTTTAACTCCGCCCAATCAATTTTCTAACGGAATGCTCAGTCTCTCGAACCTAAGCACGACTCGACCGATTCGATCCTCCATGAACGCTAACTCAACGGTGATTCAAGCAGACAATGAAGCCGGCGAAGAACCAGGGGGCGTGGAACATGATGAGCACGATAAGGATGGGCAGCGCATCCCGCGCCTTCGGATCAAGGTCAAAAAGCCGATGATTACTATCCAGCACCCTGCTCACGTCCTCGCTCCTCGGAAGTATAGTTCTTTTAAGGAATGGATCGAGAGTGATGACGCAAGTTCCCTCACTGAAGGGGTGTTCACACCTGCGGAAGCACTCCAAGAAGCCCAAAAGAGGCAGCGAGTAACCGATGCGACGGAACCCGGCGGCCTCCTTAGCTCAGAAGTGTGCTCTGCGTTTCTTCCCGAACAGCAGGAAGAACCTTCCCAGCAATACTCACATCAAGACCATCTCGTTGCACATGCGCTTTACTTCAAGAAACTCTTGGATCAGGAACACAGACGTCATCGAAACACAGCAAGACTTTTCGCACAATGGTGTGCAGATGCATGGAGGAAGCGTAATAAGGACCCCGAGGATATTCTGAGGGAACAGCAAGAGGAGATGCGTGGGAAGCGCAAGCAGCTGGCCAAGGATCTCAAGAAGATGTTCGACTTAGCTCGAGCTGAAATTGACCAAATGCGCCTCGCGCGCTGGGAGGAGGAGCGGAAGGCCAAAGACCAGCAAGCTTTGGACCGCGCTATTAAGCAGTCCACTATGCTTTTCGAGAAACGCCGAATGGAAATATTAGGTGAACTAGGCAGCGATGCTCCAGAGACCACCGATGACAGCGAAGCCGACAGTGATGACGAATCGGACCAGGATGATGAAAGCAATATGTCATCTACAGATTCCGAAAGCGAAGATGAAGATGGTGTTGACGATGACGAGGGCCTAACGGCAGAAGAACTACGATTAAAATACGCAAATATACCAGAAGCCCACCAGGACACAGACCACACGTCTGATTCGGACGCTGAAACCGATAATAGTGATGAATTGGGAGCCCCTGACCCTCGTGAATTACCACCAGAAGACATCTCCTTAGGCCAGGTCGAACTCGAAGAAGTCGACCCAATGCTCATGGACGATAGTGATGAATCTACCGATATGGACGATGATATGGGTGATAGTGATGAAGACGAGTCTAGCGGAGCTGAATCTGAAGAGGAAGAGGAAGAGGATGATGATGATGGGCCTGGTTTATTAGGATTTTTCTCTTCAAAAAATTTAGTCGCAAGAGATTTCCATCGGGCTAGTGCAGATGATGAAGTTGATAGCGATCTGTTAATGGGGGAAGACGAGGGGACACCAGCCCCATCTGACGACGATGGGGACGAGGATGAGTCTGAAGACCAAGACGAAGTTTCTCTTATTCCGAATGGGCCAGCAATGAAAGAACCGGAGACTTCTGCAGGTGCCGCTGCATCGGTTCTTGATAATCATCTCGAACCACCCGATACCAGGGATGCTGAAGGAGAGGTTGCAATGCCAGTGAACAACGAAGTTGAAATGACGGATGTTCCACCGGCCAATAGCTCGAGTCACTTTGATGAACTAGCTGCCTCTTCGCGTCAAAACTCTACTGAAGCGAACTTTCCTAATCACCAGGAACATGACCAGCATGAATTATATCCAAACGGCGTCGCTTCGAGTGAGGCATCCCCAGGAACTCTCGCTACAAAGCCCTCGGAGCCCGAATCTGTTTCGTCTTACGAAGCTCCAGCAGAAAAGCTCGTTCAGTCTAGCGAATCTCCGGCTCCTGGGCTTAAAACGCCGATTCCACATCTACTTCGAGGAACGTTGCGAGAGTATCAGCATTTCGGTCTTGATTGGCTCGCTGGTCTTTATACAAACCACATCAACGGAATTCTGGCAGATGAGATGGGTCTAGGTAAAACAATTCAAACAATCGCCCTGCTTGCTCATCTAGCTGTAGAACACGAAGTTTGGGGACCGCATCTGGTTGTGGTCCCAACGAGCGTGATTCTTAACTGGGAAATGGAATTCAAGAAATGGTGCCCGGGTTTTAAGATCATGACATATTATGGAAACCAGGAAGAACGACGACAGAAGCGCAAAGGCTGGATGGACGACAACAGTTGGAATGTGCTGATTACGTCGTATCAGCTGGTATTGCAGGATCAACAGGTCCTCAAGCGGAGGAGCTGGCATTATATGATCCTCGATGAAGCTCACAACATTAAGAACTTCCGATCTCAGAGGTGGCAGGCTCTGCTTACATTTAGAACCCGGGCTCGACTTCTGCTTACGGGTACACCGCTCCAGAACAATTTAACGGAGCTTTGGTCTTTGCTCTTCTTCTTGATGCCCTCTGACGGGGACGACGGTGGTATTGAGGGATTTGCGGATTTGAGGAACTTTTCTGAGTGGTTCCGACGCCCTGTTGAGCAGATCCTTGAGCATGGCAGAGAGACAATGGATGACGAAGCGAAGCAAGTTGTGACAAAGCTCCACACGGTTTTGCGACCATATATCTTGCGTCGTCTTAAAGCGGACGTTGAGAAGCAAATGCCAGCGAAATACGAACACGTTGTCTACTGCAGACTCTCCAAACGGCAAAGATATCTGTACGATGGGTTTATGTCAAGGGCCCAGACCAAGGAAACACTCGCCTCGGGAAACTACTTGTCGATCATCAACTGTTTGATGCAGCTGCGAAAAGTGTGCAACCATCCAGATCTCTTCGAGACGCGACCTATCTCGACATCGTTCGCAATGCCACGCTCTGTCGCCACAGAATTTGAAGTCAAGGAGCTGCTTGTCCGCAGACGACTCCTGTGGGAACACCCTCTCACAAAGCTTGACTTGGACTTCCTCAACCTAGTCCCCATCTCGAGGGAGGATATCTCCCGCAGGCTAGCAGATGATAGCACTAGAATCATGGCCTATGGCCCATTCAATACTCTACGCGAACGCCAGTATCATCGGACCAACTGGCGGATGAAGTTCAACGGGTCCAGCATACAGTCCACGTTGGATGGGATGGAAAATAATTTTCGGAAACGGAGGATGGCTGAGCTAGAAAGATCTCTCTATTTTGAGTCGAAGCGTCACGGCCGTCGTCCTGTTTACGGAAGTAGTCTGATCGAATTTCTTCTGGCAGACAGCAAGCAGCGGCCAACACTCAATGGGCCATTGCGAAAACGCTCCTATGCCGATTGGTTGTCAAGCCAGTCGTCTATTCTTGCCTCCATGATTCTCTCTATTGAGGAACGATCCCAAGCTATGGATGGCTACGTTCAGCGCTTTGCCTGTGTTACTCCCGCAGCCGTTGCTGCTGGGATTACAGAAGCCGCCCTCACGCCGATTGAGACCCGATATCTCACGAAGAAGGAGAGGTTCCCCAAGTATGATCCTTTCCATGAAGCTCAAATGCGCCTGTCTATCGCATTCCCGGATAAGCGACTTTTGCAATATGACTGTGGTAAGCTACAAAGACTCGACAAACTCCTCCGAGATCTGAAAGCGGGAGGTCATCGTGCGTTGATTTTCACGCAGATGACCAAGATGCTGGATGTTCTGGAGCAGTTCCTCAACATCCATGGGCACCGATACTTGCGCCTAGACGGTACTACCAAAGTTGAGCAGCGACAAATCCTCACCGATCGGTTCAACAATGATGACCGCATCCTCGCCTTCATCCTCTCCAGTCGATCAGGTGGTCTGGGTATCAACTTAACGGGCGCTGATACGGTGATATTCTACGATCTCGACTGGAATCCCGCAATGGACAAACAGTGCCAGGACCGCTGCCACCGTATCGGACAAACGCGCGATGTGCACATATACCGGTTCGTATCAGAGTACACGATCGAATCCAATATCCTCCGCAAGGCCAACCAGAAGCGAATGCTTGACGACGTCGTCATTCAAGAGGGAGAGTTCACCACGGACTACTTTACGAAGCTGGACGTGCGCGCGATGATGGACACCGACGAGTCTCTGGAGGGACAAGACGAGGCCAGCGCCGCCATGGACCGCGTCCTCGCGAATAGAGTTACTAAAAACTCGCGCGTTTTCGAGCAAGCGGAGGACAAGGAGGATATCGATGCCGCCAAGAACGCGCAGAAGGAGCTGGAGCACGCAGATGACGGCGACTTCGAGGACCGTGCTGCGGCCTCGTTCAGCCAGCCGCAGGCTGGAACTCCGCTGGCGCCTACACTGGACGGAGAAGGTACGCCCGGTCCTCAGTCTGTGAACTCGCCCGCGGGGCACGCCGCCTCAACCGCCACGGCGGACGAAGGAGCCGAGATGGATCAAGCCATGGGCCATATCGACGACTACCTCCTGCGTTTCATGGAATGGAATATGAAGGACGAACCACTCGTCCTTCCCGCCGACAAGAGCAAAAAGAAATCCAAGAAGGGGAAAGAACATCGTCTCCGCAAGAAACGACGTTGACATACTCCTCCTTTTCTCTTCATTTAATCACTGCTCTGGATTGGATAGGATAGGATAGGATACGACCTGACAGTTGTCTTGTATTTGTAAACTTTATTTTTGATTTTAACCTTTTATTTTTTCCGCTTCAATTGTTGTGTTTCCTATTTCTAATGGATTGACTATTCTTTCCTATTACTATTCAATGCATGGCATGTGTAACTATGGCATGGCATGGCATGTGTATGGAGGTCCTGGGCGTGTTTGATTACTATTTTGGACTAGCTAACTAACTAACTATTATCGGTTCCCTTCCTCCCTCTCTTGCATGAACAAGAGAGAAATATCAGTAGGTATGAAGTGTTAAGAGACTCAGGACCGGTCCGGTCGTATAACTACTACCTAGGTACCTACCTAAGTAAGTAGTGTCAAAGGCCACAGACACAGATACAGACACAGATACAGACACAGATACAGACACAGGGACAAATATAACCCTAGCTTGTTTGCAGTACTACTTGGACTAGGGGTTTATGTATTTTCCCCCTGTGGAGTAGAGTAATGTATGTATATGTATGTATACAGGGTAAGAAATACAGGACTCCGTACTCCAGATAAAGAAGATTCCTCTTCACACCGCTAATTGCTACTCGATTCCCGAGTTTGACTGTTAACTGTTTATGGATAATACTGCAGGAGAAGGAATAAATACTGACTTACTAGGTATATACTCTGTACTACTAAGGTTCTCTCCTGTTAGCTGCTTCGAAAGAAACGGATTCCAATTCCGATTCCGATTCCGATCTTATTGAGGAGGAGATTAGGATTAAATGGGGATGTAGAGTAAATACAGATACACTCCTACTAGTGTTTAATTTGATATGCAACTATTAGAATTCGATCTTGTACAACCTTTAATTTCATTCATTCATGTTTTTTTTTTTTTTTTTTTTTTTTTTTTTTTTTTTTTTTTTATCTCCAGCTGAGAGAAAGACAAGGAACAGGAACCCATGGCTTGGCTCGCAGCAGCGCGCATAAAATCGCAGATATACATAGAACTAGTAGGATCTGGCCTGGTTGGTCTCGCCATCTCGGGGATGATGTCGGAGTCTAGATTGAGATGTGATGCGTTCGGATTTTGTCGCTCCTTTGATACAACAACGTGGATGGATCATGGAGATGTGATAGGTAGAATTTCGGAATTCCAGGTAGCTGTGGAAGCACGTTGAAAGAAGGAATAAAAGAAAGAAAGAAAGAAAGACGGACTAGCTTACTCGGTAGTGAATAGGTAGACTTTCTTTATGAAATGAATGCTGGCGGTGCGTTGAACTAGAAGGAAGGAGCTTTTCCCTGTTCTGTAGCACAAAGAGAAACCAACCCATATCACTGGGTTGTAATCGCAGGATGGAACCCCCCGGTCCAATTGAGAGCATGAGAATCGAAGTTGAGACTCGTACCGCCGGATGGAGACTCCATGTGAAATTGGAGGTGCTGACACGAGGGAGGAATTCGCGCCGAAGAGGAAAAATCAAGACAGTGACGAGGGAAAAAAAGTTGCAGGAGTGCACGTCTGTGTAACTTGAGCTTTCCCCAGTTGCGTCCCTTTGATTCTATTCGATGCAAATGCCGGGTCAGGGCGATAGTTTCGTCAGCTTACGATTCCCAAGTAATTAACTAACTAACGGTCTGGAGAGGGAGACGATCTGGAGAATTCGCCAACAAGGAAAATACAAGTCATCATCATAATTTAACGAGTACGGAACGAACGATTAAATTCCGCGCTGCATACTCTGTGGAATACCTCGGGCTTCCCGTGAAGAGCACCGACGATAGTTGCTTCGGAGTAGTTGCGGCCTCGAGCCAGATAAGAAATCCGGAGTTGGGGAAGGTGGAGAAGGATCTCTGCAAGGAAAGAGACGAGCGTTAAGCAGCAGGCCGTGTTTTGCTTTACAAGGACCGTATTCGTTTTATGAGCTTCCTTCCTGCCGAATCGTCTCTCGTCTGATTCTTATTCTTCTTTCATCCAGGCGATGGTAGGTACTAGTTAGTTACTAGTAGGCGTGTATTAGTATGCGCGTGGCTTGCACATCGCGACTCGCGAGACAGCATTGGCCTAGAGATTAACTAGTGGCAGGTAAGTCTTGGAAACCTGCTGAGTTCTGATCGGCCTCTAACTAGGATTGTTCTGGTCTTGTCAGCTCCAACGTTGGAGTTACCCTAGCCTACGGGGTAGGCGTAACAAATTCGACCGTTCAATCCATGCAGGGGTTAAGGTAGGGATCCAGGAAGAGAGTGTGCATACAACATGGCCCTATTGAGTGACTATTAGTCTTATATTGTACCAACAAGGTGATGATAGACATACCCGAAGATGAAAGGAATATTTACCGTTTTCATGCTGGTTGTTGTTACTCTAACCCTGTAGATCTGTTTGGAGGGGGAAAACAGCCATGGCATTAGTGTTCTAGTAATGACCATAAAGAAACCCTTCCATCTAAAGCAGGTTAAGGCTTCCCTTGCAAGAAGAAAGAATTCTCACGAGCTTAGTATCGGGGATGGTTCAGGTCCAATCGCTGGCCAACAGCCACACAACATTCTCGTTAAGAATGGACTCACTCATTGCAAGCTGAGATCCTCTTAGGTCATTAAGACGCTTATTTCAAGAGCCTGGTTGGTATCCTGGATGCAAAAGCAATTAGCCGCGCTACGCTGAGGGAAATTCAACACACCTTTCCTCCATACGTAAGAGAAAGGGAGAGGGAGAGGTATCAACTTATTAGCCCCCTAGGTCCCTAGTAGTAGAGGTGGCAGGGCATAGGTACTCCGACAGCCACCCGTTGATTCACCGACTAGCTGAACGTTCCGCGTCAATCACTTGAAGATCAAGGATTCTCGACACTGTCTGTCACCGTCAGCAAATTACCTACTTTCCCCCAACTATTTGCTGCTTGTGCCTTTCGATCTTGCCCTTCCGGATTCTGTGTCCTGCAGCAACAACCCCCCTTCCTCTCCGGCGATGAACCTTCAGCTTTGATTCCCAGCCAGCCACCATAGCGGAAAGGGAGGATCACCCATCTAGACGCGCAGAGTGCCAATCAATCTCTCCGAATGTATGAATCCACTAGAATGGATGGCCAACGCAGGCAAACAAGCAGGCGAGATAATTCCTTTTCCTCCCCCCTTGGCTTGGATACGCTTCGCGGGTCGAGGGATCAAAAATTATTCATGGGTTGGGAACTCCAACTAGTTAATCTGGATGCTTGCGGATTGCCGGTCAGAGCAAACCTTGGGAACGAGGAGAAAGAACGCCCATGGAAAGGGAATGTGGCAGTCAATCTTGCATGTAGTTCGCAGTGGGCACGGCACGAGGAAGGCGATGGATGTGATTGATCATTGGGCTGTATGGAGTATGTAGGTTAGGTAGATTAGGTACTTCGTGTGTTTGTGGGTTGTACGAGAAGTCGGGTTCCGGTGGTGGTAGTAGTTTAGTCCTATCCAGTCATCGTCATCTGCTCTCATATCCAGAGTATGAAGGGAATTATTTCATTCTATTCTATTCTATTTAGTTTTTTTTTGAAACATCCCCATGGTTTGCAGCAAAACGATGCACGAGTCGATACATCAGAAACCAAGGGAATGTAACCTTATCGACATTGATGGCAAAAAAAGTTATTTTTACATGCAGAAACAGTCGGGGAACAAAAATCTCGCTCCTGCAGAAAAAAAAAAAAAAACAATATCAGGTACTAGATCACCCTAGTGGATTGCATATAGCTGTTCGTCACATTGGGCCTCAATAAGCTAGACAGAGACTACGAGTAAGTAAATGATGACAATGGCAGGACGGTCAGTCATTCCTCCCCCTCCTCATTACTCTGGTCGCTGGCGTTTCTTGCGCACTATATACCATTGCAGCTAGTGGGCGCAGGAGATGAATCCCCCGGGAAGATCGCTGGAGATCCACCCAGACGGAAGTGAGATTGGATTGCCACCTCCCAAGATCGATTTACTATGTAGGCTGCTGAATTCTGAATTCCTGATGGTCAAGCCTGGGTATGCTCTCCACCCGGAAGGGCAGCCGGAGCTGGTATCCCCTACGCTAGGGCTTGGAGTCAGGAGATATCAAGCGGTCGAATCCTTTCTCAAGTTTCCTGGGACGTGCTTCAAAGCTGCATTGTCTAGCAGTCTGCACGGAGCTCCAAATGGCACACACTTTCCGCCTCCGTGAGAAACGTAGATGGCTTACTTCGGCGCTATTTGACTCTGTTCCCTGACAGAGCTTAGCCGCCCTTACGGGGTGGCTGGTGAGAAATGTGTCAGAGATACTCGCCTCTATCGCATTTGGTCCGAATACTCCGTAGTCCAGAATGATTGGCAAAATGAAGGTGGAATGGAAGCGGTAAATCGCTCGTCGGTTGCCATGATATCTTCAAAAAGAGTTCTCAACGGTTAAAGGTTATTTTGCTTGGGTTTTGATCCCCCGGTTTAGGCGCGGTTAAATTTGTGTTCATTCACAGGTTTTGCGTGGGGTGTACATCTGATCTCCTGTGTCTGAATGATCAAATCTCTCTTTCCACTATTTCATTGGAAACAGAGCGAGGGCCGAAGAAAAAGAAAAACGAAGGAGTTAACATGTTCGAAATGGAAATGGAGAACCGAAGGATTCATAGGCGCTTTCGGTCTCTAACTGTCCCGACGTCAGAACGGGAAGAGTAAAAGTTCCGCAGTCTCCATAACTTACTACGAGATCGCCCGTGGAAGGTGCATTGATACTGTTTTCTTTTTTCTTTTCCCCCCCTCAATATTTCCGTAGAATATTGTAAACTATCAAAGAGAGGATAGCAGAATTGTCAAGTCAAGTCCGTACGGTGGAAGTTATCCGAAGGAAGGTACCTGTCAGAAATCGTAGACTCCTAGACTCCAACAAGTCTATCAAAAAGAATTCCACAGAAACAAAAACATTCATGATCTTTAACTTTCGGAGTTTGAGAGTGTAGATTAGTAGGCAGTAAATTCCGAGGTCCCCATGAGCTGTAACTTACTTGGAATGCTGTTCATGTGTTTGATGTTCGAGGATGGAGTAGATGGCATCTTTCAGAAGTAATCCGGGACTACAGCATTGGCTGGGGAAGCGGATTACCATCCATCCATCGATTTTCTCCAGCTGAACAGACCAGCAGCGGGGTCGAGAGTGAGAAAGTGGAGGGTCCGGCTGCAAGTCAACGTAAGGTACGGCGAATCGAGCTCGCTACTGAGCGTCTCCATCGCATCGCATTTGTATCAACCATTGTTGTATTGATCTCATCTTGACGAATCTGGTTGCGAGCCGCGTCCCTCTTTTTGTCTGGAAGGGGAAGTTCGACGTCTGCACCAAGTTCTCAACCTGGTTTAGCCGGGTTGAAGCCACGGATTGTCAGTATAACACGATCGTCACTGTAAACGCGCGAATCGCCTTGCTCAATCTGACTCATTATTTTTTTTTTTTGGCTCTGATGGATTTCCTGTTAGCGAAGCAAAATGCGTTTTCTTCCATTTCCACACAGTGAGAAATTGATTAGAAATTGATTAGAAAGTGATATAAGGGATAATCCAAAACAGGAAAGAAAAAAAAAAGACTCCCAAGGTCAATGAGACGGGGAATGGGAGATCGAAAAAAATCCTCAGCAAATTCTAGAGAAAAAGAAATTTCCTAAATTAATTAATTTAAAAAATTTTTTAAAAAGTACATACAAAGAGAGTATATGAGAATGACGGTAAAAAAGAGGGGCATTTTCTTTTTCATTCAGTTTGGCATGAACAGGGGAGAGACAGAATTTATACATCGAATCGTACTATTGATGGAGCAATGTCTGTTAGTCCAATGAGAATAATCTCCTCTGTAGACTAAGGAAGAAAGAGGGTCCGTTAAAAAGAACAAGGAAAAAGAAAAGAATGAATGACACCGCTGACTAGACCAACGCATCTCCCGGGAGGATGAATAGTCAGGAAGGACCTGGAAGAGAGACTTCACAAGGGAGAGACGCGAGAGAGAGAGAGAGAGAGAGAGAGAGAGAGAGACGTCCTCAGTCTTTCTTCCCAGATAATCATCAGTGCCCAATATCAACCAACCTCCTTCTTGAATATCATCACCACTTTCCCCATCATTGAATCTGGGATCTACATGGAAAGCTTACCTGGGCCCAACACTATGGAATAACCAGACCTAATTACCTCCTCTTAGGTCCATCTGGATGACAGGACCCGAGACACCGGGCGTGCCACCAGCAGCAGCAGCTAAAATGTCTGCCAGAGCCTTCCACCACACTACTGTACCCTTGTCGCCAATGATGGGTCTCGCATCCTTCGTGTCGTTTCTTAGGCAGCTTCGTGCTAGGAGTAAGTTGATCTCCCTGGTCCTGAACTGTTTGGTGAGACAGGATTTATGAGCACGAGATTATGTATCCTATATCTCTAGGTTGCTTCCGTCCCCCCACTCTCTTTTATGGATCACGGGCCTGGTCCCTTTTACCACTGGCACTAGACCAAGTTCTTTCTATCAAGGTGGCCATCGTTCGACGAGGCTACTTCGTCTCACCCCGAATACATATACCACGGAGTGTCCAATCTTTCTCCTTCCGAAAGTATCACAGCAACCTGCCACCTTGGATACCTTCTCTCTCTTCCCCTTTCCGCTCACATTTATATTTACTGTATTTTACTGTCCAGAGCCTTTCGATCGATCCGAGTATACTTCCTCTTCGCAGAATCATACCCTTCTCCCCGCCTCTCAGGCCTGCTGTCCCCTCACTCGGGAGACTCCACTCAAACAAGATGAAGAACTCCATTCCATCAGACGTGTGGGAGAGAAAAAAGGCATTGATTGCCTCCCTCTATAAGGACGAAGAATGGCCACTGAAGCAAGTTATCAAGAAAATACGCTCAGAAGACTTCAATCCAAGGTAAGACCCCACCCAAACTGTGAGCTGGTGATCCAAGGCTTACTGGTATAGTGAAACCCAGTTACGAAGCAGATTGAAGAAATGGCGTGTGACCAAGCCATCTCGTCAGACAAGAAAGAAATCCCACGAGGAACCTGTCCGAGATGACAGTGGCCGTGAGGAAGCCTCCCCAAAGCGACATTCTAACAACCCTTCTCTGGAGACCCAAACGCGTTCTCAGCCACAAACAACGACGACGGACCTTTCCGTTACCGAGCCGGAATGGTACATGACGAACGGGGTCTACGAACACCATAGTTTGCCGACCACGATATCCCTTGATGGACCGAATATTCCGAATATTTGGGCCTCTACCTCGAGCCATCCCTCGCCCCTAAGCCAGCCAAGCAAATCCCGCGTGAGTTCCACGGGATCTTTGGTGATTTCAACCTCCAACCCCTACAATCCGTCCCATACTTCACCACTAGTGGACGGTGCGTTGCTCAATCCCACCCCGGCCCTGACGCCTACGTTTCCAGACGCTTCCTATGAGTCGTGCATACAAACTCCTGTGTCGGGCCCATCCATCCAGTGGTCCGTACCACAGTGGTACTCTTTACCTCTCACCGCAGGTTCTCGCGGCCCATCTATTCCATATTACACCGCAGCTCCCCTGAGCCCACCAATCGACCCAACGATGCACATGATGCACCCGCCAGCTGCACCACAGTTGTCCGAGTTCCACGAAAGACCCAAATCATGGAAGCGTAATATGTCGATTCCATATGGCCCAGAGATCGATGGCCATACGCAAGCGAGCCAAAAGAGATCCAAGTTTCTTGAAAGAAAGACATCGCTACCGTCTAAGATCTCTGCGAGCCAAGCCTCAGCAGGCGTGATGACGCCCAGATCTCCATTCTTTCCTCATGGACAGCATTCTATCCTGTGCTCACCAGGGTACCATTATCCAGGGGCCGAGCCTCTCGTACATAGGCCTCATAGCATTGACTTTTAATGCTATTAGCCTGAGAATTTCTATCGCTTTCATATTTTCTTCTTCTTGGCACGCCAGTGCCTTTGTGTTTACTCATGACTTTTGCTATATTCGTGCCTTAATTCTCCACCGTTCCCCTTTACTTTACGGGGCTATCCAAGATGGCACAGCATTAACAGGACAACTTCAAGGTTGGTTACATTTCGAGATATCTCTTTGCACAAAGAGTTAGCCAATTCCTCACATGGGAGTCTGGCAAGGTGGTCTTTTCATTACGTTTCAATCCATTTGATATCCAGGTTGCGAAGAAAGGAGTTTCAGGCTTTGGTGCATGTACAGTGAGTGACTTTGTGGGCATATAATATACTGTGTTTTTTTTTGTTTTTTTTTTCAGGCCGGTGATGTGAGGATTTGGAATTGGGGTTAGGATTTCGGGTTTGTCCAATATCGTACTTGATACAGGTCTATCGAACACTAAATAAGAGAGAATTGCATATTGCCTACAGTACCTCTGTATACTCCTCCGTACAAGCTGATCGCCTTCCTCCCATGAAATATAGCCAAAATTCAGAACAGAGTTACTTGACTTGAAAAAGGTCAATTTACTACAATTATCCCTAGCTAGCGATTGAACACAAGACTACTACAGTACCCGGAGAGCCTAGATGTCTTCGCTACCGGTAGTTAGGACGTAGTGGTAGTTAGACATGTATGTAATTAGTCAGTTAGTAATTTGTTGTTATACATACAGAGCCGACAACCTCGGCATAATGCTAATGCAGCTAGCTGTCTGGCGGGAGTTGCTTGCTTAACTGAGCGAGCCTGTTTCTCCTCTTTATCAACAACCAAGACACTCGAGCGGAGCGGAATAGATTGAAAGATATTAATTTGCTCCATCATATTTTCCTTTTTGTTTTCGTTTCGCTGAGACAGCACACACATCTGCTTTACGCTCACACGATGCGTGCCATTCAAGTGACAGAATACGTCAAGGTAAGAACATCCCCAATCACCCAGACTATTCTACTAGTACTACCGGGTGATTCAAGTACGATACGAAGAAGAAGAAGAAGAAGAAGAAGAAGAATGCTGAGCGGGGGTTTAAAATCAGGGCCCCCTAGACCTCAAAGTCAGCGACAACGTACCCACCCCCCGCCCCTCAGCAACCCAATACCTGATCGAGATCCACTCCGCCGGCACCAACTTCTTCGACCTCCTCCAGATCCAAGGCAAATACCAGCACCAGCCTGCGCTGCCGTGGATCGGCGGGGCCGAGTTCGCCGGGACCGTCGCGGCCGTGCCGAGCTCGCGGCCGCAGGGCGGATCCAACCCCAAATACCAGGTCGGGGACCGGGTGTTTGGGGCGACGCAGGGCGCGTACGCAACGCACGTGCTAGCGGGCGAGGACACGCTGCTCCGGGTTCCGGCGGGGTGGAGCTTCGAGGATGCGGCGGGGTTGTTTGTGACTGCGCCGACGGCGTACGGGGGTCTGGTGCACCGGGCGACGGTGCGGTCTGGGGAGTGGGTGCTGGTTCATGCGGCTGCCGGGGGGGTGGGGTTATCGGCGGTGCAGATTGCCAAGGCGATGGGGGCGACGGTGGTTGCCACGGCGGGCACGGAGAGAAAGAGGCAGATTGCGAGGGAGTTCGGGGCGGACTATGTGGTTGATTATCGCGATGCGGCGTGGCCGGGGGAAGTGAAGACGCTGTGTGCGCGACATCGTACGGGGGACGGGCGGGCCGGGGTAGATATTGTTTATGATCCTGTCGGCATGATTGAGGCGAGTTTGAAGTGCGTGGCGTGGAATGCGCGGTTGTTGGTGGTTGGGTTTGCGGCGGGGACGATCGAGAAGGTTGCGCTGAATCGCGTGCTCTTGAAGAATGTCAGTTTGGTCGGGTTGCATTGGGGACAGTATGCGAGGTTTGAGAAGGAGACCGTGGGCGTGGTGTGGCAGGGGATCTTTGATCTGGTTGCGCAGGGGAAGTTTAGGGGGATAGCGTTTACGGATGAGAGCTTTGTTGGGTTGGAGAGTGTGCCCAGGGCCCTGCAGGCGCTGGGAGGGAGGGAGACCTGGGGTAAAGTCGTGGTGAAGGTAATTGATGACCACGCTGGTCAGAGCAAGCTGTAGACATAGGTACATCACTTTAGATTTCCGTCTCCATATAGTTCCAATTTACCACCGGGCACGTAAGCTAAATAGACTTGGAGAAGGCTTGTGACAAAAGTCATGCAACATTTATTATTCTCATGTATATCATTATATCACATCTCATTGGAATAGGACATCATGTCGGTGCGCAAGGAGTCATGCTCTCGTAAGAATTGAAGAACATGAACTATGAAGGCCCTGGATTTCTCTAGCAACTTGAAATTCAACATAGAATCTGAAACAGATCCTGGCAATCCAACTCCACTCAGTCACAGCCACAAGACGCGGCATGTGGTGACTGTCCTTCAAAGAAGGGTCCGTAACGAGGTTTGGAGGTTCCGTTCCTGTCCAAAGACATGAACGGCGAATCAAACAGGGACAGTTGGATTGCGAAGTTGCGGTTGGTAGTGTGAAGGACATGATTAAGTTGTCGTTGAGAATGATTCATTCCGGCTTCGATTCCTGATTCGGAGATCAGTCAAGACTGGTGTTGTGTGATGAATGCGGCATTATATGGAACTATTCTTCTCGTATATCCATTATATATGAGAATGCATCAAAGCTTCCATGTAAATGCAAGCAATTGGCCTTTTGCTCATCTTTGGTGTATTGTGGTGTCTCCGTCGTGGCGGTTGTTTGGAAGAAAACATCGGCCGAAGCGTGATTTGGTTTTGTTCTTCGCTTAGCGTATTAGTCAGCAAGTCTTTGTCACGTGAAACGTTATGTACACATTAACTTGTGAAATAATTATGCAAACTCACCCAGCTAATCAGGAACTACCTAGGTAAGTATACTCCAACCTAGACACGCTATATTCGCCTTTAGAAATCCCATTGCAAGGCGCACGACTAGTTGGAACATGCCCCGGGACCCACGTGGACCCTGGGTGTACTATGTAAGCCGCACTTTGTATTCTTAGGTTCCTTTGCTGGTCATTTTCTTCGAACATTTCACTAGATTGACTTGCTTATTCGCTCTTTGCTCTTGAATGAAGTAAGGTGGCTTTAGGGGTTAATCGTACCGCCACAACTACTGGTTTAAGACAGCAAATTTGATGCTGGACCACTATGCACAGCTCTTGGGTTACATTCTAGAAGCTTACCCGTGTCGTCTTAGAACGCATAAAGGTGCGCCTTGACCCGAATTTTTGGGTTTTTTTTTTGGCCTTACGCGTTGAGGTGCCAAGGTTTTGTTGTCCCTCCATGTTGAGTAGTCAGCTATCACCACCTCCTCCTTCCTGTTCTCTACGCGGTATCAGAAGCTTCGGTCACTTGTCACTCTGCTATCGCTTGTCTCGCATCTTCCGGCTTAATATGAGTGCAGTGTAACCTTGTTTCTTGAGTGGACCCTTCACCGCACGTTGAATTGAAATACCCCTTAATCAGCACGATGAAGGTCACATCGATGACTACCGCTTTATTCCTGTTATCTAGCGTGGTCACATCAGCCAGTATCCCCAGATCAGATCTGGCTATTCGCCATGGTGATATTACCGCAGTTTCTCGCCAAGCGTCTGATCTCGAAAAGCGCCGTGGGGGTGGTGGAAGTGGACGAGGGGGCAGTAGCAGTAGCAGTAGTAGTAGCAGCAGTAGCAGCAGTAGCAGTGGAGGTGGAAGCGGAGGGCGCAGTGGCACTGGAGGAACTAGAAGTTCAACATCGACGAGGTTAGTCTTGATGGTTTCTGGTTAAATTGAGATAATGCTAATAGGATTTCGCTCCAGCTCCACCAGCAACAGCGGAGGCGCGACTCGCAGTGGCTCAGGGCCAAAACCAGCGTATGGAGGCGGGTATTACTATGGCGGAGGAGCCCTCAGTCCCTATCAGTCAGGTCTGCGATCACCGTTGGGAATAGTCCCATATTTCTTGCCTGCAGCGACTTTGGCCTTTTTCTCCAGTTCCTGGCTCTATGGGGCTCATATATACCCATATCACCATCCGTACAATTACACGAACGAAACGGGCCATCGCAATGAATCACTACCTGTTCTCTGCCTGTGCGAGGAATATATGGAGTGCGGATGCGACGATAATAACAACAGCACATACTACGAGTCGCTCTTTGGAGGAACGCAGCCGAAGAATACTAGCATTGTCCGGGTCGTCGATGTCAATGGTACAGAAACCATTGCTATCAACGGGACCTTGCCGAATGGAACGACTGTCGCTGATTCAAGCATATCATCAGCTACCGCTCTGAGGTTGATGCAAGGCGGTGGCTACTGGATGATGGTTGCGCTGGTTGTCAGCGGTGTCTGGGCCTTGTAGTGGTTTGGACTGTCAATTTCTTCTGCTCTCGGAACGGAGTTGGCAGAGGAAAATGGACAAGTCTGCACTTAATGGGCTAGCGTTATCGTCAAAGCTTGCAAAACCGTGGGGAGGTCTTTTTCTTGGCCCGTCTTGATACCCATTTGGCGTTTGGGGTTGTCTATTATTTTATCTACCTGGTCCCGACGGATGATAATGATACAACGTACTTTCCTGTTGGCCAATGCGCCTGTAGACTCGGGCTGCTTTAATTAATTCGATAGACCTTTGAGCCGTTTATCCTTCTGTGAACGTTAGACCGAGACCTGAAAAGAGAAGGGAAATTCATTAGCTAACCTATTCCTAGTCTCTTTTATCCGATGAAAAGCCCCCGGCAGAAAATGAAATTGACGGAGAGAACCCACCTTGATCAAGCAAGGTACGAAGTCTCCCCCAGATAATCCAAGCACATCAAGAAAAGGACGCGTAAGTCCCGGTTAGAAGATCCCTAGAGGCTGAATCTCTCGTACTGTTGTCCGTACTCAGTATGTCGAACCTCCAGAATGTCGTCAGCTGTCTCCATCTGGAGCCGCCAGTTCCTCGCCAGACTTGCGCACAATCAAATGTTCGTCTCTCCAGGTCTGGTCCAGTTGGTCAACGGCGCAATATTAGCGCCTGGACTAGAAAACTAGCGCCGGGCTTTCTCCCTCAATCACATATCGTGGGCTGCGATTTTACCTCGGAAACTCGACATTGTGCCAGATGGGTCCTGGAGAGACGTAATAGTTAGCGCTAACACGGTAGTCAGGTACCCTGGTGCAGAGTATGTTCGTTGTGAAACAAATGTGCAGGTCTGAGGGCGTTGGGGTCACTTATATTTTTCCTCGTGCCAAACCTGCCCCAGGCAACGACCTAGCCCCTTTTCCTTTCCACTGCCTCTCGCTCTTCTATAACCTCTTCCTCCCTTCCTTCGACTTCTGATCTCACTGCGTGATACTCCATCATCGTTGTCTCTCTCTCTCTTTCTACAAGGGCTGTCACTCGTTTCCAGCTCCATTCACTCTTTTTTCCACACAAAACCCCCCCAGCGACAACTCAAACACCTTAATCCTTGCGGTTTATACCAGTCAATTCAAACCACATTCGACACCCCTGTATCTTACAGCACGAACCATCTTTCCCAACTCCATTCTTAACCGCCTGGCTGTCCCCGCCTCGATCTCAACTTCTCCAGATAGCCAAGAAGAAGAAAGAAAGAAAGTCCGTCGAAGTCAAGATGCAGTTCCTCAAGGCTCTCCTCATCGCCAGCGCCGCTTTCGCGCCCTTTGCCTTCGCCACTGAAGTCCAATCTGCCACCTCCGCCGTCACCAAGACCGTCACCGTCAAGGTTGTCAGCGCCACGCTTTCGTCGACAGCTACTCCTACCCCAACTTCCTCTTCCACTACCAGCACCAGCACCACCACCACCAAGAGCAGCACCCAGATCATCAAGACCACCAGCTTCTCCGCGACTCCTTCGTCGACTGCTTACTCGTTCCACCCCAGCTCCAGTGCTGCTGTTTCCTCCATCGTCGTGGTTCCCTCCTACTCTAGCACCGCTGCACCCTCGTCTTCCTCTGCTCCCATTCTGACGGGTGCCGCTGCCCCTGCTGCAAAGCTTTCCGGTGCTGCTCTTGGTGCCGGTGCCGTTGCCGTTGCCGGTCTCCTCATGTTCTAGATCCAGCTCTAGGATTTTCAAAACGCTTAGATCTCATCAATGTTCTCTTTTCGTTTTATTTTCTCAACTTCCATCTATTGGGTGCATGATTCCCTCCGAGTAGGGCGAATATAGATCAGAGTCGGCTTCTTCATCGTTATCTCTCTCTCTCTCTCTCTCTCTATACCAGCCTGTCAACCAGGGTCTGCGGCCTACTACCTCTTTCCCTATGTCCATGTCTTATCTTCACTTCTTCAACTACGTCAACTCTTACTACTACTACCTTTCATATAATACCACGCACGCCTCCAGCGCATATGTATTGATATTCTGCTACATATTATCTTTCACGTTTTCGTCAATGTCCGTCTCCTGGTTTCTCCAACGCCGCTGCAAACTTAGCTGGGACTCAGCCTGTACGATGACGAATCACGGTTTCTTCTTCTTCTTCTTCTTCTTTTCTAATCTTTTTTCCAATAATTGCTAAAAGAGTTTCTTTTTTTTTTCTTTTTTTTTTTTTTCTCCTGTATATATAAATAGATATATATATATGTGTGTGTGTGTGTGTGTGTGTGTCTCTCTCTATTTTACCCCTGTAAATTCACATACATAATCCATAATAATCCATACTCCATACTCCATATTAGCATCCAGACAGAACCAAAGTTATATTATATTTATCATTAACAATGTAACATATACATGCACATCTACAATGCAGAAAGGTATTCTTTCTGATTCATTTGTTGTTACAGAGATAGCCGAATTTAATGTAATGTAATGTAATGCAAGGGGCGTGGCTGGCGTAGGTATGCCTATATTTATAGCAGTTATTCTACCTGAAAGGTTGCAATATATGCATGACGTGCAGCTAGCTGGATTGGCATGTCCTGTATTCTGGACTCTGGAATCTGGACTCTGGACTCTGTATGGTGTTTGCGAGAGGCTGGATGCATGCATGCATACATGCATACATGCATACATCCTAAGAAAGGTAGGGAAGTAGGACTGTATGTATACATAGACTATACTGTAGGGTCTTTGGTTTGGGTTGGGTTGTTCTTTCTACTATAATACTGATAATAAAATAAACAAATCAAGATGCATAATGGGATACTGTACATAGAAATAAAGGAGATGATGGTATATGGATCCTAGGCATGGGGGAGTATGGGATACATGGTGATTCCGTTTTTTCTGTTCTTTTAACAAGGTCAGTCAGTCGCCTTCAAGAGTCCTTGTGCATCGCCTCGTATCTGCAAAGAATTAGTTTTATTACATGTCGCTCATAGCAGGCTTGTTGACTTTAAAACATACCTCTTTCCTCTGAATGCCCACAGTCCCCAGTTTCCACAAGATACGTCATGCGGATCCAGGTCGTTGAGATCCCACCGCAGACTACGGAAGATGTTCTCGCCTGGCTGGAGCAGAATATCAAACTCCCCGGCGCATTTGTCCTTCACCCAGTTGATGTCTCGCTCCATATCCCACTGAGTGTAGCCGGTAGCGATAATAGGAACCTTCGTCTCGAGGAGCTGCGGTAGAGTCTCCTCCCATTCGTGGGAGCTGGCCGGGTGTCCAAGACCAGGGTGGAAAAGGACAATGCAGTCCAGATACGGGTCAAAGGGTTGGAAGTACTGTGCTTTGTACATCGTGTGGAAGTAATCCACGTACGTTGTGATCTTGAACTGACCACCTAGTCGGTCCTCCACAATACCTCCAAACGGATTCTCCGGCGTCCGTTCTGGAAGAGGGAACTCCTCGTCTCGGTTTGCCATACTCTCAGGCCCGATGAAAATGAGATGAATAAGAGACCGGGGGAAAATGTAGCTGAGCTGCAGCCACACGTCACGAGGCAAAGAGGATTCAGCACGCGCACCCAAAATAAAGATCCGAACCGGAGGAGCCTTCAGGCGCAGACCCTGCATATCAACACCTTCTCCGGTCCTAGGAGGATGAAGAGAGTACCGGAGCGCTAAATAAACCCATTAGCTCCATTGCATAAATATTAATAGAGAATGTTGTTGTTAAGTCTCACCGCTAATGCTCTTAAGACCTTCAGTTGTAAGTCTGCTATCCTTTCGGATGCTGTACGGGCTCAGCTCATGCAAGACACTTCCGATAGTAAGCGGATAAGTGAGCATTCGGGTCACCTGCCGCATGCTCCGATCATCGTTAATAGCCTCAAACTCCCGCGTGTACAGGAAAGTATCCCAATTGGTCATGTTGATGACAAAGTTATCATCCTGGGGGGGTCCAGGGTACGAGAATTCGGGGAAGAAGCGTCCCGAGTGCAAATCATGGTCATCCTCGTTGATCTGTCTGATGGTCTCGCAAACCTCCAAATGGGCTTCAAAATCATCCATCCAGTGTCCCTCCGAGCAGTAAATTGGGACACCACAGTCCGGGCATTCAAAGTGCGAGTGGGCCGGAGGAAGACCTGAGGTTTCGGTGCTTTTGCGCGATTCCGGGTCATGTGGGGAAACCGGCATCCGAGTCTGCTGGTGGCTAGGATGGGGGCAGAATGCATTTTGCTTGATGAAAGCTGCACGCTGTCGGATTGCCGGGGCCGGGGACTGGGAGAAAGGGTGGAAGAGATTGTTACGTTTTAGGAGAACTCGGGTCTCGGGGGAAGGGGTCGATGTTGCAGACGTCGCTTTCTGCACCATAGGCGAGACGCGCAGGGTTGTCGAAGAGTTTATTGGAGTGGGAAGGAGAGAATTCTTCGACCAAAGACCGGCATTGTTGCGGGATCCAAATCTTCGCGTCAGCGAAGCACAAGAGCCGTATGCTCGTCGTGAACTGGAGGCATTGGGAGACCGAAGTGGAGAGCTAGAGGACGCAATGCCTCGTCGGAGCACCTGCAAACAGCGTCCACAGGTATACTCACCAGTCATTTCGATAGAATGGGGGTGGGAAACGAAGTGGTGAGAATTCTGGAGATGAAGCTCCCAGCTGTGCTCCCACTTCTTTCGGTTCGGCCAGAGCAGCAGCAGTCCCGCATGTTTGCACGTGACCGTCTCGGGCTACCGACAACGCAAGACGGGCCAAAGATCAAAGTAATTCAATGGATTAACAGCGTGTAAGGTATGTACAGGTAGAGTTATATGTAGGGGTTATAAGATTTATTAGGGTTTGCTTGTCCTCATCGTGCCATCGTTTTTCTGGCCTCTTAAAAAATATCTTCAGACTTGCTCCAATCCGTCTTCTCCCTACAACCCCAGTAATCGCCAGTGTGTGCCCAGTATTCTTCTCCAGTGACAGCACACTGAGCCTTGCTGAACCACTTAGGCCGGTACTCTTCACCATTGGTCTCCCTCTCACGTCGCTTGGCTCGTTGCTTTTCCTCAACCCGATGCTTCTCGGTAGCGGCCAAATCATACTCACCTTCCTCCATCGCCCGTTGATCGGGACGAAGTCGGGTGTCGGTCGGCGGGAGATGTGGTCGCAGACTGTCAGTGAGCGCGTTCAGGGTGATGACGAACGGGGTCAAGTTGAACGGAATTCCAGTCGGGCGAGGATGAGCCTGCCAAACCAAAATCGTCTTGGCCGACTCGGGATCCTGGCCAGAAACCGGTGCTTCATACCCAGGGGTATGGCGGGCATAGATCTTGTCATTCCAGCGGCCACCAATACTCCATTTAGGCGAACCGTCAGCATCGACAACCTTGCCTGCGACTTGGTATGCAGACGATGCTTTCCAGCCCCTCGGCTTGAAGTCCAGGTAACAGACCTCACCAGTAGTCCAATTCTTGATTTCCATCAGACCGTAATTATCAACGGTAGGATTTCCAGTAATGATGCCAATAACCGAGGATGTGACCTTCTTCCAGGTGTAGAGTTCTTCGCCTCCGCAGGCGGGTCGCAACTTCAAGAACCAGGTTCCCAAAAGATTGATATCAAAAGATTTCCCGTAGAACTTCGACTTGAGAGATGATTCTCCCTAAGAATATCACTTCGTTAGTTTAATCAAAAAGATGTAAATTAGCAGGAACAGTTTCTCACCCAGTAGTCCCACTTGGGCGACTCAGCCAGCGCAACCCCAATTGGTGGATGGTGGCTAACTTGTTCGACGAAGAACCGATAGCCCTTGTCTGGTCGAACATACTCAAAGGTCTCCCCCAGGAGCGGGTTAAACGGTTTTGCCACACGACCGATTGTCGAAGCGTATTCACTCGCCGCATAAGCAGCAACATACACCAACCGCTCAAGAGAATCAGTCCGGTCGGCTGCAACATCGAGGAGATCGGTGTATTCCAAATCTTCGGCCACACGTTGGAGCAACGAGGTGGGTTCGTTAAACGAGACCGGAAGAGTCATTTTCGTCATATCTTTACCAATCATAGACTTCAAGATGCCCTATCGGAAAAGGTTAGAATAGCGACTTGTAGCTGTAAGGGGGAAATAATCACTTACCCAGAGAGAAATCTTTGGTCGGTTGTCATAGTCCATCTTAAGTCTATGTCTAATACCCTCCTCATATCCCTTGAACGAAGGTGACACTTCATCGCGCCTGATAGCACGGAGCTTGTTTATCTCATCCTGAACCTTTTCCTCTTCTTCCGCCGTCTCTGCAGGAGTGAGATCCTCGACTTCGATCTCTCCCGAATCGATTGCATCGAAGAACTCGTCGTCCTCTCCATCATCCGATTCCGAGTCATAAAGGCTATTGATCTGCGAAAGAGCGGATTTCGTACGGCGAAGTTGGGACGCGGATTCCTGTTCCTTAGGGTCTTCTGCAGCTTGTAATTGTTCTGCCGTCAGATCCCCTTCAACGTCAACATCAGCTTCGCCAGAAACTTGTGCACCCGACGCAACTTTGCTGGGGATGCGGCTAGGGGCACTTGAAGAATTCTCCAGGGCTTCTTTCAGAGCCCGCTTAGTACGGCGTCTCTTTTCTTCAGACTCGCCCATTTTAGATTGGAGCTCCTCGTGTTCTTGAGCAATACGTGCCATGCTCTCTTCCCACATCTTACGGAGGTAGGCTTCCCGGGTGAGCCGGTGCTGCCAGTACGCATCGCGATCCCGGGATATCTTCAACAGATTCTGCACCAGGCCCTTGAGGCTATTCACAGCCGCCTCGTACGCGGTAAGAGCTTGATCAACGGCCGGATCCGAAAGTGCCACACTCGGATCCCTCGTCTTCTCCACTTGTAGAGAAGAGGCAACATTGGCAAGGATCTCCAGCTGAAGCTTCGCAGATTGCGCAGTGATATTCATGGCATCCTTGTCGGCTACTGGCATGTCGCGGCTGGACACATAATCTCCATAGTCATCCTCGTCACCCTCCATATCAGGGCCAGTAGTTACATGGCTCGAAATCCTATTCATCTCATCGGAGGGACCCTGCTCGAAAGAACCATACAAGGAGCCATCCTCATCGACAGGCACACTATCCAAGGTTGTGCGAGACGTATATGTGCTGAGCTTCGCACCACTGCTGCTCGGGACGCCTAGCGCGAAAGGAGCCAGACCCTTCCCATTCGACTTCGAAGTGGTATGGCTTGGAGATTCGGAAGGCGCTTCGCTGGGTCGACCTTCGATCTGTTCAATTTTGGCCTGGCGTAGCACCTCCGCATGCTTTGACTGGCGCCTTTCTTCCTCTTTCGCCTCATCCTTTGCGAATTGAATGGCATTATTGAGGGTCCAAAACCAACGCTTCGCCTCTACAACATGGTTCGCCTTGAGATGGTACTTGACGGACGACTTTCCATGAATTTCAAAGCGAGTCTTATCCTGAGAATCCATGTTGAGCCTAGCGATCTTCATATTAATGGCTCCGCGGCAGGCAGAGCCCGCATCATCTGTAAGAGAACATGTTTTAGCATCAAGCGATAGAAAGCTTAGGTTTAAAAAATCGCAACAAGTAAATCATATATACCTTGATGTTTATAATAACTCAAGACCCCATCCTCAAGGACAAACCACCTCAGCTTATAGCCACTGGTGTAATTCGTCCATTTTTTCAAATAGCCTCTCATTTCACGGGAATCCTTGCCTGCAAACGAAGCCTCTCCGGCACCAGGTCGTCCCGTAACACCTTGGCCAGAGCTGGTTCCGAGAATCGCCTTTTCCTGGATACCCCGCTGAGCGATAACAGCCGCAGGGGACTTCTTGACAATAGCCCTTGTCCTATCATCCTTTGTCACATCTTGGGGCAATTTACCCTTCTTATCGCGACGGAAGGGGTCGGCTCCATGCATCAAGAGGATCTGAATAAGTTTTGTATCCTTCTTTCTAGCTCCCTCGTGTAGAAGAGTGCCGCCAGAATGGGCGGTAGTGGGATCCGTAACCAAATCCAAAGCATTGACGTCCATTATTCCTTCAACACGGGGCTCCACCAACAGCTTCTCCAACGTATCATAATCACCATGGGCAATAAGAGTTTGGATCTCCTGGGTCTTACTATCGATGAAAAGCGACCGGGCCAGTTGGAGTTGCTGGAAAATCTCCGGGTTGCGTGCAACTTCGAGAGCGGTCTGACCGCGGTAGTTGACGATCGAATCATTAACAGAGGGTCTGTTCAGCAGCTCACGCACTACCGGCCCTCTGCCAAGCTGAGCAGCGAGGTGTAGCGGGGTATTGCCATCCCGATCGCGCGTGTTAATATCCAGATCCTCACCCGCCGACAAAACGTACTCGACAACCTGGGGCTCCGCACATTGGATCGCAAGATGAACAATGGTGGTGCCGGAAAGACCGTTCGCCGCTTGGGGATCTCTACTCTCCTTGATAGCCTTGGAGATGGCAGTCGTGTCGCCACTGCGTAGGATTTCGAAGAGTCGGAATGTCCGCACCGACTGATCAAGCGACATGGACCCGCTCTCCCCCTGGCTCAGGGACGGTAGCTTCTCGATGTTGTCGCCACTCTGGCTGGATGCGATAGGATCCGAAATAGATTCCGTAGGCATAGTGGGCGAGTTTGCTTCGTGGCGCGACCTTCGGATGCTAGGGCCTCGGTGTAACGAAATGGCGGAGATGGATAGAGTGCTGGTGTTAACTGGGGAAGACGTGGCAGATTCCACGGGCGAGCCACAGTCGCGACCAGCGGTCTCCTCGTGTCTGTCCCTCGACTTATCACGATGCAGAATCGCCAGCGCCAAAGCGCTCTTGGAGCGTTTGTGATGCCTGCTACTGAATGGCGGGGTAGGTAGGTTAGCGGACTGGCGTCTCCTGGTCTTCGCTAGGAATTCGAAAGGGGTTGTGTTCTTGGATCGGGGGAAGGGAGGAGGGGTTTCATCCAGCCAAGTGGCACTGGTGCACTCGTAGGAGACTCATGGACCCTTCCCTTCATATATTCAGGAATATTCAGGAATATTCGTCTGCCTTGAGCATCTAGACGAGTGCCAACTCCGATCCATGGATCCAATAAGGTGACCGGTTAGGTAGACTGCACTTACCCTTCGCCCTTTTCCGTCATCTCTACCTTGGCACAGATATATGCATAGGTAAGAATAGAACTCAACAAAGAACGCGCTCACTAGGAATGCAAGAATTCCGAACCCGATAAATTTGCACCCAGGACGGGGGAAGGATGAGGAAATCAAACTGTCGTAGAGAACAAGGGAGGCGTTAACCTTCCAGACACTGGCTGCTCCTTGGGCGCGCCTTGGCGGCTTTCTACAAGATGATCCTTCCTCCTTCAGCAGATTCGGCTGGTGAAAACAGCCAAAATTATTCATCTGTACACGGCCCGTAAACACTTAGGTAGCTCTAGCGATTGATATGGTTGAGAGTAGGGAATCTGTGGCTCGAAAGGGGCCCGTTCAGGGGAACTCGTTGTGTACCTTGGAAAAGAAGCTCATCGACACATCTAAATATCATACAATGTCACGCTGACTATATACTGTACATATGTATAACTACCAGACATTTTTTTTTTATCTATACAAGACATGGCTCTTAATCAGCGAGAAATGGAGCGGATTTATTTTGTCTCCCCACTCACCAAAAGAATCACGCTGCCAAGTTGTCGCTTCAAGTCCTCCTTGTCAACATCATGAGTATCTTCCACCTCGCCCCACATATCAGTCTGCCACTTGACCTCGAGGCTAGATGCTTCGGCTGCCTCTTCGATGCCGAACTTCTTCTTCCCGGACCGTTGTACATGGCGGAAGTTTTCACTCCACTCAGTAATTAACCTAACCGCAACCAGGAGACTCTTGGAGGCAAGGATGCCTCTTTCCAATGCAGCCAGATCATGAGCTTCCAGTCCCTCAATCCACTGCCGGATGATCTCCTTTGTCGCCTGGGGTTGTGATGCCGGGAAGATGCTATCTGTATCCAAAACTGGCTGGATTTCAATTCCAGGCCATACCTTTGTGCTCAAAAATGCAATGACATCCTGCGCAACCCGCATTTGTGCCTCCCGGAGAGTTTCGCGCTTCTGTCCATTTTCATCGATTTCCTCGGCCGCATTGCCGTTCTCCGGTACCCAGCAGAGTAGCGTATCCGTATCTAGGTAGCGCATTGCGGTTTTAATAATCTGTTCTCTTGTGGTATGCTCCCCTGCGGCATCCTCCTGTACAATATCTGCTGCACGTGCGGTGAGAGAAGTTAATGGAATCAAATGGTTCTTCAAGGCCTGCTGCGCCGATGTCATCACATCCCACTCCAGAGCAATGGCATGTGCAAGGTGAGGCTTCGTAGTCGGTACAGAAAGAACGGTTTTCGCCGGGGTTCGGACCGGTCGTTTATCTAGTAGAACTTGGTATTCTCCTTCTAGAAACAAGAACAGAGAGAGTATTAGTCTCACCAATTACAAAGTCATAAGGGAAAGAAAAAGGGGGGGGGGGATTAATTAAATACCAGGCTTCTGCTTGACATGAACATCCTTCCAAAATCGCTTTTTCAATACCGTAGGTCGCTTGACCAGCCGGGACTGCGACTCGGTTCCCTCAGCTCCGTCCGCTTGCTGTTCGCCAAACCCGGGTGCGGCTGAAGGGGCTTTAGGAGGCGGGCCATGGGCCGTAATTGGATGAGCAATGGCAGCTTTTACCGTTTGAGAGTGGAAAACGCGTGATATTGAGGCATTGCATCGCACGGATGTTGAAATTGCTTGCTGCGGACAACCCGCGGAAGCTCGAAGAAAACCCGCCAGCATCTTTCGAGGCATTCTAGGAAGAAAAAAAACCGCAGAGGGAGAAAAGACCCTGTTAACAGACAAATGCTAGACGAATCTACCACAGCCCCTTTGATCGAATGAGTGTCTTGAAACCCGGAGTGTCTGCGTGGTAGAAGTCAATTGGCGACTTATTCGCGGGCACTCATCAATCAATGATGTTTGGAGTAAAAAAAGATAAGTAATCACTCGTGACACTCGCCACAGTTGAACGCCATAATAGTCAGGTCACCCTGCGAGGCTCGCTCCTTAAGGCTCATGCAGTTGGGACCTCGAAAAGTATGGAAGTTTTATTTTTATAGTTTACAAATAATCACCAAAAAAAAAAAAAAAAAATTAAAGCCCAGTATGATAGGTGAAAGGTATGGTTTAGTTTTCCAATGCATATTCCAAGCTTCATTTGAAATCTACAACGCAAAAACATGTGAGAATCTCAAGAACAAAAAAATCGCTGCTGATTCCGAGGATTAAAGATTAGCCATCGGAGATATCTCTGGTGTCGCACTTGATCCTATCCCTGCAGCCTGATCCGGCCTCGGACAACAAGTCTTGCGGGAGATCTGGTTGATTCAATCATCGACAAGCCGATAGTCAACTGTCGAAGATGTTCTGCATCATGCATTGTAATGAGAGGAACCGAAAGAATCGTAGCCTGATGTAGGATATAAATAGGGAGTATTAAATATTACCGACGCGATTCCACACGAGCGAAAGCAAGAGTAACCGAATATTCCAGAGAGCCACCCAGGGGTTGATCTAAATGGGAAGGGGAGAAAAAAGAAAAAAGAAAAATAGAATAGAAAAGAAAAGAAAATGTAGAAGAAAGAACAGAAGAACGAGAAATTTTTGGTAAACAGTACCGAACTGAAGCGACAAGAGCCTGCCCACGCTTTTATAATTTACATGAAAAATATTGCAATCTTCAAGGGGAATGAATTGTGGATGAAAAGTAGGAAACTGGGAATTGCTTGCACGGTTCCGTTGACCCAAAATACAAGCCATCCTGAATGTTGAAAAGTTGGACACGCAGGAAAGGCGGCGATAGCGAAACCCGTGTAAAAACTGATGGTACATTGGTTAAGGCGATTTGTCCGGAGCGTTGGAATCTCTTTTAGAATCCATTTATCATTTCTTGAATATTGGGAGCGTCATAAAGCGTTTCGTCGTAAAACATCACAAAAAAAAACTAATCCGCGCCCTCGATGTGGCGATAGCAGGCGGCCATTGAACCGGTGCTGCAAGTCTCGAGAAACGGTATTTGATGTGGGTTCAGGTATGTATGAGATGCAACATCTCCATGTACAATTGGTTGCTTGGATATCAAGTGGCGGAGCTGTGCCGGTCGCGAATTGTGAGTGATAAATTTGGGGTAGTAAGCTGGTGCTTTCAGGTGGTGTTCAACATCTGTTCGTTTTTTCATGCGTTCTGCGTCGAAATCATCGGCACCATCCCGGCTTCCCCATGTGGTCTAGAACAAGAAAGTCAGCTTGGCCGGGCCCAGAAAAAAAAAATATTGCTCTCGTGTTATTCTTTCCTTGTTTTGGGGGACAGGGGAGAGGGGGAGGAGCAAATGAGGAATTCAAGTGTAGAGTAGAACCAGGAATGAGGGGAAGAGAGAGGACGGGCCCACGAGCTATATTGCACGGGAGGGGCTGGCTACAAGGTATTGGGATGATAGCAAGGAATATTTGTAGGGACATAAAGCCGACTACTGCCGATGAAAGTCTGGACAGCACATCGACTTTGTAGATAGGAGCTAGACTGCTGCAGCTCCCGAGCGGTGCGTAAATTGGGTGGTGGGATCAGGTGAAGGAAGGATCGGGATTTGTAACATACCACACTAAGTGTCAGAACTGCGTACATCTTGATACCTCCGTGGAAATAGCCGAAAAGGATAGACACGGGCAAAAGCAACATGTCGACGGGGTACCGGATGTAATGTCCCATGAGTTTGATGAATTTGCTGCAAAACATCCACGCCGCAAGCATCATCATAGCCATGGCGTGCGAATACTCGTCCCAAGACACTGTCGCTTTGTAACAAAGAAAAATAAGGCCCAAATCTCCTAAAAGAGCTGGGGGGGATAATGTTGTCATATGAACAGCATAGGCGCTCCAAGGTTGACGGCTGGCAGTGAAGATTCCAGTATCAGTTGATAGCCCAAATTTTTATTTTCGCTTTCTCTCTCTCTGTCTCTTTAAGTAAAACTTACTACCAAATGTGTTTCTCATCAAACATACTTGTGAGGTTGCTCCTCCAGTTGCTTCGAGACCATCGTGCACATTGCTTCAGGAACTTTGGGTTATCTTCGAGGGTGGTCTGAACCTCTGCCTCAGGATGGTACTGCATATAGGTATTCCAACCGTGCGAAACCATCCAACGGGTGATGAAGTTGTCGTCGTCAGCGTTCAACTGGTACTTTCCAAACCACCATCCTTCATTTGTAAAAGCATATGTAAACCCATCGTCTTGAAGAATATGTGTTCTGTAGGCGACAGTTCGCCCAGACATACAAGGAAGTCCGCCGTCAATATGGGTAGTAGCGGCGCAATCGAAATTTCTCCGTTCAAGGTAAAGGGCTCCAAGAAACCCCCACAGACGCTGGGACAATGTGGGGGAAACAGCGCGACGAAGGCGCTGACAAGTTACCACGCCTCCAAACCGCTCGTTCTTTTCGAAAGGCGCCAACATCCACATCAGCACCTTTGGTGGCCAAATCACATCATCGTCTGCAAAAACCGTAATAGCTGTTCGAACTTCGGGGATCGCTCTAGTCATCTGGCGACGCTTATTAGGATGTGTGACCGTGAACAAGCGAATCCTTGACTGAGCAGCAGGCATACGACTCAGCATCGCTTCTGCCTTTTTCCGGTTCGCTTCAATTGTCACAATGAGAAGCTCATAGGGACGATTTGAAAGAATTGTTTCAATTGTTCTCTCTAGTTCGTCGCCACAGCCCTCCAGGGTAGGAAGAATAACTGTCACATCTTGTGCGGTCAATTTCGGGTTTTCCGGGGGCGGGATCGGTTTGAAGGTCCAGAAGGAAAACAGATTGATAACCAAACGGATGTAACGGTATATACTGCAATCAGAGTCACGGAGTTAGTTAAGCGGGTTGCATTTAAGGACGGGTCATTAATTCAAGGCTTCGAAGAAGCGGAGGATCACTGACAAAAGAGCGATAAACGCTCGCATATATGTCATTGGCATTATGAGCGGTTTAGAACGGGCTGCTCGATCTCGATATATTTATTTTATATCTGCTTTTCCGGGGTCCTTTCTCTCCAGCTGCCAACCTCGAAGCACATTGAACGGCGGTATGGGTTCACTACCTATGCCCACCGTACAGAGGGAAATTGGGCAACAATGCTAGTACCGTCCTTAAGCCCCTGCCCTTGCAAGGCAAATTGTCTAGTATAGAAAGTAGATTGCGTACGATGCAAGTGAAAGAAAGGGTTCTGCTCCTAAGGGGGGGGGGGGGGGTTCAGAATTTGGAGCAGAGTGATGGAAAAGAATGAAGAGAGAGGAGGTAGAAGTGGCAAACGAATGTCTGGGAGGGGAATGACAGGAGGCTCCTCAAGAATAATAACCTTCAGAGGGAGAGAAGAGGATTACTTCCAGGACGGGTTGGCTTCTTAGAAGAGGCGAGTATCGAGGGCTTTAGTTGCAGCAACAGCGGCATTGGCGACCTTTATTTGTCGCGGAGAGACTCGAGGGCAGGGAAGGCACATGTCCAAGAATCGCATCCAGACAATGACTCGAGCCAATCCTGAAACAGGAAAACAAAAAAGTTTCGTGAGGGCTCCAGTTCCTTTGTCATTTTGAGTGTCATGCAGGTGTATTTTTTGCCTCGTGCGTCAGACCCTGGATCTAGATGAAATTGACGGAGGAAACTTGGGGTGGAGAAAGGATTGGCGGCGGCCCATGCAGCAACTACGCAGTGACATGGGCTAGCAAGTGGGGATGGTTTAATGCATGGTGTGGATGACGATGGGGGTGCTAGGAGTTAGTCGCAGGCTAGGCTGTGAATTTAGCTGCGGTGCATGTCTCCGAAAAGCTCCCGCTGTGGCCGGAGAGAATGGTGGAAAACAGCAGGAGGTCGTCGTCAATGACCCTATTGCGGTCGTTAACTCCGTGCTAACTATAGCAGCCGACTTGGGAACCATGGAATGATAATTTATTTATTTATTATTTACTAGGTAGGTACTTAGTAGTGTTAATATGATTGTTATTTTTTTTTTCTTACTAGGTTACACTCGATTATTATTCTCCGTAATAGATTGGTTTTTTTTTTTTCTTTCTTCCTCTTAGTAGTTACAAGGTAGTAGTGAGTATTTTGATTCTGGGGTGCGAGGTTACTTACTACCTGCATTGTTTAGGTCTAATAGGCGAAGTAATGCCGAAGAACCGACGGGCTAAACTATTAAGAAACCAGGATAAGTAATAATAAATAAAATCATAATAAAAATTGACTTAAATTAACTACTACTACTACTACTACTACTAATAGTGGTAGTGGTAGTAGCAGTACCTAGTCATCATGATCATAATATCGGAGAAGGTGGGGTGAGTTCGTTCGCGGGTGATCAGCTGTCAAAAGTAAATGGGAGCAAGAGGAGGGAGTGAATGGAAGAGCAAAATGGAGAGAGAGAGAGAGAGAGAGAGAGAGAATATGGAGCTGAGAAACTCGAAATCAGAGGCGACGCTTTCGTTCTTTTTTAAACTTCAGTGGAGAAAGCTTCTTAGTCGCTTGCTCTTTTGAGTTTCCTTCCCTCCTTGGGATGTTGACCGAGGTCTTACATGTAAGGAAGAAAAAGAGGATCTTATACGCAGGAATCCATAATAATAATAGTAATAATAATAATAACAACGCAACATGCTTCATGATAAGAAAAACTCAGCCCATCCGGGTAAGAATATATTTATTCGTTTTATTTGTATATTTTTCCTTTTTTATAAATTCTAATATTGTATCCTTCTTGGAGAACATGATGATGGTATTGACCCCAGAGGCTATCTACTACCTCCTAGTGGCACCATTCCATATCCAACCTTGAAGTACTCCGTACCTAGGTATCTCTCTGATCGACATGAAAAAACAGAAGAATTTAGGAGTAAATACCATAATCCTCACCCATACTAAGTTCCTGCAAGTACTATTGGTTACTAACGACTAAATAACAAAATCCCTACCTAATGAGAATACTATGATTCCAGATTATTCCCATTTGGTCTTAACGTAATATCAAGGAGAAATAAATTACCAGAATTTCGAACGATTACACCCCTCCAGATGATTGGGATGTCTTGCGCTATTTCCCTTAACCCATCTCTGGCACATGAGCTCCCAGTGGTGACGAACTAATCGGTTGCTGGCATTCCAATCGTCTGGTCATCACAGGTTCTCTCGATTGGAAACTGCATGATGATCAGATGGCCAAAAAGAACTGGGAGAAGAAGAAAGGCATGGAATGGATGCGATTCGTAAATCTAGGCGAAGTTACTAAATTCCGATGAGGAAAGCTGCAGGACAGTTAACAGTCTAACACAGAGTTAAAATTCAGCCAAGAAAGACTACTACGCTCTCTTTCTCTCTTCGACAATATTACCAGGTGCAGACTGAAGACTTGGAGTCGGACTTACAAAGTACCTACTTAACTAACACAGTATCAGCAAAATAAGAAGAACTCTAAAAATGCGGCTGGAGCGAGATTTGCAATATGAGCTACGCCCCTAATTTCCTTTTGAGTCGTCATCCTACTCCGGAGTACACAACGGCCAGATTCCCCCTTCTTGCTTAGCCAGCAGATGGACATGGTCTAATCCGAGTCATGAATTCTCCTTTTTAAAAAAAAAAAAAAAAAAAAAAAAAAACATACACTGTCGAGACTTGGAATTCCTTCCTAAACAACAAAAAAAAAAATAAGTTCATACTGGAGCCCACCATAATATCATGGGATGCGATTTACTACGGAGTAGAATTACCAGCCAAGACCTTCAGCCAAAAACGTTCAGGACAACGGTGATCCTAGCGGCGATCTCCAACCCCGTATAATACTTACGAGCGAAGCAGCCACCACCTGTGCGTGCCGCTCTCGGCCACCCGGCCGCTCAAGAGCTACCCACGGAGCTTTGGTGGGGAGGCCAGACATAGTGTCATGAGCGAACAATAATACGAAGCCCAGGCCATCCTCACCCTAGATTATGTAGTTTTTTCAGCTCCAAAAGTCGACGCAGGCGAAAGGCTGAGAGAGTCGTTTAAGAGTGTAAACTTTGATCCTGCCAATTGCACATTATCTGGAATGGATTCTCGAAACCAACCACGAGGGACACACAAAAGCTACTCAGTCTTGACATGATTCACCCCACCACAGAAGTTAATCTTCTCCATATCATGTGTCATGCATGCATCATCATATACTTACACTTACCCCAAGAATGCAAATCCTCCAGTCCTGCCAGACACAGTAATGGTGGTGCCTATGACTTCAATCTTCCTTCGACATGGCCTTGTTTTTCTAGAATTCCCCTCGGTAAGTTCCCCCAGGATATCATTCCATGGTCATCTCTGGACACGTTCTACGTAAGGATTCGAATGGATGGTTCACGGCCAAATTTCCATTGCTTCCTTGGGCGTATCAAGCTCAGCCACAGTTCGTCTAGCTGGTACTCTAAACAGGGACGCGAAATAGATCCCCTCCTGAAGTCGATTGGCATTTCATGGTACATACTCGGAAGTAATGATCGATACGGTGGATAAGTTCAAGGGGAGGAGGAGGGGCTATGGGCTTTCGTTGCGACACTATAATCTCCAACAATTGGAACGGAGAAGAGGTATACAATTTCTCCGCTCATACCCATGGGGAATAATCAACATCCGACCCGCAATCTCTATTGTTACTGGTGGTACTAGACGACTTCTAGTGCAGGCCAGATTATCACAGCGGTTGACTTGCAGGTAAGCTAGAGTTTGCCTTAGCGTCTAGCAAGGCTCCCATCACCGGAAACAGCAAGGCGTCGTCACCCCAGCCCTAGTTGCTGCAGATGATAATCAAGTCTTCCTGCAAGTCACCACAAACGGTGATGCGCTTAAAAACCAAGAGTCCTCTAATATCGATGCCCCCGGATAAAGCACCCTGACACCCGGGCATTAAAGATAATGAGATGACGGTGGTCGGCATCTCGCTACATTCAACTGTCCAGGATTATCAAACGATACTGCGAAGCACAGGGGTGTGAAGAGTGCGATGGAATCCAGCAGATTCAGCTTTCTTTTCCTGATGCTTTGAATAATGCTTTGCTCTGGTATGCATCGGGGTGATGTTGTCTATTTTGGAAGGGGAAGGCTCGGATTGCCGCTGCAGGACGACCCTCTCTTTGCTCAAGCAAAAAGCGCGCGCAAATGGTGAGGAGATAATGGATCAAGCCACACTCTCTTTTTTTTTTTTTTTTTTTTTTTTTTTTTAATTCCTTCAACAGCATGTCTATTCTCTTTGCCAGGCCCTAAAAAAAAGTACCATCCGTCGATTTTTCTCATGCATGAGCGGGCCATTCACCAAGGGACTAAGTGTCCTCATTTCATCTTCCTTCGGATCAGGGAGCCGAATAGCAGATTCTGGAAGTCCAAGACCGTTCGTTGTAGTCGGGCCCTTGTCGTTCTCAATGGCACTTGCCCTCCATCTTCTGATGTTATTTTGATTTAGTGACCAGAAATAGCCCGCGCTGCATATCGAAGAGTCCAAGATGCATATTGTCGACAATTTGCTCTGCACTTGGGAGTGAGCGAAACAGACGCGTACTCCGTATCGCGGGCTGCACGGACGCTCACTGACTCCGCTGTTGTCCTCCACTCACACCCGGGAATGACCGAGGACCCGGATGTGGAGCGAACAGCTCTGGCACTACTTCTGCGTACTGAGTTTCCCAGAACAACTTCACGCGAATCAATTGCCAAAATAATAATACGCAGTCTCCCTCAGCCTTTTCAGAGACAATTCAGCCAAGTAAGTAGTAGCCCTTCCGTGTCTTTGTCCAAAACATCTCCCCAAGTTAGTTAGGGTATCATGCTATTTTTACTCCTTTTTTTTTTTCTTTCTTTCTTTCTTTCTTTCTTTCTGCTCTTATTTCAAGGATAGATCGAACTAAATATCAATTGTAAATTAATATCAATCTACTCCTAGACAGCGAGCGGAGCTTAGTGTCCGGCTCCACAAAATTACCGGCCTCCTTTAAGAGACCTTCGGACTACCGTCGAGTTGAATACTCCGTAATGCGCTGTCCATCATCCACTTTTTTTTTTTTTTTTTTTTTTTTTTTTCAGATTATTGGAGGTCTGGATCCTTCTATTATTACAAGAATGTACCGAGAGTACCTACGGAGTACAACTACTCGAAGAGTCGAACATTTTCTTTGCTGCCACTGAAAAGAGAGCTTGTGAGATAGGAAATTGGTGATATGCAACCTTCCTGGTCGATCAGTCACGTTTCTCCACGAGTAACTACATACATACCTCCTCCTACCTACAGGTACTGAAGGCGAAGAACAGGCAGGACTCTTTTAAGTCCACCGGCTCCCTAATAAATTTTTTGGCTATGAGATTCATTCATTCATCCTGGCTATTTGGATTTGGAAACTGTTGTCGAGCGGCTCGCCAAACTCGGGTGGTGATTGGATGTTAATTAATACAGAAGAGTTGGACCTCTCTAAAGTTACCTAAGAGTGAGTAGTTAGTTAGTTAGTTAGTTCACTAGTAGACAATTAGTAACATTAACGATTTCCCTTGGAATCGCAGTAGAGGTAGATAGCCAGTGGCTGGCGCGAACTCTCTTGCAGTGGGTTTCCTTTTAGTGCTGCAGGCGGACTGTGAACAGACCCCCGTTAGCGCAGGCTACGAGCACTTACTGGTGGAACTCGACAACGGGGGTTGGCCGGTCTAGGGAGAGAAAGGACCCTATAGGCCTAGAGAATCAGCTTCAACGACCTGGGATACTCCGTCGTCGGCTGGTCTAGTATGAAGGAGAAGGGATGAGGGGGGGGGGGGGGGGGTAACTTTCCTCTTTTGGCATCGTGTTTCTAACTACCTACCTAGGTACCTGGTAGTGTTCGAAAAAGATGAGAGTGAGTAGTTTAGGTATCAGCAAATCCAGAGCAATAACATGGAAAGCATTTCTTCAGCGGATACGAACATGCAAGGAAGAACTCCTCCAATGACAGATTAATAAGATAAAGAAACCAATAGTTACCCACTTCAAAGGTTTTTTTTTGTACTCCGTACAGTGTAGTACTTTGTACGGAGGTACCCCCCCCCCCTTCCTTTCAAACGGGGCGTCGCATCTGCGCAACCGATCTGATCCTCGGAGACCCAGACAGACATGCCCCGTTCGAGCCAAAAAAAAAAACAAAAGAAAAGAAAAACCATTGTCTATCAATCAATCTTCTCGGTTGGTTTTCTTGGTTGGTTTCCTGAATCTTACCATGCATATACATTGCTCGTGGTGATTTCCCAACAATGATGAAGGAAAGAGAACCGAGTCGTCGCGCAATTAGAAGTTCATCTGGTCTGGTCCAGGAGAAGTGGAAACAGCACTTGATTCCAGGAAATTGCGGCTTATCATAGGCTGAATGGAAAGGCCGAAGATCGAACGCGAGTCTGGTCTGGCCAGCTGTGTCCAGGAGCGAGCGTCGTTTAGCGAAATCGACTACTGCAGTTCTTATGCAACTAATGGGAAACCAATCGCCTGAGCCTAGCTTTCTTACCTTGTTGTTCTGTCATTGTTCTCGTTTACCAGCCGAGCAATCACTCGAATACCACGACTCTGATTTTTTTTTTTTTTTTGGAAATTTTGCCTGACCTAGCTTTCAGAGGTAGGAAGTAGTGTAGTGCTTCAGAATACTCCTACCTATCCCTCGGGTTGATTTGTTTGGCTCTCGACTCGAAATCACGTATACTAACATCTAGGACCGACTCCCGTATGTATACTCCGTATAGACAACTATGAGATACATCAAGGTAGGATCCTCCCGATGCTCCTTAACCGTATATTTCACCTGTGATTCTTCCTTGACATTACTCTACTTGATTCTCTGCGCAATCAATATGTCCTGGGCTGCTCTTATTTGCCTAGAGTCCCTAGACAGGGGACTACCCCGTTGAGTCAGTTATAGAAACCCAAAATAAACATCGGTTCATTCGTGCAATCCCGCCGGTAAAAACCTTATTCTATACGTTCCGTCTATTTGCGAGCATGCTTGCTTTTTCCGAGTTTCTTCGAAACACATGAAGAACCATACATGCATCACCTATACCTAGGACCTACAGCGGGATACCTTCTCTATCTTAAGCGAAGCATCTAGAGTAGATAGATAGATTCGGGTTTATTTCGGCTAGGCTATTCCTTGTCCATTCTATGAAGAACCCACTCTCCTTCACCCTTGTATACCCAGTATATGGAGGAGACAGGGAAAGAAATGAATACAAGAAACGGGTGGAAGGAAACGATGAATGAAGGGAATGGGAATGGGAATGGGAGACGTCCAATGATTCCGTCCGGATCCGATATACTACTACGAAGTACGGAGTATATCAGGTCTATCTTCTTCTTCTTTTTTCTCCTCATTTGCCCCTCCTCCTGTATGACGTCAAGCCCTCAGGTACCCAACATACATTATATATATATATATACCTTAGGTAGGTACTACTCAAATCATCAATCATCGCCTTTGGAGTAACTAATAACCCTACTCTTGAACCTCCCTCCCTTCCTTCCATGCAGTCTAGACCGACCCCCCCCCCCCCGTAATACTAAATCCTAAATAATACCGCTGACACGCACGCACATATATCAAACAAACAATCCCCCGGAAGCAAGTCGCCTGCTTCCCCCCGAAGCCACTAAATGTATCTTTTTTTCCTTTTCCTCTCTTGCGATCAACAGGGAAGATCCCATGGCCCCTGGCTGATCTTGCAGGTCATGTTTCTGGAATGTCTCACTGCTTGTCGCCGTCCGCGTTCTAGGCTTGTCCGCGCTTTTCCTTCCATTTCCGGGAGCTGGGGATGGGGGGTTGTTCGTTCGATGAGACCGTTAATAGTCGTGGGGGTTGGTTGGGTGGGCTTTCCTCTCTCCCTTGTATGTTGTTACTATTTTTGATTCTGTGTGTGTGTGTGGGGGGGGGGGGGAAGGGCTGGGCCTGGCGATAGATTAATAGAATAGGTACACGGTACTGTATTGTCTAGGGATTTTCTGGGATTGTTGTAAATTCTCGGTAGAGACTATTTTGGAAGAAGTAGGAAGTATAAAACAGAAGGCCCCGCGAGGTGTGGGTGGACATTAATTAATTAATTAATTGCCTACTCTTTATGTGTAGATGCATATTTTAGCAGCAGTGTTGGCGAACTTGTCAAGCCCTTGATGTGGTTTCTGGTTTCTGGTTTCTTTCTTCTTTTGTCCTTGTCTGCGTCGGCCGGTGGGGATGGATGCATCGCTGCACGAACTTGTCGAGGGTGGATGGGTGGGTTCTTGACTCTACCTAACCGTGGGACTAGTATATATATACATCATACGATAATAAGAATAATAATCAGGATCGAGGTCAGGGCCTCCAGAGCCAGCCGGCAGCAGGATTATTATAACACACTTCGAAATCAACGCCTCCGAAGAGCCCAACGGCTGCGTGCAAGTCAAAGTCCCCTTCTAAGCCTTCGACCCCCCCGGCTTCTTCGTCGGTTTCCTCGTGTAGGTCCCAGCCGCCAGCTCTCTGGCCGTTTCGCGTGAAGAAGACTTCAACCTTGAGCTTGTGTGTCTGCGGGCTGGCATTGCTATGATCGGGAAGATGGAATGTCATTCCCAAGCCTAACGTCTCGCCCACGCTAAATGCCTGCGTGAAATCTTTCCCGCCCCAGCAGTCATTCACAAATCGGCAGCCATCGTCAGAGAAGACCCCGAGGCTTCCTCGCTGCCAGCCGGGGGAGCACCATGTCGGGTAGGGCTGCGCCACGAACCCAATAGATAGCCCACTCGCCTCGCCGGGAGCTGGCCCTGCCCGGAGACCGAGCAGTTTCACCTCGAAATAGATCGTCTTGCTTCTCTCCGTGACAAACGGCGAGTCAACCAACGAAAAATAAACAGGCAGGTTGCTCGATACCAAGCAATCTCTATGCCTGTCTCGCGTGGATCCTCGCCAGGAATCCCCGTGTTTGTATATACTTCCGCGAAACTCTGGCGGTGCTATAGGGCTGAGGTAGACGACAGCAGGTGGCTGGACGGGGGGGGATAAGGGATTCCGGTCACAGAACTCAAGTGCCCGGTCTGCATCGTCGCTGGAGGCATTTCCCGTGCTCGAGACCAAGTTGCCCGCTACCGGTGGAGGAGGAAAAGTCGTAGTGTCAGGGACAGCCTCCTGCCAGTTATGGTATGGAGGGGGTTCTGAGTCCCTAGCCCCGGCCGATCTATATATAGTCAACATATGGTGGCGGTTGGGACGCCCTCATTAACCTGGGGGTGGCCCTGGAGGGGGGGTCTGTACGCCATTATCGTGTGTAAGACCTCTTAGCCTGAGAGGTGGCTGGATACTGCAGATGCGTCCTTGTTCAGTTAAGATCAAGCTCGGGAGGATACACTTGATCTGTGGTCTTCGTGCCAAGTGTGTGGCTGTGCTCCAACATCAAATACATACCAATTCCGCTCTAGTTTCCATCGTAAAAGGCTTCACTTTTCCATCCCCAATGGGGGATACAGGCAAGGTTCCCCAATCCTAAAGGGGGAATACAGAGTACAGTATACAGCGCACAAGAACCGCAGTTTCCCTTACCTATGACCCCTACTTGAAGCATTTCGCGAATTCGATTTGATGCTATGTACTGATGGTTCCTTGCAATGGGATATTTTTAGTAAGCTGCATGCAGGCGAGTGAGACATCCTTTGCCATCATCTTGGGCAGTCAGTCATTGGAGCATCAGGTCCTAATTTTTCTTTTTTTTTTTTTTTTTTCTTTTCGAGTTCGTCCCTCTTTTAACTCAGTAGAAGATCTGAGGTTTCACTTTCATGTGACCTGTGTGCCATGATTTTGAGCTGTACAAAACTCTCTCTGACTCGACTCCGCGGGAGATGGCGCCCTCCTGCCTTCGTTTGAGATCTCTCTCTTTCTTTTTTTCTATGTTTTATATTTCTTTATTTCTTTATTTTTGATCTGAGATCACTTTCTTTCCGATTGCGAGTCTTTAAACTATGGGTATTCCATTCCGTTCGGAGATTTCTAGGTATTGATTTGATTCTTGCCAAACCACTCACTCACTCACTCACTGCCTTCGGAATCTTTTCCATAAGCTGGCTGCTTTTTTCTTTTCTTTTCTTTTCTTTCTTTTTTCACCAACATGCCGGCGCTGGTTGAACCAGGCAATGGGAATAAAAGGCCTCGACGGTCTTCCATTACACAGCATTTGCAGCGTATACTTCATATCGACAAACAAAGTGACGTAGGTGTTCCTCTAGGGTATACTTGGTAGAGTACTCATTATCAGAATCAGAGAAAAGACGATAGCGGTGCAGACTTCTCAAATGTGAATACTACTACGGCAACGGCTCGTCCTCAGTCAAGTCATCTACCGGGGGTCAGTGCAAACGGCACCCATGGAGGAAACTACAAATCATTTGATGCGAGCAAAAATGGACACAACCGCCATTCATACTCATCCTTCGGCTCAAAGTTTACGGGGGGAGTGAATACTTCGGAATCCCGACATAGTGCTTCTCTACAGTCTGTCTCCCTGGAGCAACAACAGCCGTTGAAAGCGCACCCTTTTTCAGATGTGTCGTCGAATACGCGTGGTGAGGCCATCGTTTTGTCCACCTGGAACCACAATGTTGTCGAGAAGAAAGACAGACGGGCGACAAAGCGCCTGGAAGCAGAGAGGGTGGAGCTCGAGAAGCGGTTGCTCAAGTTGGAAGAAGCCGAACGGACCGGAGACATGTCTGCCCTCAGACGAGAATCTCGTAGACTAACCAAGAAACAACCATTCGGGAGCTCAAGCAGGTCATCGAGTGCGAGTGGGGACGAATCTCGGCCTTCCTCACGTCTTTCTTCGATATTCTCGAGCTCGCGGCGGAGGTCACGGTCTCGATCAAGCTCCTTCGGCGCAGACGACCGCCCCAGTGCGAAGCCACCAGTCACCGTGTCCAAGGAGAACCCAAGGGATGGTGCAAATGGGAACTCGGCCACGTCGAAAATTTCTATTACGCTTCCCGAGCGCCTAAGTACCACCATATCCAGGGAGCTCGCCACGAAAAGCCGCGCCCTTCTTTCGTCTGCGGAGCAACAAATTGAATCCGCGCAAATCCCTCAGTCGGGCTCGAAAACATCCTCTCCCCTGTTGGTATCTAGTGGGCAGGCGCCGGAGAATGGAGTTAATGCAACACCGTCACAGGTAGATCTTCTGTCGACTGCGCGCAAAGAAAGCGACCCAGAATCGAAGACTTCATCTGCTAAAGATGCGTCGCTGCCCCAAGTAGACTTGGATCGGTCATTATTTGCAGCAAGTCTCAAACCTGGGAAGAGAAATAAAGCGGCATCTTCTAAGAAAACGGCGGATCAAGGGACTCCCAACAGCAGGCAGAATGCGGTCAAGCCTTCGCGAGATACTGATCAAAATGACCCTACCTCAAAGAAAAGCCTGCAAAGCGGCTCGACGAAAAACCTGCTAAACAGGACGTCCGCAGATGGCATCATCCAAAGACATAAAAAGGAGTTTAAATCCTCTCCTCTTGCAGAGTCCCAGACTATCATTAACGACATGGATTCTCCGACGACGCCAGAGGGAGCTACACAGCTGCTAAACTCTAGGACTTCTGATGCCGCCAAAAGATCACAACTTTCGGACTATTCCGGGAAAGCTTCTCGCTCGCACCTGGATATAGCAAATTTTTCCCAGCCTTTGGGTGAAAATATAGGGCAGAGAGGAAAGGCAAGAGTCAATTCGTCTAACAGCTCCAGGTCGTTCTCAAACATAACATCGACTTTGAGGTTCAACCAAACTGCCCCATCCCTACTCCAAACTAAATCGCGGTTCCATAACCAGTCCGATACCAAGAAATTCGTCGCTCCACTTTCCTTGAAGCAACCCAAGTCACCAGTACTTCCTCAGAAAAGCCCCAGGCGAAACAGTCATACTATGCCGGAGTCAGACCTGGTCTGGGATCACAGTCACAGGCAGCGGCCATCAAGCGCCTTGTCCGGTGCTAGTCGCTGGCAGGAGGCCGGATCAGATGGCTACAATACGTCGGATGAAGCTACCGCCGATACGTCCGCTGGCTTTGCAACTAAGCATGCTTTTGAGCACACTCGTTCTGTTAGTGTGGATACCATACCGTCCAGTCTGAGAAGCAGTCCTGCACCGGTGGGCTCCAAGATACCGATTAAAAAGCCAGCCCCGGCGGCACGAGATCAAGTCGACAAGCTCTTTGTCATCTGCTGCCGCTGCAAGTTCTGGCATGACTTGCCTTCCGAGGCGTATGCGAAACTGGCGGCTACAGACCCTCTGACTGTCGCTTCGGATGCAGAGTTGTCGAATGCGTGGGATGCAAACTCCTTCTCCAACAGATTCACTTCCCAGGAGAATTACTTACGCACACGCATCACAACCGACACGTCCTTTTCCCCGGTGCAATGTTGCTGGTGCAATCACAATATGAGCAAGCAATGCTGCCAAGGATGGAGCACTGTAGTTCATATGCAGCAAAGGCTCCACTAACTGTATTATGTCTTTCTTCAATTCCTGGAATCCGCCATTATTGTACTTTGCTTTTCTCTTCCCTTTCGAGGGCCTGTTTTCTTTCCACTGGATGGAGGTCCATATCGATATGATACCGATTTATGTTGAATATATGAGTCTGTTAACTGTGTGAATTTGAGCCTTTAAGTAACGAGGCAACCTCTCTCTCTCTCTCTCTGCTAGGATTTAGATAGTAACTCCTTCCACGTGCGATTTATGTCAGATTTTGGCCTCGGTTCGATCGTGCATAGGTAGAGAATATCGCAAACTCCGCGCTCCAAGCGCGAACCCGTAGAATCGTCGACCACGAAAAGAGGGGTATGATACTGTAGCTGAACAGGAGCATCTCGAATTGAGCGTTGGTTCATCCATTCAGTCGTAATGGACGAATTAAAAATGGGTTGGTTGGTCTTCTGGCGCAAGTTAGTCGAAGACTTGTAAAGTGGGGGGAAAAGGTTGATAGATTTTGTCGATTGAGCTACAGAGAGCACAGTGAAAAGAATAACAATCATCACCATCACCATCATGTAGTTATCAATGGAAACAAGATATTTATTTATTCATTGGAGTAAACCAAATAAGAGAATGAAGTCGAACTATTTAGGGAACTATCGGACTCGGCGGATCCCCGGCATCTCCAGAAAGTTCACTAAATAAACGACCGGACTGTCTCTTTATTATTGTTCAACTGCGAGCATTTCTTCCTCTTCTTTCCCTTCTTTTTCCCCCTTCTCTCCGTCCCCATCTTAATGGCTTGTACCTGGCGCCATGGTGCGTCAAAGGGGACTTTCAAATGCTTCGTCAATTTCCACGGTGCCGGAAAGAAATCAGGTATGCTGAAAGATTCTGATATTGCAGCACTTCCCCCCTCTCTTGGGCCATCTTTCTCTTTCTCTTCTTCTAATGTTGAGTAGGAGCTAGAGAGCATGTATGATTATTTGGCCAAGGTTATTCTCCTTGGACCTAGTGGTGCTGGAAAGTGAGTTTCTCTTCTAAAAAAAAGAAAAAAAAAAAAAAATAGCCAGTGTCCTTGCTGACAGATCCCATTTGGTTCCCTGCAGGTCTTGCGTGCTTCATCGGTTTGTGAAAGATGAATGTACGGAACTCTCCCCCTTTCTTAGAGCCGGAGAACAACAGGCTCGCTAATACAACGCGCTTGCAGGGAGAGTGCTATCGTCGCAAACGATCGGAGTCGAGTTCTCCTCGCGAATCGTCAAACTGGGCACCGGCCCCCGGCGCACAAGGATCAAATTCCAGCTCTGGGATACCGCAGGCACAGAGAGGTTCCGATCAGTCTCACGCTCCTACTATCGAGGCGCTGCCGGAGCGATCCTTATCTACGATGTAGCATCCCATGCCTCGTTTGCGTCCCTCCCGACTTTCCTCATGGATGCCCGCGCCCTTGCCTCCCCCAACCTCACGGTCCTGCTGGCCGGCAACAAGGCGGACCTCACCTACGACTCCTTCAGCCAAGGCGAGTACTACGCTGAAGACGCCACGCGACCGCCCCCAACGCCATCAAGCACCACCTCCAGCAAACAAGACGGTTTCCCCTACGACGCCGCCGGCGGTTCCTTTCGCTCCACGACGACCCACCTGGGAACCGGCACCCGCATGACCGCCACCACGCAGACCTCGCACGGCCGCGAGGTCCCTATCGACGAGGCGTCGCGCTGGGCGAGCAAATCCAATATCCCCGTTGCCGTGGAGGTCTCCGCCCTCACCGGCGACGGCGTCGAAGAGCTTTTCCAGCGTCTCGCCCGCATCATCCTGACCAAGATCGAGCTGGGCGAGATCGACCCGGACGATCCCCAGAGCGGGATCCAGTACGGAGACGGCGCGCTCTACGGCGGCGGCGGCGGCGGCGGCGGCCATGGCACCAGCGACGCGTCAAGTATTCGCAGCCAGATGACTCTGGACGATAGCGCTGTCCAGCTGCACCGTCGAACCCCGCGCCGACGAGCCGGGAATAATTGGAAATCCGGCGTGCGGGAGTGGGAGGACGTCTTTCGGTTGAGCGGGTCGCATCAACGAAAGCGATCGGGGTGTTGCTGATTCTTCTTCTTCTTCTTCTTCTTCTTCTTCTTCTTCCTCCCCGCGCGCGAACGAAAAAGCTGGATAATATTGGGCTACTCGTTTCTTTTTTTTTTTTTTTTCTTTCTTTTTTTCTCTACGCTACACTATACCCCTAATGACATACATTCCTTGACGACTGAACCTTTTTTTTTTTTTTTTCCTGATTCGTTGCTTATTACCATTCAGGCTTGCGTGTGTGTTTTTTTTTTTTTTTTTTTTTTTTCACTATAGATAAGAATAAGCATTGTCATTCTTGTTAACATCATCAGCCTTGTTTTGTCCTTTTTTGTATCTTTCAAGGGTTATCCAGAAGAAAAATTCAAAGAGGAAAGCAGAATTAATTCACCATGCATTGTTGCAATTTTCTTCATCATTATTATTGGGTTCATTCTTCATCGGGTTTCATATCATAGTTAAAATAAGTTAAAAAAGGACATTCATGAGTCCACGCCTTCAATCAGGGTCTTGATACCCTTTCCGGCCCGGACGTCCTTGAATGCATTTTCGGCCTCGTCGAATTTGACGGAGCTGGTAATCAGTTCCTTCACGCTGAGTCGGCCCGAGGCCACCAGCTCCACGGCGAGCTTATAGTCGCCGCTTCCGTAGCGGAAACTGCCCTTCATGTTCAGTTCCTTGGTGCAGGCGGCCATGATGGGGAAGTTCATCTCGCTCTTGCCCATGCCTCCCTGCACGTAGGTACCTCCGGTGCGGAGGACGTGGATGCCTGTATGGACTGAGGGCTCCACACCGGAGGCGTCAATGGCAACGTCGGCTCCGCGGCCAAGATGGTTCTCCTCGATGATCCGGGCCGCATTCTCGGCGGAGGACACCCTGGCGGGTTCGAAGACGGCGGTCGCGGCATACTTCCGGGCAAATTCCAGCCTGGGCTTCTGGATATCCACGGCGACGATCTTGGTAGCGCCGAACGCTTTCGCCACGGCGCAGCACAGGAGTCCGACGGGGCCAGCCCCGAAGACGACAACGGATTGACCGGGAGACACGTTGGCTTGCCTCACAATGTGCACGGCGACCCCGAGAGGCTCCATCAAAGCGCCCTCGGGCAGGGACATGGAGTCGGGGAGCTTGTAGCAAAAGTCCTCGGGGAGGACGTAGTACTTGGCCAGCGTGCCGTCATAGGGCGGGGTGGCGGCAAAGGCCATCTTCTCGCAGAGGTTGTATTTGCCTCCCTTGCAAGGCTCACATCGACGACAAGGGACCCCGGGTTCCATGGCGACATGATCGCCGACTTTCAGGCTGGTGACGGCGGATCCGACCTGGGCGATGACTCCGGAGGACTCATGTCCGAGCACCATGGGGTCTTTGACTACAAACTGTCCAATCGCACCATGTTCATAGTAGTGCACCTAAGAGAAGAAAAAAGTGTTATTCAATGATGACATTCCCCGGATTTTTTTTTTTTTTTTTTTTTTTTTGATGGTACATACATCGCTACCACAGATACCGGTATACTTGACGTTCACTAGAACATCATGGGAATCCTTCAGTGCTGGGACGGGACGATCCTCAAACTTGACCTTGTGAATTCCCTCAAGGACAAAGGACAGATTCTAAAAATTGTAAGAATTAGCATTCTATTGACCGTGAGGAAGAAAAGAGAAGGAGGGGGGGAAAGGAGGGGTGGGTGGGGGAGTATGTGTATGGAGATCTTGGGTGCTGCTGATATTCCTCTATACCTGAGCTGTAGACATGGTGTAATTCAATTCAAAAAGAAAGAGAATGAAGCAAAAAGGGTGAAAAGAAGATTGTTGACAAAATGAAGGTAGAGAAGACGGTGTAGAGGTTGTTGTTCGGGTATTTATATCAGATCATAATATATGAGCGTGGGGGTAAATTCTGAGCTCAAGTATCTCTCGGCCTCCAACAGGGTCCAACTAAAAAAAACACACACGATTGGGTCAATTGCTGCAAGTAACGTACTAACTATACTATAGTAATTGACAGCCTGTGGTGGGGATGTGACTGATATTTAGCCGGTAGTCGAATATCTGATTTATCCGAGAGAGAAGAAAAGAATACATTAGGGAGTAAACCTCTATCCATCTATCCATCTATCCATCTATATCAGTCAGATCGAACCCCATTGACCGAACGAGGGAAATCGCTGATGTTGGACAATAGTTATATACGTATATCATCTGCGTCATCCCTTCTCCCCGTCTCGCCCGAGAACTCTTTTTCTTGTCCGTCTCCCGGGCTTCAATTGAAAGCTCTTGTTCTTATTCACCTCTCACCTCTCACCTCTCACCTCTCACCAGATCACCAGATCACCACTCTTTCTTTCTTACTAGTATATGGATGCAAAAATATCCCTGGACTAAATTTCTTATCCCTCTTCCCTCGCCATCATGGTGAGTCCAACCACCATCCGAGCTTTTCGGCCGACATGGCGTGCGCTCCAACAACCGACCAACAGATCATCAAGCATTCTACAACGGAGAGGCTTTCAGGCATCAACTCGCTGTCTGTATGCAGAGGAGAAACCTCAGCCCTTCAAGAGTCAGCTGTACGAAAGCACCCAGCAGCGACTGAAGCGTGAACGCGCCGAGCAAGAACGGTATGCCCAGTATCAGACCGATTCGCAGGCCGGTCGGTATGCGGCTTTGATGTTCGGTAAGCCATCGAACGAACTGAAAATTTTGGATTTTTTTTTTGGTCGGGATGTTGTCTAACTTGGGCCGCGCTAGCATTGGCCCTCTTCTCCGCCGGATCATATTATCTAGGTACTCTAAAACCTGCGAGCCTCCCACTCACATCCACATCAAATCTTTTCGAACTCGAACCCCCCCAACATAATGTGTCCCCGTCGAACCTGCAGGCCGCTTGGGCTGATTTTGTCGAGATTCTGGGAAGGGAGCATGTCTCGACGGAAAATGGGGACTTGGTGATGCATTCCGGCTCGGATTGGTCGTCCTACTCCCTCAAGGCAGACGAGAGGCCGTTCCTAGTCCTGTACCCGTCAACCACCGAAGAAGTCTCCCGCATCATGAAGGTGTGCCACCAGCGACTCATTCCGGTCACCCCGTACTCCGGTGGAACGAGCTTAGAGGGTCATTTCGCTCCGACGCGAGGGGGCGTTTGCATTGACTTCCGTCGCATGGATCAGATTCTGGAACTCCACAAGGGGGATCTCGACGTCGTGGTTCAGCCTGCGCTTGGCTGGGAGGAGCTGAACGAACGACTTGCTACCGATGGTCTCTTTTTCCCTCCGGACCCGGGCCCCGGGGCGATGATCGGTGGCATGGTGGGCACCGGTTGCTCTGGAACCAACGCCTACAGGTACGGGACCATGCGGGAGTGGGTTCTCTCTCTTACTGTGGTCCTCGCCGACGGTACGATCATCAAGACGAGGCAACGCCCACGCAAGTCGAGCGCGGGTTACGATCTGACCCGTCTCTTCATCGGCAGCGAGGGTACCCTCGGTCTGGTGACAGAGGCCACCCTGAAGTTAACCGTCAAGCCCAAGAGCCAGAGCGTGGCTGTTGCCAGCTTCGCCAGCATCCACAACGCAGCCGAGTGCGTGACCCGGGTCGTAGAGGAGGGAATCCCAGTCGCTGGTGTGGAGATCCTGGATGACGTGCAAATGAAATGCATCAACGAGAGCAAGTCCACCTCGCGCCAATGGAAAGAAGCTCCCACAATCTTCTTCAAGTTCACCGGCACACCGGTCGGTGTCAAGGAGCAGATTAGCATGGTCCAAAAGATTGCTTCTGCCACGGGCGGCCGTTCCTTTGAATTCGCTCGTGGCCATGAAGAGATGCAGGAGCTGTGGAGTGCCCGCAAACAGGCCCTCTGGAGTGTGATGGCAATGCGACGCGGTCCCGAAGACCATGTATGGACAACGGATGTAGCCGTGCCCATGAGCAGACTGCCCGATATCATCGAAGCTACCAAACAAGATATGACCCAGAGCGGGTTACTTGCTGGAATCTGCGGCCACGTCGGAGATGGCAACTTCCACGGTAAGCCTTCCATCCTCTCTTCGACTCAGTACCGAACAGTGCTAATGATCCGTACAAAACAGCAATCATCCTATTTAATGACGCCGAACGAACAACCGCAGAGGGCGTTGTCCACCGCATGGTCAAGCGCGCGGTTGAAATGGAAGGAACAGTAACCGGTGAACACGGCGTAGGCCTGATCAAGCGAGATTACCTCGAGCATGAAGTCGGAGTATCAACAATCGACACTATGCGCCGCGTAAGTTTTTTTTTTCCAACCACTTCCTCCCCAAACCAGGCTACGATATATAAGTAAAGTATCTACTACATCCACTATGAGACCAGTCACTAACACTCTCGATCAATAAATGTGTTTGTTTCACAGTTGAAACTGGCCCTGGACCCCCTCCGCTTACTCAACTGCGACAAGGTAGTCCGAGTCGAGCCCGCGAAACCGGGAGAGATCAAAGAATGGTGATATATCGTGAATGAATCATCCATTTGCACCGCCAGCCCGCGCTCGCCCTGCCTCATTATGTGGCTTGAGTGTCTTTTTTTTTTTTTTTAAAAAAAAAAAAAAGGAGGGAGTCTCGGTATAGAGGTTTAGATAATTGTATACTTACTTCCTGTTCCTCGATTCGAGGTGTTGTACTACTTACTATAAAGAGTTTTGAGTTACGTTTTCTCACGCTTTACAATGTTCTTCTTCTTCTTCTTCTTCTTCTTCTTCTGTAGGGGCCCCGCCTTGTGGGATATAGTATATACAAAAAGGTTGGACTTGCCTATTACCTAGGTGGCTCTACGTGAGTTACATCTGAATCCTGATATACGTATATTGATCTCGAAGCGTTTCTAGAAGATAGTTATCTCGGAAGGCCTATTCATAACTACTACGGTTTGGTATTGCCAAGTGCGTTTGAACGAATCTCAAAAGGTATATTTTGGAACAAGAATCATGTATACAGAACTATAATATATTCTCAAAAAAAAAAGTTTTTTTTTTTCTACACAGAGAGCGCCTTGACGAGGTCACGGAAAACAACACGAGAGGGAGGTAGGGCAAAAGGAGGCGTATCACCAAAGACACCAGCCAGTCCAACGCTTTCGGACGACCGGGAATTGAAACCGGTGATAGCGAGCGTTGAGGGTGTATTCGCATTACCAATACTCGGGCGTCCGAATAAACTTCCCAGCCCGGCGTCGGGGTATTTCACCAGCGCTGAGTCGTCAGGGTTGCTAACCTGAGCGGCCTTGCCCATGCAACCAAGTCGCTGAACATTGGCTGCCGCATCCAGGATCACATACTCGGCAGAATGTATATTGGAAAGCAACGCAACGGGCTCCTTGGTCAGAATGGATTGAGAAAGCAATGACAAGGTGTGAACATCATACACCTGTACCGTGACCCGGGACTTGCGAGCTTTCTTCGAGCTAGCCTTCCCTCGCAACTGTCGCGCAGTAATGGCAAAGGTCTGCGTTTTGGGGTTCACACAGAGCAAGCGCGTATCATGACCACCCAGGGAGGAGTTGGCGCCCTGCAAGTCGATGATCCTCACAACGTCATTAACTGTATCCCAAATGAAGACCGACTGCTTTGTAGCAATGACAAGCTGGCAGCCTACGAACGACGAGTCACAAATTTCTCCAGAATAGACTCCTATCCTGCTGTACCTAACGCTGCAGCTCTGTACGTCAATAAGGACGACCAGGCCGGGGTTCGTAGAGGTCGACTGTACACAGACAGCAAGCACCGACCCGTCCTGAGAGAAACAAATTGACGCCGACTTCAAAGCATTGGAACTGCAGCCTCCAATATATCCCTTCAGGTTGAGCGTATTTCGGCATTTCCAGGTTTCCGGTAGTTGATCAACATTATCTAACTGCAACCCACCGCGAGATCTAACGACCGGGCGCCAGAATCGCAACAGGGCATCTGATCCGATTGTCGCGTATTCGTGACTATTGGGACGCGAAACAAGGTCTAGAACAGAGGCAGAACCCTCGTCTGAGGAGTGTGGCCCATCAATACGAGTAATCAACTGCCAGAGGCCGGATGAGTCACTCCAACGCCAAAATTTAAGGTGAATTTCTTCAAAATCTAGGCGAGCACCAGTATTTCCTGTAATTTCAAGGCCAAGAGCTTCCACATCCTGAGGATATGGACCCCAGCTGTCAATTGTAGCCATCCATTTTCCGTCCTGAGAGACCTCCAGATATTTCACATCTGGGGGAAGAATCTGAGCACCATCGGGACTAATATTCAGCGTTGTCACATTGGTGCGTGCGAGTGCTTGACGTGAGATATGAGTATTTGAGCGAATGTCGTATGTTTGAAGGACCGGGGAGTTGGTCAATGTACTTCCATCCTGGGTGATTTGATGAGAAGCTGGCACAGTGACGAGGAGCTGGTCAGGGTGTTGCGGGTGCAAGATGGCGGTCACGGCTGCAGCGGAAGGAGAAGCCTTCGATACTGGTTGATCGGTGAACTTGGCGACTCTAGGGCACAGTTGAAGGCCGGTTATCGTGGCTAGGGGCTGTAATTCTCTTGCGGACAAAACGACAATTCGGTTGTCGGAGAGTTTAACGGCATACGCATTTCCGCTTCCCGAAACGACAATACTGGAAATTGGAGATGACAGATGCGGAAGAAATTGCTTCCTGCCTGTATCTAATTGCCACAACACCATTACTGACTCGTTACCACCCGATATAACGTAGTTTCCTGTGTATCATTGTCAGTGAGCGACATTTCACTACTACTTAGGTACTTCGAAGAGAGTAACTGACCATCCTTTGACCAACGGACTGATCTCACTGGATCTCTATGCCAATGCAAGCGCCTGGGTGCTAGACTCTTGTCCCCTTCGCGGCCGCTTCCAATCCCGAGGAAACCTAGGGCATTATGATAAATTAAGATCGAGCCATCCGCGCCTCCAACGGCGAGATCAAACTCCAGAGCTTTCCTATTGAGTGTGCCAGGTGCCTTGGATTGCTTTGGCGTCCCGTCTTGCTTTATGTCGACGCAGGTAATGCTAAACGGCAGTTTAACCTCCCTCCATGTGTACTGTAATGATCCAGAGCCTTGATTGGAGGTTACGCAGCCGAAAAACGCGTGGGATCCACCATATGCAAAGACCGCTTGTCCATCTGCCGCAACCCTGAAGCTTACGATTTTCGTATTGGTTTCTAGGATGGCAGTACTTTGGGGATTCTCGCTGTTTAGAGGCGTAATCACCAGCTCTTTCTTCCCATCTTTGCGCTCCCGAAGAGAAAATAGCGTAGCATAAGAGCCGGTTGTATCGCTTGCAGCATCGCCGTAAACAAGGTCGGCGGAAATTGTCTTGTGGTACGTGTGCCAATGCGCAACTTGTTTTCCCGATGGCCAATCCCACTCGCTCACGGAACCAGACAAGGTGAAGATATAGAGACGCTCTTGGTTTACTGGGGAAAGCCGATACCCAATGATGCTATCACCGGGGGCTATTTCTAACGCACGGAAGAGACGAGAGGTTGCAATTGAGTAAACGTGAACAGCCTCCTCGAGACCGAGAAGGAGATATCTAGTAGCCAGAGGGTTAGGAGGTAATCCCAAGATAGCTTAGAACCACAACTTACTGCTCGTCAAATGAGAAAGTGGGATCCAGATTACTGAACTGTCCGGCAATACCCCGTAGTAAAGACCAAGACTCAGATAGTGAAGCTGGTTTTTCCTCAGTCTTGTGTAGAGAAGTCTCATTTGAGGCGACGATCATATCGCGGTTGTTGGTGTTTCCCGACTCCTTTGACGCCTTGGATGATCTCGAATCCTCTTCAACCCCATTTTCAACCCCAGATGTGCGACGCCGCTTCACTCCTTCTCTCTTGTTCTGCACCACACTGTCGGAGCCTACATCGTTTGGCCGAGATCGTTTCGGAAGCCGCCCTTGGCTTGTCTGGTCGATTGGCGACATGGGGGATGGATGAAGACGAAAGCGGTTGAATTTGTATAGTGATCAGGATAATTCAGCGACAGACATGTAGAGGGGACCAGTCCAAGACCATTATAGCCTTCAACGCAGGGACGGTTTCCAAGGGACTTTTCCTCGACGATAAAAAAAATCTCTCTTGAAGGCTTTCCGGGACACTCAATTCTTACTGGTGAAATACTAGTCCGTCTTGGGTTAGTCATCGCTAGGAGGTGGACCCAGGCATAAAACTTCTATCCATACAAAAGTCCATCAGGAAAGTCGCCCGCAGCGATGCGAATGTGAAATTAATTGTCTCTTATTGTATTATCTCGAAAACAACAGTTCTTTCTTTCTACTCTTCTACTTCCATATCTTTGCCAATTCTCCAACCTAGTCTACCTTCCCAATTTCGACTCAATGATCATCCCTGTTCGGTGTTTCTCTTGCGGCAAGGTACGTTGACTCTTCCCGATGAATCAAGCAGAAGTTCCATTTAACACGCGGAATTTGAACAGGTCGTCGGAGACCTTTGGGAGAGATACCTGCAGCTCCTTGATGAGGGAATCCCTGATGGGTAAGCTTCTTATCTTAGACTTGGTGCAGTCACCCGATTCTAGAGACTGGGTTTTGACTTTGGTGAACTTTCGCAGAGATGCAATGGATCAGCTTGGCTGCAAGCGTTACTGCTGCCGCAGGATGATAATGACACACGTTGATTTGATCGAGAAGCTTTTACGGTAAGTGTTTTAATCACACGATTTCTGTGCAAGGGACATTCCGAGACTTACAAACATCTATCTAGATATAACCCCACGGAGAGGGATCGCGCCAAATCCCAAATATAATCCTCCTCGAATATTCCCTCTTAGCCCATCCTCTGGGTCCCCAGACTACCGCGATCACTACGCAATCCTCTCCCTCGGTCTATGCATGTTCAGATATCTGGGCATGTCTTGCTCTTCATCCATCTTCGTCCATGCGCAAAGGCAGCAGTTGGTCTTATGACAGCAGTACCGGGCCCACGACCGTTCTCAAATCATGTCAACCCCCTATTGGCCAGTTAATAGATACCTCTAGTTTCGTTCAATTTTTCTTGTTACGATATTTTACGGAAGCGAAGCAAAAGTTGTGTTTGGGTTGGTTTATACTGTCGTCGGACTACGTGCGCAAGCTACGGTTTCGATATTATAGTCGCCACTACTAGATCGGTAATGTTGGTGATGCTACATACATGAACTATGAAATGATGATCAACTCGTCAGAGTATTAGCACAGCTTCCGATGCTAGAGATACATATCGCTTGAGCAATGTAGCCCCCGAAGCTGCGATTTCCCATCAACCGGACTACGGCAGTCGTAATATGAAATATTAGATTTGTTTTCGGCATCCAAATTATTCCATGGGTAGAATTGCCTGGGTACCTAGACACGCAACATGTGTTCTGTTGTATTCTTGCTGTTGTCGTCGTCGTTGTCGTCGTTATTGCTGGCTTGACATACCCATTCAAATTCCAAGCGACGGGCCTTCAATAAAGCTCAGTTACATTTACAGATTGATTTGCTCCCACCGGTTTGGTTCGAGGTCAGCTTCGACGACAAGATAGCAAGAACATCTCATATAGTCCAGGACGCTTCAACACCGCCCCAACTGGTATATTTCTGAGAAGGAAAGAACCTTGTCTCGAATAGTTTCCAAGCCGGGGCTTGGTTCTAGACATGCACCAAGCTCCTATCTGAAGTAACGTATCACAACAGGCGTTCATCTGTTGGAAAAGACACTAAGGAACTAGTAGCAGCTCTCGAGGTAGCTAGCGGTAGTCAGAATCAGGCGCGCGCTTCATAGGAGCGGGGAGCCCCCTCAAAGAAAGACCTCCACAGCCTTGCGATGCCAACAACATTCTATCCTCTATTAATTCCTCTTTTCCCTCCCTCTTGAGCTTCTGCTCCTGATGAAGTAGCTTTCTTCTGCCTATGGCTACACCATGAAGCAATGTAAAATTTCTACATCTCTCGCAATTACCACGATATGCTAGCCGCCGTCCTGTCGGCCTCCTCGTCTTATCTTTAGGTTCCAACACCTCGAATTCTAGCTCTTGTCGTTGATATTGTTTTATTCAAATACATCTCGATATGTAAGGAGAAAGATTTTGGTTGTAAAAATCGTACGGATGCTAAATCTCACAGGTCCGTTGAGCAACGCCTCCCTGTGCCGACCACAGGGCTCTTAGACAACCCGCATCCATCTCTACTAATATCGACACCTAATGGAGCTTCGTACGCATCTGGTGACAGCTCTGATGAATATGAAGCTAAGCGCATACCAACATCTACCGCGCATAAAGCGCAACCGCGTACAACTCCGCCCCAACTTATAGTACGTGTGATGGATAAGGGCAGGAGACTTTGACATTACAAAGGAATTGGCGATTATGTGATTGCATACTAACTCCCAAGGTGAAATAGGTTGAAACAGCGCGTTCAACATCGAATCACTCAAGCACTAGATCAGATGAAGAGGAGCCACCAAAATCTGTGATACATGCACCCGCTGGCTTTAATGAATTTGTGAGATACCATGCTTGCCTCTCTCTTCAACATATGGAAATCCCCATACTAAACACATCCACAATAGAAATCAGATGCTCCGCAAGCCAACAACGACATGCCCATATCCCCAGAAGATGCGAGTTCGTCTTCAGACTCTGGGCTAAATATAAGGGTTATACCAGCTAACGATCAGGAACGGATAGGAAAAGTATTGCAAAAGTTCTAGCAAATAATTCGTTTACTAATATTGAGCAGAAAATTTCCAATAGCCCAATATCACCCCCTCCAATCACTACCAGCGTCGAACCTGTGAAAGATTGGTCTGGGAGAGCGACGCCACGAGCACAGACAAGACAGGACTTTGATGACATCGACCGACGGTCGCACTCCAGTATTCTTGAAGGTAATTTAGACTCCTATCAGAATGACATAGCCCTACAACACATGGTTAACAGCCTGCTAGACATACCCGAGGGCATCGATAGCATAGGGAAGGTCAACTTGGAAGCAGATCAACTCGGCGATAAACTGGGCCTAAAAGCTGAATACTTCCCCGGAGGAAATGCGGAAATTAAGGCTTTGCACGCAGCCCTCGTTGAGTGCTGGTCTCTCTGTAATACTTTGGCCACCCTGAGTTTTATCCACCGAAAGCGTCTTAATTTCACAGATGATACGCAGGAGGAGGAGGCCTGGAAATCATGCTGGCGGCTATGTCAACAGCTATATGACAGCCAGGATGATGATTTTGCGTCACAAGTCCATCCAACCCTGGATCTATGTCGAGACTTCTGCCAAAGCCTATTCGATACCAGGGCTCGAGACAATGAAATCTCAGACTCGGTCCTTCGTGTCAGCTTTGAGTTGAATAACCATTTGTATAACACACATGACCGAAACCTGCCGGACGCCTTTAGGGAAAGAACATTGGACTTTTATATCACTTTATGCCACCGCCTGATGAAGCAAAGGACTCGCGTGGCCGAAACAGATTCTCTATTAAGTGCCTGCTGGTCATTGGCTGAGATGCTGTTCAGTATACGCCAGAGTAAAAAAGAGGGACGGCAAATAGATGAGGAATTGCTGGGCTCCGCGGTCCAGGCATGCTGGGAACTTTGTGATATCTTCAGGGAAGGTTGGACGCAAAGGAGCTTGCGGAATTCCGACCGTGGAACCCCTCGCCCCAGCCAGGCAACATTTACGCTTGTCGAACCGCAGGCAAAGCAGCCACCTGACCCTGCCCGTGCCGATGAGGTACAATCTCAGCACAAGAACCCTGAGACCCCAACAACCATATTTGAAGATATTGGTATGGTTTCGCCAGAAGAGGACCCCGTCCAAAATATTTTCGTATTAGGCCAGGGAAGGCAGCAAGCTGCACTCGCAAATTGGTCCTCCAATTCGTCGAGCGTTTCAGGAAGAACCCAGTCGTCGGAAAAAACATCCTCAACAAACACGGTAATAACATTATCCAATGATACAAATATCGCAAACCTTAGGGTTCTGATAGCTAAGGCCGCGATAGATAGCGGTTTCCAACGCGCGGGTTCGCAAAGTCTCTCGTCATTTGTGAAGCTACTCTCTTCAGATGCATTCGGGTCAGCGCCCTGGCAAATCTCCCTACTCAAGCATTATAAGCGACTAGTCGGGTTCGAACCGGCATTTCGAAGCATTGGCGCCCCGGCCCGAACAAGCGCTGTGGATGTAGCAAGGTCAGTACAACTGATGGTCCAGAGTGGACAGTATCTTTGGCTTCAGGATCTCTATCGCCTTGTTTTTGGCTTCCGCGTAGAGGAGGCAGGGAACCGTGCGGGCATATTGTTACAGACATAGTTTCCCTCTCTCTCTGTCTCTCTCTCTTTATTCTCTCTCTTTATTCTCTCCCATTCTTAAATATCTCATCTACTACCACTATATATCCCCTTTGGAATGGTCTCTTTTCATTCCCCCTTTCATCCTCTCTTTTTTTTTCATTTTTCTCCTCGTTGGCGAGTATCTAAGAATTAATCATACACACTCCCGACATACTCATCATGATATTCACGAATAGAGACGACTTAGATATGACCCGTTTTATTGATTGGTGGCTTCTTTGAAGAATTTCGCTACTTTAAAACGAATAACGCAGAGCTTTTCCGTGCCCACCTCCAGGGACTTGGTTAAACTGTGGAAGCGGTTTTGTGGAGTTCTACGGACAGTTATTATTATTAACTGATGTCGAAAGGATGCACATTTGGACAGTTACTATGAGCTCTGGACCATTACTGATTTATCAGACCGATGAGCGTAGACAGTCAATTCCTGCCCAAGATGAAGCTAATAACTAGCAGCGATAGTAGTTACTCACTATTTAGGGCCCGAAGGTTTGACTTTCATGGAAATCATATCATGATTAGAGTGTATATGTATATATGGCAGTACCAGGCTGTCGTGTGTCTTCAATATTACAGTAGCTTAATCGCATCATGTCAAATTTGGTCGATTCCGATCAAGATATCTCCAAACGAGCTTTTATTCAGACTTGATTCAAGTAAAAGGCAAAACATGCCTTCCTCCCTTGCATGTGGGTTAAATATGCATCAAGGTCATGGTCCTCGTCAAGAACGAAGGAGATATCATTTCCATTCGTATCTTTGTCCACGCCCTCGATTCTTGTAGCAATGCAATCTGGAACTTTGACAGAAACCAGCTGCCGTAGTTCATTAACGGACCTTGTCGTCAATTTATCGGACCAGGTTTTAACGTCTTCATGCGGTTGGCCTTGAGGACAAACACGAAGGTAAACAGTGATAGGGAAGACGTGAGACCCCAGCAGTGGGTCCACATATCCAAACGTATTTCCAGAATCATGGTGAGTATTTGCGGTAAAGGAGGGGTTGTTGGCAGCCTGCAGCAACGAGGGGTCGATCTGCATGTCACCTAAATCGCTGGCAGTAATGGGCGCACTCGCAAGAGCTTGAGAGGCAAGCGTGCTGATCCCATTCGCGATGCCATTGCTAAAGGATCCAAGGACATCAGGAGTCTCCGAATTAGGAACGTGGTCATTAGATGGAGCAACATATCGTTTACGAGAAGGATCTCTCTTTGTTTGGTCATCGCGAAGTCTTTTCATAACATCGCGACACAAGACCTCAAGGGCTTTTAACTTCGTAGTATGTTCGGGGTCGGCAGGTCCAGGGGCAAGGATTTGTTGCAATAGCTCGGATTCCCGAATCCACTGTTCCTTCAGCTCTTTCCAGTGCTCATCACCGGCTTCCAACTTACTCGTAAAATGATCCAATTTGAGGGTATTATAAAACGCGTTCCGAATCTGGCGGCTCTCCTCCGGATTAATTCCAAGTGCGTTCTTAGCCTCGGCGATAGTCATTCGCCTTTCCAGAGTTCTCATGCGCTTTGTGACATCCGTGCACACAACGTCCAAGGCAAGAGACTTAGCTTCGAGTTGAGTGGGGTCCTCCCAAAAGACCTGCTGAAGATGTTGTGATTCCTGTATCAGTTTGTTTTTCGCTTCTTGCCACCGCTCTGGCCCAGCAACAGTTTTTTTAATAAAGCCAGCCTCCTCGCAGATCTTCTGAAACTGATCTCTAATCTGGCGATAGGAAACACTGTCGAGGTTGAGGTACTTTTTGCTTTCATCGATAGTTGTTTCAGAAGGAAACCGTGGAGGCCCCGGAGGATCGGCCGGTAGCCCAGCCCATCCCCGAGTACGACGACGACGCTTTCTAGAGGCCCATCGCTCTGCACTCTCTTCCTTCAGTCGCTCAAGTCGCTCCTTCCGTTTTGCTAGAACTTCAGGTGATAACCCCGGCGACGGGAGGTGTGAAAGCGCTGTTCCGGATTGGAGAGCATCTGCCTCGTTAAACGATCCCGGGGTTTTGTACACCTCCTGCTGTAATGCAAGTAAGCCTTCATCTTCCGGTAATTGGATAGGATTTGGCGCTGTTTGCTGTGATTTCATGCCATTCGGAACTCGGAGTAGCCAGCGGTTTTTGGCGCGCACCCGCATCAATTCCCGCTCTTTAATCTCAAATCCTTCCTCATTGAGTACCCGAAGCATGTCACGTTGGCTCGTATTCGTTTCCCAGAGCTGTTTCACGCGTGCAACAAGCTCCAGGTTCTTATGTGCTGGATTTTGCTTTGAAGGAAACCCCCATCGCTTGAACTGTGTTTGGAAAGCACGCTTACTATAGACACAATCCAGCGTTAGCATTTTCAGAACCCAGAAAGGGAGGGGGGGAAATATCAGGAATCTTGGGGATGCTTACCTTGGAGAAAACTGGTATACATTTCTCATGTATTCCATAATTTCCTCCAAAGCTTTCTTATCTTTAATATACATCTGATAGCATATTTCTCGCTTTCCATCCCAGTCGTACACCATGATGAAGAACGCACCCCCCAAGTTGGAGGTGCGGAATGGGAGAAACCCCAAAGACCAGCTGGAAGCGTGAATGTCTAGTCAAAATATCGAGGTCTATGTGGAGCACCGGCAAGACATATGTTGTCGCTCCTGTACACCGTAGTCGAAGTGTATGATAGCTCTTAGCAGCAGTTGGAGCCGTCCGGCGCGCCGTAGCGGAGATTAATCCAATGCGTTCGAAAGAAGTTGTGGCGGCGCATAGAGGTCACTCGCGCACTTTCATCGCCATGGTCACGTGCTATTTCCGGGCTCTACTTGTAGAATAGACATACATTATAAAGTCGTATATAAGGAAGGGAGCGGTCGGAGAATAATCTAAAAACAGTTTTCATATTAAGAGACAAAGTCAAGTATCTACAACATATACCTAGGTATGTTCGTTTAATTGAAGAAAATAGGAACTCCAGCTAAAATCAACCCATACTCCGAACGCGTCTACGAAACTTGAAAATTCTGGTTCGCAGCCATGTAAGAAAATACATCCATGTGCTCTTTGACTGAGACTTCCAGCTCTCAGAATTTGTCTCCGGTTGAGATGTGGATTGGGAATAACGAGGGAGCTCTGGCTTCTCGGCATTCTTGGAATTTCCCTGTTCCCAATCTTTTTCTGGTATATCGCTTTCTCTGAGAGATGTCCGGTTCTCTTGCTTCTCCTTCCGTTTAATCAGCTTCTCTTCCGCCTTTAGACGCTGTTGTTCAAATTTTCGCGTCTTTGCCGCTTCCTTTTCTTGAAATGCTTGGCGCGCTGCTTGAACTGTGGCGGCACGAGACACGGGATCCATGCTAGTACGCGTCTTCGAGCGGAAAACAAAATCAAGCGACGATCGAGAAGTCGGAGACGTAGTGTCTAGCGTACTGGTATTATCCCGCGAGTACCCGAAAGACGAGCGACTAGTTACGTTGGTTTGCGATGCTCCAGGCAATCGCGTAAACGAACTGTTCTGAATCTGCAAAGAGAGTCGAGGTGTTGCCCCCGACGATGTACGCGCATACTGTTCAATAACTTCTTGGCTCGAATGGGCCAAAAGATCCTCTTCCGTAGCTTCCCCTTTGGCAGATTCATCACTTTCAAAATATGAATTTTGGCAGGATTGAGCTAACGGTGGAGTATAAGTACGGGGCGCCAGACGCATCGGATGAACGTATTGTGAGCCCGGTTTGCTCAGGCTTGAACTGCTAGCCGTGGAAAGCTGAGACGTCCCGCTAGTAGACCGACGATGGATATCAGATAACTTTCGTCTTGTCGGAAAATTGGTAAATAGGTCATTTTGAACACTGTCTTGATCATGAGTGGTATATATCCCCAGCCCCTCTTGATCAAATGAGGATCGAGAGAGGTCAATTGAGGCAGATGGGGAATCATCTCGAGATACCCTTCTGAACAAAGGTTTTATTTGTACCTTTGCCACAGATTTTTTCGATGGGCTGTCAACCATCGTAGAAGACATGTCGGGAAAGGGTGTGGTTTTCATTGAATCTGAATCGCTGCCGCTAGGCCTTTTCGCACAGAAGGTTTATATTCGAGGGTTTGCTCCCAATTATTGAAAGCGGGCCTTCCGATTGAGCCTGATCTGATGTAAATCAACCGAAACACTCGAAGACCAAGAAAGATCCTTGAGAATAGAGTCAGACTGTCGTGAAAATCAGGGGCTGGCCTTTGCAACAATATGAGGGGTTGATTGATTTACAGGGCCCTGTGCCTAGGCTAGCTTCCTACCCCCCAAGAATACTCTTAAAGAATAGTTGCAGTGATAATTCGGCCGGATATTCTTTGTAACCGGCCGGATCTGGTTTTTTAGAAAAGGCGACGCTCCAACCATACCATGCAACCAGGTGAGAAACCAGTCTTCACCCCGCCAACCCCGCGCCACCTCTCTCGATCGCTTCAGGAGACTACCAGAAGCGATATAGTTCAATGATGAAATCTCAGATGCATTGTTGCCGCGGCCAAATGGGGGGTTGTAGAGAGGCAGCGAACAGGAGAACCGTGTACGTTGGAATTGTTCAAGGTATGATATGATGTGTAAGAGTAAAATGTCAAAACTAGAGAGACACGATTGAGGCGAGGTTTTATCTGCTACTAGGATCTATCCAGTCATTAATAACTTAACTTAACAAGATTCGAGGTGTTATCGGCAGGCTGGGAGGGGAAGAACATACAACCAGGAAAATCAAAGGTTGATAACGATAACTCACAATCTGTGACAAGACCAGCGAAAGGAAGTCAAGAAAAATGAGATAAGTGAACGCACGCTAGGAGAATATAAATGCAAATGAGTTGAAAGGCTGGGAGAGGTGGGCTGATTGGGGGGGGGGGGGGAAGAAGATGGAGGCGGCGGTGAGATTAAGAAGGATCCGGAGCTGGGCGGAGACTGGAGAGAAACTAAGGAAGTGGTTGGACACTTGGAGAGGGCTTTTGGAGGGGGCTACAAGAGCCGACGACGAATGCGGAGTAAAGTCTGTCGGTGTGACCAACCGGGCTTTCCGAGATCTCACCCAAACCATCTTTCCATGCACTCAGTTGCATTAGTTTTAATCTTTTTCCCTCTTCTTCTTGTTCTAGCCTACTCCGTACCTCTATTCTCTTCTCTACAACAGTCCAAGGTGGTTGGTTGCTCTTTTACTCTCGAATCTCGCCCGCGTCGACTAGTAGTACAATCCTTACTACTATTGTACTAGTGTTTGCTCCCTATCATCCCGATCATTCCAATCATCCCAACGCAAAAGAACCAAAAATGAAGAACATTTACTCATGGCAAAAGACTCCAATAATGAGCCTTCTTTTCTAACTCCATTTACCGAGTATATCATCATAAAAAAAAAGGAAAAGAAAAGATAAGAAAAAGGGGGAGGGAACTGTTCAGCCCCTAGGTATTATCCAGTACCCTTCTCCTCCTCCTACCTAACTACTACTAATAATAATAATAATACTAATACTACTACTACTCTAGTACTCCTCCTCCTCCTAATAGTAGGAGTAATACATTGCACTTCAAAACGTTGTCCATGGAACCCGCCTATTTCCCTTAAGCTTCGCTCATTCGCTCACAATGTTGGCGGGGTTCGACTACCATGGGCGCCTGAGGTTTTGAGGCAGGTAGTACGGATTGTATGTAGTACAGTATAAGTACATACATAGTACTAAGTAGGCATGTAAAGGTAGGCACCAGGAACCTGAGAAGCAAAAGAAATAACCTGGCTGCTTTATCAATTAATTTTCTTGACAATATACTAACTACCTAGCTCGAGCCAGCGGTGGTCAGTCTCCATAAGCAACTACTAGTAGTAGTCCCGGATCTAGTAAATATGGTTTTCGTATTGTTTTCCACTCTAGATTCTATATATACGACCCGGGCACAACCTCCAAAGAACATACTTGATCTCTCAACCCCTATACCACGATCATTCCCGCACCTCCGTGACTTCCTTGCGAAAATCCCTCCTCGTTGGCCTGGTGAGCCACTGCCAAGATCAAAAACCCGAATCCAAGAGTCGCTAATCGACCGCTAATCCAGCTGGTCTCACTCTCTCACGCCCAAAGAGGAACTGTAGAGACGAATCACCCCACCAGGCTGAGATGCTCATCCCTCCTCTGGTCTGGTTGCACAAAGCCCAGTGCTTCACATGGCGGGGCAGCTGCATTCTCCCCCCCTTTCTCCCCCTCCTCCTCTTCTTCTTCTTCCTCTCTTTCTCTTCTTTCTCCTCTACCTTGATGCAGAAGTATACTCATTAAAGGACTGACGCATCTCTGTTTCTGGTTCGCTCGCCCAAATACCCTTCTCGGTGGCCCAAATATTGACGCCATGGGTACATCTTTCCCCAACTTGTGCTTTTTGCTCTTCCTGTTCATTTTCTTCTCTGAAAAAGTCCATGCATTTGGAGCCGGTAACATCGCATCAATTTCACGGATTGAAGGCCAGAACTGGCGCCATGGCGATATCGAAGACACTCTTTTGACCTTACTGATGGCTCGCGTCGCCGGTGGTCGTAAATTCAGCAAGCTTGACGTTCAGCGCGTTTACTTTGGAAACTGGCTGCGGGACTACAGCCAAGCCGTGGACATTGGTACCGTAAAATATGTCAGTGCTGAGGCGATCAGGATTCTGCTCTGGGTGCTAGGTTTCCTGAGTTTTGGGTGCGATACCAAGATCACTTCCACCACCATTATTTCCCCCCCCCCGCGCTGATTCTTTACATAGCTACGGCACGAAGGAGTTTGAAGTGACAACAGAACGCCTGGGATGCTATCAACCTACTGAACATATCGATAATCCACTTGGATATGGTGAAGGGGAGGATGCTAGGGAATACGACTCGCGACTGAGGGGCCCGATCGATGAGGAACGTGAACTTGCAATTGATCCTAGAACAGGTCAGTTCAGAGAGTATTATTCTCTTAGCACATGGCTGCCCTTTCTAACCTAATATTCTTCTCCACTTTGCTACGTAGGCCTCAAGAACTACATAGCAAATGAATGCATCGACATTGCAACTTCGGCTGACCTGGTACGACGGATGTTCCGCCGTTCTGTTCAACTGGGCCGACAATATGCTAGATCAGGAAACGATGAAGACTTACACGAAGCTCTTCGTCTTCTCGGAACTGGCTTGCACTGCTTGGAAGACTACGCTGCGCATTCCAATTATATAGAGCTCAGCCTCATTGAGCTTGGTGAATCAAGTGTCTTCCCCCATGTTGGTCGTGACACTCAGGTCGAAATTGACGGAGCTTCGGGCCCGGTTTATCCTCTCGTTACCGGTACTTTTGGCGGCGTTGACTTCTTCCACTCTGTCCTTGGTGAGATATCAGACAAGGCCACACAGTCTGAGATCCAGTCTCTAGAGGGTGTCATCAATGATTCTCAAAACGATTCGCCGTCGCAAAGTCTCCTTCAGGGCCTACTAAGCAAGATTCCGGATGGTCTGATTGGTGACAGTGATGACAAAGTGAGCAAGATGGACGAACTCAAAGCTCAGTCGGAAAACGCGAAGGTCGAAAGTGAACATGTCTCTCCCCGTGAACCAGAGGAATGGACCCGTTATTTGAATGATGTCCAGAAGCAGATCTACCCGATTTTGGAGTGGCATGATGACATTATCAAGTCTATTAATAAGGCCATCGAGAATATCCCTGTTATTCCGGACCTTATCGAGCAGATACAGGAGCAGATAACTGTTGCCGTTTTCTCGATCCTTGCCCCTTACGTCTTGCCAATTCTGAAGCAAGTGAAGAGCGAGCTTCAAACTGGGTCATCTGAGGTCATCCAAAGCAGCAGGGAACAGCAACATATTGTTTTTACTGATGATTCTTGCTCAAACCCTACCCACTCGATGCTTTCCAAGGATCATTTTTCAAATGTCCTCAATGAGCCCGCAGGACAGATTGCTTCCAAGGTGGTTGCATGGACCGTGCCGCAACTAATGGAGCTATGGGATAATGAGGAGGCAGATATCAAAAGAACCATGGATAGAATTGTTTCTGGGGTCTTCCACCACCCGGCTTTGTACCAGTACGGCGAGGATGGTTCGGGAGAAATGCGCCATATTATGTTCGAATCCGTCAGAGAATGGTGGAATGGAAAATCGCAGACGGAGCAAGACTCCCTTCGTGACCAGCTTTCCCGAGAGGGCGTCCAAGAGGGCAGGAATCACAAGGAAGGAGTGCATGACTCCGGGCATGGTTGCGGTAAACCGCTTACACTTCACAAGGGCCTGAGCCCCTCGGGTCAATCCAGTAGCCAGCCGTTTGGTGGCATTGAAAAGGTGGCCACAGAAGCCGCTGGTGGGGGAGGACTTGGCGGCCTGGTTGGTGGCCTTGTGAGTGGTGTTAGTTCAATGCTATTAAATAACTCCAGGAATGATTCTCGACGCTCAGAGGAAGCCAGCGGCAGTTATGGAGGGTGGTCAGTGCGTCAGGAGTACCAGGAGCGACGGGAACCTGAGAGCTCTGAACATCATAGCCGAGAGAGCCACCATTCTCGTGATCGGAGCAACGATTCCAATGACGAGCACGAAGGAAGAGAGCACGAACATCGGCACCGCAAACATCATCATGGCCGAGAGCGCCATCATTCTCATGAGCGTAGCGATGATCCTGACGATTCACAAACGGGCCGCGATCATCGGAGAAGGGATGAGTACAACCAGTACGATATTGAAAGCCGCAGATACACTCAAGAAGAGTCGGTGGAAACCTACAGGCCAGACCGTGGGGAGTATGAAGGTGAACACACTCAGACAAGTTACGAATACGAGAATCGTTCGTCGTCGTATAGACATGAAGAAAGAGACGACTACGAAAATAGCAGACCTTTTCAGTAAGTGTGGCCCCTCGTTTTTAGTGGTATCTTATCTTATGGTGGGCATTTGATCTAATGAGTCTCAAGGGAATCCGTTCCTCGATATGGAAACGCCCCAGAAGGATACGGTAGGGGTGGGTATAGCGCCCGAGATGAGCATGGTTCCCATGGTCAATATGGTTCACGCGATGAGTATGGTACTGAGGGAGGATATGACGGGGGTTATGGTCAAAACCCACAACATGGCTATGGATACTAGAACCCCGTGGCGCGTAGAGTACTGTTGCTTTGATTAACATTGATTTTTTTCGGATTGATGATTCAGTGAGAGGATAAAGGATACCAGACCAGGCAGTCAGTATTTTAGAGGTCGGCGAGACGGTTGGGGAGATATCTATCTATGTAAGACATAGGCGGTTCATCGAAAAAGTCTGCAGGGTCACAAATCATAGGCGCTTCAGGCAAGTATCTACTTGCTCAGTTTAACGACAAAAAATGACTCCAAATTAACCTGCTAACAGTAATGAAGAGTAGGACTCGTCTGCTTTTTTTTTTTTTTTTCTATTTTTGACGAGGTATCGATATTCAATCGCCTCGATACCCAGGTTTGGAGGTAATTGCTCTGTGCAGGTGGTGCTATCACTCGGCTGTCTTGAGTGCATTGATTGCATTAACTAGCTCGAAGGCTTTTAAAGAAAATACATCCCCAAACTGGTAAGAGAGGCTCGATATCAGAGACTGCCAACTAACTAACTATGAATAATACTAGTGCCAATATTATGTAGGAGCTGACCTGGGGGATCTAGTTACCTAGTGTTGGACTTGACGGTGTACATACATATATAACCATTGACTAACTATCTAGGTAGTATTCAAGCATTCAAAGCCATGAATATATATATGTACATACCGGCATGCAGGTCTGATCCCGTCAAATCTACTAACTAGTGATACTCTGGCATAATACTCCGTACTATTGCCAATATTAGGGCTTGATCTGGTTATATCCAGTTCAATACGGTGTACTAAGTTATATAGCACAATCAATGCCAGGGCCCCTTTCTTTGGCCTATGTGTTTAAAGGACTGGGTGGCTTGTCATATCTTGAAGACCTTACTATGAAGCTGCAGTGATGATTGAATATCTACCTACCTGGGTACGGCGGACTAGACTAAGCACTTAACTAGAGGTACCTAACCTGTTGACCAAAATTTATACTGTATCAGGACGAAAATGGTTGTGTAGATACCTTTCTAGCTGAACGGGAAAGCTTGACACTACCCTAAGGACCTATACCTATCTGACCAGGAGAAGCAAGGTACTCGTGTTAAGTAGGTAGAGCATGTCATGGGATAGCTTGATCGGTATCGAGCTGGTTAGCATTATATCGTGACGCTGCTGTAGTTCAGGAAGGTAGTTGTGACAGGGAAATCTAAATAGTACAGATTGCCCTAACATAACCCATCATCACAACCCCAAGATAAAAGAAGCATCTGATATGGAGCCTGCTGTGCTTGGAGCCCACGAAGCAATACATAAATATTATAATTAATACTATAGGATACCCTATAGTAGAGGCTTTCTATATGCCTATCATCCACTGTCTTATATATACTGGAGATTTGACAATATTTCTGATGGTATTACAAGAGTGTCCAATCAAGAGAGACCTTGCCAAAGGCTTGATTTGATATTCACGGCATCTGCCAAAACCCCTGCTGCCATAAGCTTCCACCAAATGACGTAAGGGAGATCGATCATGAGTTAGAAAAAGTATCCCTCTGTTCCGGCTCTTCTGCTGCCCTCTGAAGTCCAACCCGTGTCTCACCATAATCTCAGAGATCATATGCGATTCTTCTTTCGTTTTCTCGGCTTTGTGGATTACCTACCATGTTTGGAAACAGGCCCTTCGGGTAACTTGACCCTTCCAGTTGGGACCATCGAATCATGTTGAGGAAGCACTTGGCAACTGGTTGTATTGTCAATTGTTCCAGGATCTAGCAACTTAGCACGGGGAAGAAAGGGCCTAAAGATGGAGCCGAGTGGGGAGAAACAGGGATCCGGGAAAATTTTGTACAACTTTCAAAACAGCCTCCGAACGCGAAGAGGGGCCGTGACGTAAAGGCGAGCGATACAAAATCCAGTAAAATCGCTATCTTGCAGCCAACATCAAGACGGGGGGGGGGGGGGGGCCTGGTAGGGAAATTGAAAACTGACGCGTCATCATTTAGTATACCGTCCGGCAGGGAACTAATGTAGGTTACCACAGGCCATAGAGAGAGAGGGAGGGAGAGAGATTGAGAGAGTGTGTGTGAACGTTCAAAGCCAACCGAGAAGTTCCACTTGGTGGCTTCGGATGTTAACGTGGGGATAAAAGAATGCGGGCGATATCCATGCCTTTCTGCCCACCTAAACCGCTACCTGCTTTAGGTATGCCACACATTCTTCGCGATCATATATTCTTCGCAATTTTTAATATTTTAACTTATTTTTATTATTATTATAATATAACATGCCTAAATCTCCAGATTTTAATAAATCTTGCTTGCTTAAAGCTATTACCATAGTTTAAAAGTAAAAAAAACTAAATATTATAAAGATTGTACAAGAATTTAATATGCCTGACTCTATACTTTAAATATACCTTAAAAAACTAAAGATACTAGTAATACTAATAATAATAAATAAGAATCTTCTATAGCTATATTAGGAGAAGGCCTTAATTAACTAGATTATATAAATATAGAAATAGAATATCCTACTAACTCCTATAATTATTATAATATAGGTAAATTAGATACTTACTTACATGGAGTTAGATAAGTAAGTTAGTAAAATATAATTATATTAATTTAAATTATATATACTAGCAGATCTAGAACTTACTCTAGTAAAGTAGAAGACTAAGAAATTAAGGCAGATATAAGTAAAGGATACTAGCTTACTTTAATACTAGTATAATTTTTTAAAATTACTTCTTTATAAGGTCCTAGCTTGCCTTGTTTATAATTTTAATAAATATAGTTTCTAACTAGGCAAAAATTATAATAAAAAGGTTTTTAGAGGTTCTAAATATCCTAATCTTATAAAAAGTAAGTAAGGTAAAAATATTACTATAGTTAAATATATTACTATAGATAGTTAGATAATAAACCTATTTTTTATTTTTAAAGTAATAAGTAACTATATAAAGGTCTAGTATTATAATATAGAATAATTATTATCTAAAATAATAATAGTAATATTCTTAAATAATTAAATAACTAATAAATTTATACTTGCCTAGCTATATTAATTTAATATTAAAATAAAGTATCCTAATTATATTAAGTAAGGTAAGAAGTAATATTTAATATTTAATAGTTATAGCTTATATTTTATACTTAAATTTCTATAATATTATAAGAAAAATAATATTATTTTCTTTAATTTTATAGCTTATTTAATATATCTTTACTAATCTCTTAATAGAAAACCTTTTCTTACTTATAAGATTAATTTTTATCTTAAGAATAATAAGCTATCTTAATAGGGGAGTAAGTTATATAAGAAGGTAGAGTTCTTAAAGATTATCTAGCTAATCTATAACTAGATCTTTTACTAGTAAATTATTTAAAATACCTTTAAAAAATATGGTATCTAGCTAGTTAATAATACTAAAATTATTAAAAAACTAGTAAATTAAATAGATATACTAGATATATTAATTAATCTTTATTAAATTCTATCTCTACTACTATTACTATTCTCTAGTATTGAAAATAATTCTCCAGCAATAATAGAGGCTCTTCTAAAAAATTAAGCAAAGATTATAAAGGAACTTAATAAGGTATCTAACTAGGTAAGGTAGAATATATTAAAACTCTTTTAATATTAAGTAAAGAAGCTTGAGGAGCTAAAAATAACCTAGAAAGTAATTTAAAGAATTAGGGCTATATAAGAGCCTTAATACCAGGTTTATATTAAGTACTAGATTAAAGATCTATCTAGTAATAGGGTTCTAAGAATTTATAATACTATTTAATTAATTAAAAATAGAAAGGCAAAGAATACTAAATATAAGTAGAGAAGGTTAGTAAAGTAGAAAAAAAAAATATATAATTCTTTATTCCCTCTATACTTATAAAAGTTAATTTAAAGAGGAATTAATAATATAAGATATATTAAAGAAGCTAGAGAGTTTTTTTATTTTAATTACTAGTATTATTATTGTTGTATAGCTTTAAATATTAAAAAATCGCGAAGAATATGTGATCGCGAAGAATGTGTGGCGCACCTAAAGTGGGTAGCGGTTTAGGTGGGCAGAAAGGCATGGATACCCTGGGCCCTAAAGCAGGCCCTTGAACTTCCTTTCAAGACCCCACTCTCTAAAATCAGTCAATAGTAATACATAGTAGTGATCCCCAGAATGTGTACTTCCTTGAGCATAGGTTTAGCCTGGCTAACATGTATTCATTGTAGTGTATGGATTCATGCCGTGATTCTCCGAGTGTAGAAAACACCAAGCCAAAAATGGTCAAAATGATGATCGTTATGACGATGACGGCGTTAATGGACAAGCGAAGGATTTCTTTCATCCCTGAATCTGATACATGGGGTAGGATTAGTTGGGGAAATGATAGGACCCCGGGGTAGCGGCTGGAGATGTCAGCGAATCTAATTCTACACCAAGTGACAAAGGTAAGTTAACTGGTACTACATCCAGATCATAATAATTCATTTCCTCGGCTTACTTGCCGGGTATCAACTGCATCTTTTTTCTTTCCAACTTGAAAAGCCACAATTGCTTCTTTTTATTGATGGGGTTTTTTTTTCTTTTAACCTTGGGGCAGTGGCGGCCGGCCCAACTACCTTATTTGCCAGCCACAAAGGGGCACTAATTCTTGGGCTATAGTTATACCCTTAACTAACAAGTCACTAGTAATACTATTCAATCCATGTCTACCAAGAGAGAGTACTCCGTACCTACCTCGACTCTGACTCTGACTCTGACTCTGTTCTTTCCGTCCAATGTCGTCGTCCTATTGCCCGTTTTGGGGATAGTATCCCACCTCCAGTTGCATTCCCACCGTTACCCACTTCGGGTCCCTGGTCCTTCAGCCAATAACTCAGTCTCTACAACCTATGCAACGTTATTCCTTCGTTCTCGTTACTTAATCGCTCCCCATCTTTAGGTAACTACCTAGGTAACTGTTCAGTGGGAGCCTTGGTTCATCGCGAGATTGTTGTGGAGGGTCGGGATGGGGATCTGCCCTGTAGACTCCACATCCGACGGTGCACTGTGCCTTCCATGTGCTCCATCCAGGATTGCATTGATTGACGCGGTTATAAAGATGAGGGTTCCCCTAGCTGCAGCTCGCCTTGGATTTCTTCCGCATCCTCTTTGCTTCCCTTTGATTTCCCTCCCGGGCTGTCTCGAAATTTCTCCTGGTCGAGGAGGCAACCTTTTCCCGTGATTAGGATCCCAAGGCTGGCCCTAGAAGTCGTATTAGAAACACCTCACACGTTCACGGTACTCTTCTTCTTCTTCTTCTTCTTCTTCTTCTTCTTCTTATTGGGGACCTGAAGAGCGTCACAAGTTGCCATGTCGGCTCCCAAGTTTGCCGGTCTGACCGGTAACGCCCTAATGCGGGCTGTGACAACCTGCGCAACCATGGGCTTTTTGCTGTTTGGCTATGATCGTATGCTTCTGTCCCTGCTCTCTAAGTTCAAGTCGTCTCTTGGATCATCAGCTAATCCCCCATACTACAGAGGGTGTCATGAGTAGTATTATTAATGCAACAGATTTCAACAATGTATTCACGGCAACCCGAGGAAATTCCACCATGCAAGGAACTGTCACTGCCATTTATGAGATTGGTATGTCATCATTCCCCTTCTCAACGCTCCCGATGAAATTTTCCCTGCTAACATCCACGCAAGGCTGCCTTTTTGGAGCTATCTTCATTCTGATTGTCGGGGATTGGCTTGGTCGCCGCAGAGCCATCATCCTCGGCGCCAGCATCATGATCCTTGGCGTTATTATCCAAGTCACTTCCTACCCCGGTCATGTTCCTTTGGCTCAGTTCATAATTGGCCGAGTTGTCACTGGCGTTGGAAACGGAATCAACACATCAACGATTCCCACCTATCAGGCAGAGTGCTCTAGGACCTCCAACAGAGGCCTTCTGATTTGCATAGAAGGTGCCACTATTGCCTTCGGTACCCTAATTGCCTACTGGATTGACTTTGGAGCCTCTTATGGCTCGCCGGACCTCACATGGCGCTTCCCAATTGCCTTCCAGATCGTCTTTGGCCTTTGCATCATCGTCGGCATGTTCTTTCTACCGGAATCCCCCCGCTGGTTTTTCACCAGGGAACGGTATGAAGAGGGTGAAACTGTCATTGCCGCCCTAATGGGGCAGGAAATCAGCCACCATGATGTCCAGCTTCAGAAGGCTATCATCCTCGATTCTATCCGAGCGTATGTTTTACCTTTACGTCCCTTAGTCCTTGATCTTCTCCTCTAACCCCTAGACAGCTCCGGTCAGGTTGGGAAAACCACGCCCTTATCCGCTGTGTTCACCGGCGGAAAGACTCAACATTTCAGACGCATGTTGATCGGCTGTTCATCTCAGTTCTTTCAGCAGATTGGTGGCTGCAACGCTGTGATTTACTACCTGCCTGTGCTCTTCAAAAATTCTCTTGGCCAAGAACCGCCGATGGACATGATTCTTGGTGGAGTGAACATGATTGTCTATTCGATATTTGCCACCCTTTCCTGGTTCCTCATTGAGCGAGTGGGACGGCGTGAGCTCTTCTGGTGGGGTACAATCGGCCAGTGCCTGTCAATGGTCCTTACCTTTGCCTGCTTGATCCCCGGTACGCCCTCTGCCGCAAAGGGCGCTGCTGTCGGCTTGTTCACCTACATCGCAAGCTTTGGTGCAACCTGGTTACCTCTACCTTGGCTCTATCCTGCGGAGATCTCACCCATTAAGACGCGCGCAAAGGCGAATGCCATTTCGACCTGTACCAACTGGCTCTTCAATTTCCTTATTGTCATGGTGACCCCAATAATGATTGATAAAATCAAATGGGGTACCTATCTGTTCTTTGCCTGCGTCAATGCGTGCTTCCTTCCAGTGATTTACTTCTTCTACCCTGAAACCGCCGGGCGGTCTCTGGAGGAAATTGACCTTATATTTGCTAAGGGTTACCTCGAGAATATGAGTTATGTCCGTGCTTCAAAGGAGCTACCGTTCCTCTCTGATGAAGAAGTTGAACGCGTTGCCATTCAATATGGATTTGGGCCCGCTGATTCCGATGCTAATGGCAGCGACGGAACTGAGTCTGACGGAGCGAGGAAAGATGCTGACCCTGAGAAGGCTGCACTTAACTAATCACATGGAATATTTGCCATATTCTTAATTGACAGGCATGTTAAGGGAGTCAAGATTTTTATGAGATAAAAAAAAAAACAGAGGCAGACAATTGGTTGAATATCACACTTTATACCCTGTGGTTTTATAAAATACATGGATCTGCATATCAATAGATGACTCTGGTAGCATTCTGCCTGCTGGTACTTCAGAATGAATGAATCTAATGTGGTCGCATACAAGAATATCCAACATAAAAAAAAACTGACGCACTTTCTCCTAATAATACTCCGTATATCAACCTACAATGTTTTACTACGGTATACACTTACTTTAGCGCGCGGTAAAAATGACTGTCATGATAAAATAAAGACTTGGGTGTTTAATGGAAAAGCTTTATTTTACCCGCACCGTCGGAACCAAAAGCTCCCCTTGTAGCCACCTAATCATCAGGATACTCATCCTTGATATTGCTTACAAACTCCCGACGTACCTCATCCCATCGCTTAAAATATTTTCCTGCTATAGCAACCAAGGTGGGTGGTAATTCTGAGATATCCGGTGATATCGCTTGAATATTCTCCTCAGCCACATATCGAACATTTTTATCCTCAACACTTTGCGGGAGGAACGTCAGTATACCGATCGCAAAGGAGAAAGGTCCAACACACATTACATGGTAAAAGCTCTGATGCCTGCCACTTTGCAAACGATCAATTCCCATCCTCCGCATCCAGTCGTCGCCCGCTCCGCACTCAGCATCCCATCCTGTGATTATAGCCGTATAATTGTAGCGGCGATGTCTGAAAACCTGGCCGACACGATAGATCACCCCCTTATGTTCAGGAGAGCGTTGTTTCACTTGTTTGGGAATCTCATCCACTCTTCGTATGATATGTAGGTTCTCTCTGATATGCTCGAACTCTAGCGTGTCATGAAATATCGGGGCGATATACTGCTCAATAAGATAAATATCGGATGGAAAATCAGTAGCGAGTAATTCCATGAGCCCAAGTAGGGGATGCCTCAGCTCTGCAGGCCGGGAGGGATCCGAGAGCAAGAGACAGGACCAGAGCGCTGCATATTTTGCACAAACCACGTCCACCGGAATCAACTGAGCTCGAGGGAACTGAGTGATACGCTGAACTGAGTTCAAAATATTCTTACTACACCGTAAAACAATCTCAGAGGTCCAAGATTCGTCTAGAAACGTGGTTTGTTCCATGGGTGACGCTCCTAGAAAATTCAACTGGGATCTCAGGTCTGCCACAGGTGTCTCGTTATCGGTGCGAAAAGGGTCCATATAAATGGGCTCGCCTCGGATATTTGCGCTTACAAAATTGCCGTCAACATCGGAACCAGCTGGCGGCATGATGATAACGTGGACATGGAAAGGAAACCCACAAGGACGGGCATTTAGCCCAAGCCTTTGGGCGACATGGCAATATATAGCAGCCGATACCAAAGGTAATGAGTTATGTCCAGGGTCATTCAATGCTATCCCCAGGAAATTATGTGCCAAACAATGATACTCTCGTCCGGGCTCAATCCCGGTGAGGTTATTGGCTCTCAAATATGTAGCGATAATTTTCGCCCTCTTACGGACACTCAGCTTGCCTATATCGGGATAATTTAAGGAAAGGCGGGAAGCAATTCCATTCAGCCTAATTTTGATCTGTGAAATTGTTAGAAAATTGCTATCGGTTGCTCCTAATAACATACTTCGTCAATATTTCCATATCCGCTTTCTGGTATGAATAGGTCAAAAGCGCCCAAGGCCCTAATGAGAGGTACTGCATCATCACTTCTCAGTCTCGCCCATTCCGGGATTGCAATACTCCGGTGGAGGCAAGTCAGAAGCGCCTGAGCATAGTAACTTGTTCCCGTCGAAGAGGTCAGAGTCAGAAAAAGAGGAAATTCCAAGGGACAGACAGAGGCAACAAACCTCCTGGCTAAATAGTCCTCCGCAGCTGAGTCTATCGAAATGTGCCGCAACAGAGTATCTTTCGCATCATATCCGAGATTAATAACGGATTGGAACTTCTCTATTCTTCCAGCCTGGCTTGTAAGAATACTGTCCAAAAGCTGGCTGGTTGCGCAATCGACGAGGTGTCTGGATATGTAGAGCGCCTTCCAGTCTACCGCAGATATAGGGCTTGAAAGTTTTGCAGGCATATCATGGCTGGGGGCCCAGAATTTGAAGTAAGTGTGGCAATAGTGCCTCCATAATAGCGGTTCGTTGGCGACGCCTCGAAACCGTCGTGCAGTCCGCTCTAGAGCAGCCGAACAGTGGGGAGAACAGAAGAATAAAATGGTATGGAGTATCTCTTCAGGAAGATCGTCAAGAGACAAAACCATTCCGGTACATTAGGTAATGCGAAAAGGGGCTATATCTGGAATATCTGGAATTCGCATTTCTTGAGGAAGTGGTGGGTGAGTGGTGGGTGATACCTAATTCACTTCTGGAGGGGGTTGAGTCAAGGAGGTTGATAGGCTAAATAGAGCCGCACGCCCCATAGAACTAGACGACTTAACTGCATTTTTCTCTCCTCCGCCAATTTTGATTCCCCCGCATTACTTGAAAAAAAAAATTGATAACCAAGTCATTTGAGAGCATATAATTCATTAACGCTCTTTGGTCCATATGGGGCAAGGTCATTCAACCCAGCAACAGGACGCCAATGAGTCGAAGGAGGGTCCCGAGAAAAGAGACTACTATGAACTCCTCGAGGTAGAACAAGATGCCTCACAGGAAGAGTACGCCGTTCCTCGCTGAAGAACTAGATCCGATAGCCAACTATTCTTGTAATACTAATTTACTTCAGAATAAAGAAGGCCTACCGAAAAAAGGCCCTCGAGCTTCATCCAGATAAGAACTATGGGAACGTAGAAGCCACGACAAAATTATTTGCGGAGGTTCAGTCCGCCTACGAAGTACTTTCTGATCCACAGGAACGGTCCTGGTATGATTCTCACCGTGATGCCTTTCTGGGAAACAATGGAAGCGCCGAAACGACGGACTACTCATATAATACCCGAATGACAACGTCGGCCGAAGTTTTGAAGCTATTTTCTAGGTTCAGCCCTCAAATGGAGTTCTCTGACTCTCCTAGCGGTTTCTATGGGGGTCTTCGTGACACTTTCGCGCAGCTTGCCTCGGAGGAAGAGATGGCTTGCCGTTGGGAGAACATCGAAATAATTGAGTACCCGTCTTTTGGGTCTCGTGATGATGATTTGGAGGTTGTACGCCAATTTTATGCAGTGTGGAGCAGCTTTTCGACTAAAAAGTCCTTCTCATGGAAGGATACTTATCGCTACTCGGACGCTCCAGATCGTCGCGTTCGTAGGCTGATGGAGAAAGAAAACAGACGCCTTCGAGAAGGTGCTATTCGCGAGTTTAACGATGCCGTAAGGTCGCTTGTAGCTTTTGTTAAAAAGCGCGACCCACGTTACAAATCTTATAAGGAAACTCAATCGCAGCAGCATGAAGTACTTCGGCAATCCGCTGCTGCACAGGCGACAAGATCACGGGCAGCGAATCAAGCAAAATTGCGCAACCATATTGTACAAGAATGGGCGAAGTCTGAGAACCTTGAAGCAAATGAATCGGAAAGCTCCGAGAGCGATGACGAACATTTCGAGTGCATCGTTTGCAACAAAACTTTCAAAACTCAAAATCAGTTTCAGGCTCATGAACGTAGCAAGAAGCATCTCAAAGCTGTAAAGCAGCTTTGTTGGGAGATGAGATTACAAGATGAAACGCTTGAGTTAAACGGGGGTTTGGGTAGCTATGAAGACCCAGTACAAAAAGATGATTCCCTTCAGAATGACTCGGTGACTGCTATATGCCCAACACTTGAACAAAATATTGGGCAGTCGGATATTGAAAGCAACCAGGAGCCGGGCATTATCACTAGCCCTCAAGTATCTGGAAGGAAATCTGATACTACTAGCTCAGGTGGCAGCAAAACGACTCGCGCCCAGACGCTCTCGCCTGATGCCACATTGTGGTCAAAAGACGGATCAGATTATATCGCCAGAGAAACTCTGGAAGACCGGTTAGGGCTAAGGGATTCACATGCCCCTGGAGAACCCGAAGGAGATAGCTTGGATGAATTGTCCGAGAGATTATCAACTTCAAAGCTCGACCCACCCCGCCCATCGCCTACGAAGATTGGGAAAGCAAAACAAAAGCGTGCTAAAAAGGCTCAGCTTGAGAAGGAAGCAAGCACATTGAAATGTACCGCTTGCAACGATTCCTTTTCTTCGCGGAATCAGCTCTTTTCCCATATCAAGTTAGACCACACGAACAACGAAAGAAAAAGCCATAGAAATTAGGAAATTAATATCAGATTATAGTATATCAGTCTATTTTCTATACTTTTCTTCTCCTAACAGATGTACTTCAATGGCTGTGCCTAATAAATAGGAAATGGTCCAGGTCCTTTTTTGTGCTGATAATGCGCAGACAAGATCTTTGTCAAGGTTTAAATTCAGCCCAACCCTGCTTTTGAGTTCTTCACCACATGTACAACCGGTTGAAGAATACCCTTATTATGGGTAGCACCCAAAGCGGTTCCTGTGCTCCATCCCATTTTTTCAAGCATTGCCCTTCCTTTGTTATCGATGCCAATTTCAGGCGCAGATGCACCCACAATTTCACCATCCACATAAGAAACGGACTTATGACCTTTAGTTGGCCGTCCACTGGTCTTATCCCATGCTTTAATTGCCCGCGAGCTAAATCTCTCCTTGGAAAATATTCGGTCTGTCTGGGAAATTGTTTGTTGGGTATATTTCGGAGTCCGTGAAGTCTTTGTCATAATGGGAAATCTTGATGATCCCTTACCCCGTGACTGGGAGTTCAGACGTAGAGCATTTGCGATATCATGGACTAAAACTCTGCGGTGCTTGGTCATAGGAGGAAGGGACAAGCTTTGAATTTTCAGGCTTGTCAGTCAAGATTACTTCAGTTGAAACATCAAGGGAGGTTACCTATTCTTTGAAGATAGAAGGAAAAGGCGTATCTCTGATTTTAAATCCTCAATGCCCATCCTATCTGTGTATTTTATTTTCAGATCCGGGTCGTTTTTACTGCGACCTAACAATCCCTGAGAACGAAGCACTTCTCGCTCTTGTTTTCTGATCTTTTTCCTCAATCGATCATTGCTCGATGCATTTGTTAGCTCTGTCTCGAATTCAGTGTCAAGGAGGTCAAAGTTTGGAGTTCGATGTTTCCCCTTCGACTTCTTCCCCAAGCTCGGCCTAGTAAAGTCCATGATATCAAATCCAGAGTAGGGATCTAACTCTAATGTATCAGCGAAGGCTGTCGATGGAGCGAAAACATTCTTTAGCTCGTTGGAGCCAGTCCGAGATCGAGAGAGAGAGCCACGGTGCAAAGTCTTCGCCTGTTCCGGCTCGATTATTGCTTCATCAGCACTCAGGTGCTCGTGGCTTGAAGTAGAGGAGTCGTCATGATACTCGTACTCATCATCCATGTTGGCGATATAGTCGGCCAATATATCATCTTCATCCGAGGTCTCCGCACTTATGTTATTTTCGAGTCCAGTAATCTCGATATAGTCAGGGGGGTCGTCCAGAATGGAAATAGGCCTTGCTTGCGGCGATATAACGAAACTAGGGGGACATAAAGGGGGCTGATCATCAGAGTCGTCCCCAAGATCGGTATTGGTGGCAGATGTAGAAGGTTTTGATTCAATTCTAGGGCCCCGCCCTCGGAAGACAACTTCGTCCTCACTGGAGTCATCTGCAAAAGGCGACGACAGTCTAGTAGAGCTCGCCGGTCTTACAGTCACATCATTTAAGACAGGTTTGTTAGGTGATGACTCAACACCCAAATCCACTTCGAATTTTTCATGCTGTGCCAACTCGGCGGTAGCAGGATGCTCGCTTTCTGGCAATTCTTGGGCACTTGTTTCCGACTCCACACCCAGGTTCGGACCTAAACCGCCTGCGCTCACAAAATGAACAGCTTGGTGGCGTAGCTGGACATTCACACGCCATATATTATGTCCTTCTGTGTACCGTGCTTCTTGTTGCATTGATAGGTGGTTCTTTTTAGGGCCTTGTACTTGTTAGCTGTGGCCATGTATTTAGTGGAGGGGGCAGGGATTGAGGGGCAGCTGAACCTGTGTCAGTGTTTTTGCTGCTTGATTTTCGGGGTTTTGCTTTGTGGCGAGCCATCTCAGATGTATTTTGATTGCTATAACAGCAGCAGTTGATAATAACTAGTAGAGTGGATATGAAGTTTCATGTATACCAAAGAGAAGTGTGATAAGACATACTACAAGTACTTTTAGAATAACTTACTAGATTCTCACCGCCTTCGAGGTGCAGGGCCTAAGTAGTATGAATCTCCTTTTGGAAATATTACTAAGTCAGATAAGGCGGTAGAAACAAGAAGGCCGCCACGGCCTGTTGGGAACGAGAAGCAATAGTAATAATATCAGATCACTTAGAGATGAAGGTCTAATTCTTTCTATCCTGGTAAACAACTAGGTCTAAATATAGCAATATTCTAATTTAGAGATAGGCAAAATAGGGGTAAAATAGAGTAAAAAGGATGGAATCTAATTAGTATAGGAAAATAAAAGGTAGACTAATAATTACTAGAAACAAGCCTTGTCAACCTCCTTCGCTCGGTATAATCCCTTGACCTAGGCGCTAAGCCTAATGTAGATATCGCATGATTATATAATAAAGATAGTGACTATATAATATAAAGAATATATAAAGATAAATATTATAGATCTATACTAAGTTTTTTCTAATTATTTTAATCTCTAGATATTTATAAGATAACCTAAATTAAATAAAAAATAAATATATTAATATATTAATATATATTTTTTATAATAAAGATAGTAATTATATAATATAAAGAATATATAAAGATAAATATTATAGATCTATATTAAGTTTTTTCTAATTATTTTAATCTCTAGATATTTATAAAATAACCTAAATTAAATAAAAGATAAATATATAAATATATTAATATATATTTTTAATATTATATATACTTTTAATATTAAATATTAAAGTAAAAAAATTATATCTAGTAAATAATTTATTCTATAAGTTATAAATTATTAAAAAATATTTTTAAAAAGATAACTTATGTCATGGTGTGAAGCCATAGTACCTATCTGGTTAGATTCTACCCTAACTGTCCACCTCTATTCCTATATTTAAGCCATATTACTCCTAATCTTATTATAGCTCTTTAAGTTATATCCTATTTATTACCTAATACCTATTATTCTACTATTCTATCTAGTTAGCTCCTAATTAATAAATATCTAAATCTAACTCTATACCCTAATATTATATAGCTCCTTTCTACTAGAAGTCAACTACTATTATTATACCTATCTTATTACTTATATTATCTAAAGATATAAAGGCCCTCTTATATAATATTCTTAATAAATTAAGATAATATATTATTAAGATATACTAATTCTTTATTATTATTATAGAAAAACTTTATAAATTATTTATTTTATATTTTATTATTATTAATTTATATATTATTAATACTAGCCTTCTTAATTATATTTAATAAAAAGATACTATAATTAAATACTAGAAAATATAAACTAAAAAAGCTTAATAAAAGTTATTTAAGATACTTATTTAGAATAATTTATTTTTTAATTTATTTTTTTTTACTATTATTATTATTTTTATTATATTTATTTTTATTATTTAAATCTCTAAATAATTTCCTAACTTTAATAAATTTAATAATTAATAAAATAACTTAAAATATTTTACTTCTTAAATTTATTAAAAAATAATTATAAAAATTAACTATTTTTTAATCTTAAATAATTAAATAATTTATATAACTAGTTATTTTAAAAAAACTTTTTATACCTAAATCTTATTATATATATTTAAAATAAAATCTATAAATTTAATAATTATATTAAGATTTTAAAAATCCTAGAGTGTCATGGCGGGCAGGCTGGTAGTAGGTGTAGCTAATAGCAGGGTGTATATTCAGGCTATCTGCATACAGGTCTAATAGGTAGAGATTAGGTTAGAACAAGGATATAGCTTAAAGAGCTATAATAGGATTATAAGTAATATAGCTTAAATATAGGAATAAAAGTAGATAATTAGGGTAGAATCTTAACTAGATAAGTATATAATTATATTATAATAGTATCTCTTTTTTTAGATTAAGTTCTAGTAAAGTATTTCTAAAGTCCAGGCTTTCTAAAGTAGTAATAATAAAAAATAATAATATATTTAGTAATATTTTTTAAATAGCTAGTAAGAATTTTAGTAATAATAAGATATTTAATTTACTTAATAATATATTTTAAATATAAATAATTACTTTAATTATAATAATTTTAATAAAAGTTAATTATTTTCTTAATTTTTTATTCCTTAATATTATTAATTTTAATATATAAAGATTTAGTTTCCTTTTATTTAAATAATAAATTTTTAATAATTAAGTATAATAATTTAATATAAAATACTAAATATATTCTTATATTCTTAAGCAGGTCTAATTTATAAGTATAAGGATTAATAATCTTTTTAATAAGAAAAAGGCTTAGATTTTTTTAATTTAATTTTTTTTAAGAATATAGGATTATAATATTTTTAATATTTAATTAGATTAATTAATTTTTAATATAATATCTAGTAAGATAATATTTTTAATTAATATAATATTTATAATAGATTTAAGTAATAATTATAATAATATAATAATATTCTTATATTTATTTTATAATTAAAGTAAATTAATAAGTATTATAGGTTTATAAATAATAATTAAGTAGAATAGGCTTAAATCTTATATAAGAATTAAAATTATATAAAGTAAAGAATAGAGAGTATTTAATAATCTTAAAATTAATATTATTAATAATAAATTCTATTATAGATAGCTATTTAATCTAATTATTTTATAAATAATTAATATAAATTTATAAATATTATTCTAAAATAATATTTATATATTTAATTTATTTATTAGTTTTAGAATAATAAATAATAAATAAGAGTAATCTTATCTTTAGAATATAATTTAGGTATATCTAGAATATTAATATAAATTAAGATTCTTAATTAAATATAATAAATTTAAGAAATTTATAAAATCTCTAAATATAATCTTAAAATAAGTAAGTAGTGTCACGGAGGGCAGGCGGGCAGTAGGTGTAGCTAACAGCAGGGTGTATATTTAGGCTATCTGCGTACAGGTACAACAGGTAGGGGTCAGGTCAGGACAAGGACATAGCTCGAAGAGCTACAACAGGATTGGGAGCAACATGGCTTAAATACAGAAATGGAGGCAGATAGTCAGGGCAGAATCTAACTAGATAGGTACATAACTATGCCGTGACAAGTAGCTTTCTTAATATTATAGATATTATTATAAGAAATATAGTATTAAAATTTTATTAACTAGTTAATTATTATTATAATAATATTAAAGTCTAGATTTTAGAATAAATATATAATAAAATTAATAAATATATTTTTTTATAAATATAAATAAAGAATAAAGAACTTCTTAATATTTACTTTAAATATTTAATATATTTTTTCTTTATATAGTTATAAATTAGAATATTATCTAGAAATATATTATAGAATATATTTATATATTATTTGTCAGGGGACAGAGTTGGATTTAGATATTCATTGACTAGGAGCTAACCAGACAGAACAGCAGAATAGTAGGTATTAGGTAATAGATAGGACATAGCTTAAAGAGCTATAATAGGATTAAGGATAATATGGCTTAAATATAGGAATAAGAGTAGATAATTAAGATAGAATCTAACTAGATAGGTACTATAATTTTATATTATAATAGTACCTCCCTCCTTAGGATTAAGCTCTATTAAGACTAGGGAAGAATTAGCCAGGGTTTCTTAAAATAATAGAGATAGTAATTATTTACTAGTTAGTAAATATTTTTTAAATATTTAACAGGCTCTTTAATTAGCTTATTATATCTAATTTACTTAATAATATATTATAACTTAAGTTTACTATAGCTTTAATAAACTTATTAAGAATTAAGAATTTTCTTAACTTCTTATTCTTTTAATCTTTCTATTTTAATAGGTAGTAATAGATTAGGATATTAATTAAATAAAGGATTATTAGTAATAGGGTAAAGTAAAAATATATTAAATATAAAATAGATTTTTATATTTTTAAATAATTTAAGTTTATAAATATATAAGCTAATAATTTTCTTAATATAAAATAGCCTAAAATTCTTTTAATCTAACTTTTTCTATAGGTAGAGTATTTAAATATTATAAGTATTTAATTAGACTTTTTATTCTATAGTATAATAATATATAAATTACTTTTAATAATTAGCTTATACTTTATAATAAGTTTAAATAAATAAGATTTTAATATAAATAAACTTATAAATCTTATATATAATATTAATAAATTTCTTAGTATTTTTTTTAATAAGATAAATAATAGAGTAATTTAATTTAAATCCTAATATTAAATAAAATCTATAATTAACTATAAATAATAATATTCTTATAAACTTAGAGTAAATAAAGTTAGTAATAAACTTAATTATTAATAATTATTTAAATTAATTATCTTATAAGTATAATATATATACTTATAAGTATTATTCTAAGATAGTATTAATATATTTAGTTTAATTATTAATCTTAAAATAATAAATAATAAATAATAAGTTATAAATCTTTAGGTAGAATATTAAATATTTCTAAAAAATAATAATAAATTAGACTTTATAATCTAATATAATTATTTTAAAAATATTATAAAATTTCTAAATATACTTAAGATATAGATTAGTTATTTCTTTAATATTAATTATTCTAATATAAAGAAGGAAGTACTTTATCTTTATTAAATAGTTAATTATAACTAGAATAATATTATAATTATTATTTAATAATAAATATATAATAAAGTCCATACTTATATTTTATTAGATATATTTAAGAATTAATAAAAATCTTAATATTTCTTATTTTATTTCTTAAGAAGAAGTAATTTA